TGGCAGGCGTCTTTTGTTCCATATGGAAAAAGGATGTTAAGGACACAGTGAGCAAGGGGATACCAAAAGATGTAAAGCAAACAAAATAGTTTAAGCTGTAACTAAGAAATGACAGACTAATGGGGTTAGTAATGGAGTGGAGCTTTTCTCAAAAAGTCAGTTTTAATCTTGTATCACAACACCACCAATACAAAGAGGGTTAGAAACAGAGAAAAGGCACATTACAGTGCAACCATGTGGTCCACGAAAGGCTGTCGAGGTGAGGACCTCAGTCTGGAAAAGGTTCCTCACCCCTGCTGTCCGTACAAACCAGGAATAAATCCCATTTATCTGAGGGCTCATTCACACTTTCGCTTGACCCGTATTTCGATTGCAAGGTGTGCTGATTAATTTCCCCAGCTCTGAGAGCTTTTCTCATTGTTCCACTGCTGTGCCTTGTGAAAATCCAATCTTACCCGCTGAACTGAAGCTTAAGTTAAAGAAAATCTGTCTTTGGATTCTCTGCGCTTCTGATAAAATCTGACTTAATAGTTGAGAGGGCTTATATATAGTGCTGGACTATTTCTAGAGACACACCCCTCTGCCCCCAAACCCCCCCCCCACTGGACCATCTTGATATCTAAGCTGAGTTTGGTCCTAAGACAGGCTCACTAAGCAGGTAATGTCATGGGAGAAATCTTCTGGGCAGCTGTCCATAGGACAGGACATTACAAATCACCCCAGGAAACACTAAATTCCACGTAATTCATTGAAATTCAGTGGAGCCTATTTTGCAGCAATAGGTGGAAGACCCCATCTGCCACCTGCTTTACTATATTAAGCAATGTTCATTAATAGCAATTCCCTAGTCTCTCTGGTTTGCAAGATAAATGTCCTGAAGTTGTGTTTATTACATCCTTTGTGGTGTTGATCACCACCAACACATAAAGGATAAATTTACCCCAGTATAAAAGCACTCAACAGTATAGAATGAACTGGGGAAAAGAAGAAGAAAACATTTGCCCATATTTTGCTGCTCTCGTATTATAAACACTAATGATTTATTTAGAGACTGCCCACAAAGTATTTCCGCCCATCAGTGACCTATATACATTTTGTCCTAATAAGGCTACTTGCTCAAATGCAAGTTGCCTTTCTGCATTTCCGTATAGCCGTTTCCGTGTCTTAATCATGTCTCCTGTGGGTTCAAGTAAGGGCCAGAGGAGGTGTTGAGAGAAATTAGAAAGCAAGATAAGAGGTTAAGAATTACTAATGATATAAATAAGCAAAGCAGCTGGGAACAGAAAGGAAGATGCTAAGGGAGAAAACCTGTTACAGAAAGACTAAATGAATGCAAAGGGATCAGGAAGGAGAGACGAAACCAACTGGTGGTGAAGGGAAGGGGGTTAAGAAGGGAGTTAAATAAATTTCAGGAGATGGGTAGAAATATTTTGAGTGGCCTGCGGGGGTGGGAAGAGGAACCATAATGCAGTCTAAATGGGGCTGCCCTAGAAGATGGTGTGGAGGCTGCAACAAGTGCAGGATGTGGCTGGTGAGCTGGTGTGTGGGGAAGCCTGCTAGAACTGTGCGGCACTAGTCCTGAAAGCACTGCACTGGCTGCCACTGAGCCTCCGAGTCCAATTTAAAGTGTTAGTAAACCACAGAGCCTAGGACTTGCTGATCAGAAGGTCGGCGGTTCGAATCCCTGTGACGGGGTGAGCTCCCGTTGCTCAGTCCCTGCTCCTGCCAACCTAGCAGTTCAAAAGCATGTCAAAGTGCAAGTAGATAAATAGGTACCGCTCCAGTGGGAAGGTAAACGGCGTTTCCGTGCGCTGCTCTGGTTCGCCAGAAGCGGCTTAGTCATGCTGGCCACATGACTCAGAAGCTGTACGCCGGCTCCCTCGGCCAGTAAAGCGAGATGAGTGCCGCAACCCCAGAATCGGCCACGACTGGACCTTTACCTTTACCTTACTAAGTCATATGGTCAAGTTGATGCTGTCCCACAAGGGCTCATTGGTGGCAGCTCCTCAGTTTGTTAAATGCCTTCCCTGGTGTGGTGCATCTGCTTCTCTCAATTATTAACTTTCAATGTCTGCTCCTGGCAGCCTTGAAATTGCTAGCTGTGGTGGTATGTGTTGTTTTTTTACATGCTTTTGGTTGGTTTTTTAAATGTGTGTTTTAAAATGCATTGTTTTCTAACTGATTTGTTTGCGGCCCTGGGCTCCTTGGAGACTAGTTTAAGTAAAGAAAATAAAAAGGTTTTTTCCAGTTAGAGCCTCTGGAGCAGCAGGTTCTGCCTAAAATGAAGCAGCTGAGTTACTATGCCTCCAAAGCAAATGCCTGTGTGAAGGAAAGTCGATAAGGAACTCATTGCCACAAGGAAAATGCTGCAGCAAAGGATTTAGAAATTTCTGAAGATGGATTAGGTATCAGTAGAAAATGTCAGTAATTGGCAGCCGATGAAACCAAACTGTGCCCACATCTACCAACATTTTGTAACTGTGACTGGTGGTTTTTCAGACATCTCTACTCTAGTCCTAGGGATTAGGAAAACTCTTGTTCTAGATGGGAACAGCCACATTGTTGTAAAACAAAATTGAATATGAAAGGCATTACCGTATTTTTCGCTCTATAACACGCACCAGACCATAACACGCACATAGTTTTTAGAGGAGGAAAACAAGAAAAAAATATTCTAAATGAAACAGTGGATGTATGATTTTTGTGGTTCATGCTGTGGCCACAGACATGTGATCTGACGGTGAGTTTGGGGTAGCCCAATGCAAAAATCCTGAGGATCCATGTGGATCCATGCTAAAGTCACCCTAAAGTCGCAGGGGCACTGGGGGAGTGAACAGGAAGCAAGAGAAGGAGAACAATGCCTCTCTCTCTCACACACACACACACACACACACACACACACACACACACACAGAGAGAGAGTATCAATCCTAAAGTCACAGGGGTGCTGGAAGTCGCAGGGGCGCTGGGGGAGTGAACGGGAAGCAAGAGAAGGAGAACAATGCCACACACACACACACACACACACACACACACACAGAGAGAGAGAGAATCAATCCTAAAGTTGCAGGGGCGCTGGAAGTCGCAGGGGCGCTGGGGGAGTGAACGGGAAGCAAGAGAAAGTGAACAATCCCTCTCTCACACACAGACACACAGAATATCAATCCTAAAGTTGCAGGGGCGCTGGAAGTCGCAGGGGCGCTGGGGGAGTGAACGGGAAGCAAGAGAAAGTGAACAATCCCTCTCTCACACACAGACACACAGAATATCAATCCTAAAGTCACAGGGGTGCTGGAAGTCGCAGGGGCGCTGGGGGAGTGAACGGGAAGCAAGAGAAGGAGAACAATGCCACACACACACACACACACACACACACACACAGAGAGAGAGAGAGAGAGAGAGAGAGAGAGAGAATCAATCCTAAAGTTGCAGGGGTGCTGGAAGTCGCAGGGGCGCTGGGGGAGTGAACTGGAAGCAAGAGAAAGTGAACAATCCCTCTCACACACACAGACACACAGAATGTCAATCCTAAAGTCACAGGGGTGCTGGAACTCGCAGGGGCGCTGGGGGAGTGAACAGGAAGCAAGAGAAGGAGAACAATGCCACACACACACACACACAAACAGAGAGAGAGAGAGAGAGAGAGAGAAGAGAGAGAGAGAGAGAGAGAGAATCAATCCTAAAGTCGCAGGAGAGCGCAGGGGCGCTGGGAGTGGGAAGCAAGAGAAGGAGAAGGATCACACACACACACACACACACACACACACACACACACACACACACAGTATCAATCCTAAAGTCGCAGGAGAGCGCAGGGGCACTGGGAGAGTGAACGGGAAGCAGGAGGAGGAGAAGGATAGCTCAAGCACACACACACACAGCCCCCTACAGTGGCTAATCCAAAATCGGACAGCAAAAAACTGCAGGCAGGGATAGAGAGCAAACCCCGCTCTGCTTCTCTCCCTCCTCCCTGGCTCAGCTGGCTGAAAAGCTTTGCTGCTACTTAGCAGGCTCAGTGGGTAGGAGAGAGGGACATAGAACATGGGGTTGTTTTAAAGCAGCCAACCAGACAGGAGCCGCTTACACTCGTGTAAGGGGATCCTCTCCTCTCCCGCTCTGCTTCTCTCCCTCCTCCCCGGCTCGGCTCGCTGACAGGAGCCGCTTACACCCGCTTTGCTGTTTCAAAGCGAACCACGGACTGCTCACAACTGCAAGCAGATTCCCCTGCCATCCGTAGGCAATTAGCTCCATAACACGCACAGACATTTCCCCTTACTTTCTAGGAGGAAAAAAACTGCGTGTTATGGAGCGGAAAATTACGGTATATAAATGCTAACCTGGCATCATGGAGAGGAATTAAACAGGCTGCTAAATGAATGTTCCACCACTGCAAGTATTTCTGATTGCACAACTAAATGTTCTCCTCTGTCCATCAAATTTGTTCCAGGCCTTTCCCCAACCCTCTGGAATAGATCTGAGGAGTATCTGGAGGGGATGAGGAGGAGAAAGTCCTGTTGCACCATTGCAAATCCTTGCCCGATGGCACAGGTTAGTTGGATTCTGCCCATTGTAAATTGCCCATCACTGACAGGAATGTTTTCTACTAAAAAATTTGAGCAGCTTCCCTGAAATGAAATAAAAATTGCCACAACAATCACAATTAGCTTGACCAAATCATTTATTTATCCTAGAGGGCTTCAACGTGCAAGTTTTGCATTTTTGCTCAGTTCTCAATCTGAAGTGTGGCAAAGATTTTCCAGATGAGGTGACCTTACTTAATTCCAATTGAAGCATATATGCTTTAAGCCACTCACATTTTTAAACGTTATGCATAGTTCTTGCTACACAGCTATCTCTGGAATGGTGCACCACAGTAATAGAGGTGGTGCAATATATTAGCAGGTTGTGTTTTTTTTATACAAATACTAGACAAGGTGCCCTTCAAGATTTTCATCTGTTCTGGAATTCAATAGTGTTTGGCAAAAATAATGAAAAAGTCATAGGATCCATGCATTCTTTATTTTTAATAATCAGATAAATACAGGGAAAATTGCAATAACCTATCAAAATGATATCTTAATTGGAAACGTGTTTTAAAAAGACTTATTCACATTCAGTTCAGGTTATATACAAACCAGTGTTTGGAAAAAAACAAAAAGCTAGAGTGTAAAATAATTCAACTCTACCCCATTTCCAGTATTCCCACTGACAGACCAATATTGTGAGATTAAAAAAATCACACCACTGTACAAATGCAAGTACTGTAGATTTCTTGATAATGGCCTTTACACATAGCTGCCAAAACAATTTACCAAAAAACCCTTAAATGTTCTTCATTCTAATCATCCTCTGTAATGTACCCCAATTATTTGTTTCTTTTACTACACCATAAAGCAACTGCTCTTACTGTAATATCAAGAGCTTGCAAGTCAAAGACATCCAGGATGTGCTTTGTACTTCGAGAAGATTCAGCTATTTTCAGCTTACTACAGCCCTTAAAAGTTTGGTAACCATCAAGGTTGAATAAACTGCATTAACCCAACATTTCTAAATGGCACTTGAACTTACGTGCCTCGTTCTAAAATGCTACTATACTGTATGCTACAGACACCTCCCCCATTTCTGTCGTCAATCTATTAATAAATTCCATTATATGGAAAAGACAGAGAAAATCCACATTCACAGTAGTACTCCTGTAACTCTTGCTTTGAATTTTCAAACTTCTGTTTACAAGCAATCCGCCTTAAAAGAGCCATGCATTATTGCAGATACCAGAGCTCGCAATAGAACACCGACTTCTGTGTTAAGGTCAAATTTGATGGCCTGTTCAATAAGGAACTATATTCATATCTAACCAAACAGTACACTACAGTTGTCTTGTCTTTTGAAGGGTACTGTAATCTAATGTGTTCAAGTGAATTTAAATTACTGAATGACTTAGTCCTGCCTGAGAAGCTGTTAGTACCTAGCAACCTCTTCTGGGTTACAGCTTTCCAAATGAATATTATATTATATTATATTGTGTCCAGGTTTTGATTTTGGTTACTAAACCTAAACAATGTTAGTCGCTGCCACTGATTAAGAAACTGGCAGCAATGCAGTCAATTCTTTTAATATTTTACAAGATACAATTAGTGAGTGATCTTGTTTCAGACTCTTGTGCAACTTTTACTTCCTAGGTGCAAGCCAAGACCAAAAGAGATCACTTAGTTTAGTTCATTTAAAATTTACTGTATTCGATGCACTAGTTAATAAACACTTTCCATCTTGAATTTTCTAACTTGAAGGTTAGCAACTAGCAAGTCAGAAAGAGGAATGTTGTCTTTTTAAATGGAGGGATTTTTTTTTTTGCACAGAAGCCCATTCCACCATAGTCCTAAGCTGTACAGACATAGGTTTCCCATTTCACTGAGGCCTAACAAACTTGGTGCAATTGATCTTAGCAGTGCAAAAACTAGTAGTGCGAGTCAATTCTAAGCAAGTTTCTCAGGGCCTCCTGAAATTCATGTAAAGACTTCTATTGGTTTCTGCGGGCGCTGACTAGGGTTTCTTTCTTTCTGCAGATAAACATCACATGTAAGATGACCTCTCTGCACTGCTCTGCTAAGATGTAGATCCAGGGTATCAACTGTAGTATCAGACTTTGTCAATCTCCTTCTATAGGAATCATACTGACAGTCTCCCCCCACCCCGATGAACGTTTAAGTGAGGAACAATGTACAAATACAAACAAAAATACCAACAGCTTATCATCTGACAATCAGTAGTTCATTTCAGATCCTATTCCTCAAATAATATTGGAAACAGAAAGCTGTTATTCACACAGCTTGCTCTGGCTTATCTCAGCCTGAGAGCCACAGTGAGTTTTTCCACATTATTAATGTTTATCCAAATTGAATTCAATAGGTAATTGTGAGCCGTTCAGTGTTACAGGATTAGGTAGGTAGGTACATCTCATTTCAATAGAGATGTTCTACTTTCTAGACTGCAGCCTGGTGCATCTGACATTCTCAAGGGCACTCAAGTCGAGGCAATCGAAGAAAAAGCCAACATAGCCAATATAGTCTTTGTGTAGGTTTTAGGTCTTTTTTCCCTGACATAACAGACACTTCTATACGAGTACTTCTGGAATGATTCCCAATGGAGAATACAAGTTTGTTTTTTAAATTACCCTACAAGTGGTTACCACAAGAATTTTTCTGGAATTATCCAATGGGTAGGCCAGAGGATGAACTTGTTTTGCATATAGACTTTCTCTGAAAAACCCATATGTGTGACCAGCTCAGATGTAGTATTTTTCACATGTATGCTTTCACAGAGTTTGCTACATAACAGTCCTGTGGGGGTAAATGTTATGTGTCAGCCCTCAGTCTTATAAAATAAATATTTACTCTTTTTTACTTTTACAGTATAAACACATCCTATTTTACTAAATGATCCCAAGAAATGCTAAAAAAAAGTCTGAGAAAACAAGATGGAATTCCAAAATTCACTACTCTGTTGAAAAGAAAACTATAAATGTTTTTGGTTGCAGTGTGTTTCATTGCTTTTCTACAGCTTTTCAAATCTCTCATTCTTCTATAGATTATAATGTTCATTACAATGCTGAAAGGACATTAAATATTCAGCATATTTTTATGGGGGGGCAGGGAGAAATATAGGATTAAAAATGTCTCAAAAACAAGGACCCCAACTCTGATCTCATGACGAACCTGTTGTAAATGGAATCCAATGAACACTTGGCAGCATAATCAGAAAGTGTGTGTTTTGTGCCAAAGAATGCTGGAAATGTGCAAATTTGCACACAGGGTTTTGTGCCAGAATGATAATTAGGAATTTTTTAATTCAACACAAAACACACAGAATGACTTGCATGATTTTTTTCCCTTTAGACAAGATATAAATCTTCTCATCCAAAGTCCAGTTACTGTTCTCCAGGTAACCCAAAGTGGAAGCCAGGATGCAAGAGTTGATGTTCTGGAGTCAGGCTGACTTCAAATGGTTCAGATATCTCAGTTTGATTTACCAGTTCCCTTTCTTTAGCATCACAACAATTCTCAGCACTCTTCAGCAGTGGGGTGGAGGTGGAATCGCTATGCTAAACAGAAGTGTTGCTGGTGAAAGCATAGGTATCTTGTACATAAGGTCCTTTCAAAGATGTATAACTCAAGTTTGCTGAAGACTTAATGTGCTATAACCCTTTCATTGAGAGACCCTTTTTTGAAAAAAGAAGAGAAGAAACCAGTAGTGCCCAGCACAGCGGCAGTTAAGAAACAGGGAAAAATCTTTGCTCCCTCCCATATTTGCTACAGTCGTTACAAATGTCCATGGGTGATCAACTCTGAGTGTGCTAGATATACAACTGATGGGACGCAAGCTGGTCCATAAAAGGTTGCACCAAGTTATCTGTGGCAAAATAGAAAACGAGCCCAAAGGTTATAGAGATTGGAAGAGCTGGTAAGGCCTTTTTAAAAATGGCAAGCAGCAAGAGGGTAAGGCACAGGCCCTGGGGAGGAAAAGACAAAAAAGGACACACAAATTAGACAGTGGAACTCTAACAAACACAAAACACTACAGGCTATGTTTGCCTGCTTCCAAGAAGCACTATTTGCACTGAATGTTCTACAGATGATTCACACCCTTTATCTTGTTGAATGAAAATCCAACATGGATATGGCCACTGGGTATTATCTGTTGGCAGATTCTGAGCTCAGCTTCCCTCCGTTAAACAGCAGAGCCCGCCTGCTCTTGGAACCTGCAGGGAGTAGAGGCTCTTTCAACTGATCATCAAAGTGGCAAGCTGAAAAGCCTCATTTCCACCAGGCAGGTAGGTGTTGGTGGCTCAGCATCATGCAGAGGATTCAAATTGGGTATGCACATTCTTCACATAAACTACATACCAGGTTCAGAATCTACCACAATTCATCCACTGATTTTTGAGGGGGACAAAAGAAAGATAACACACATTTAAGAAGCGCTAATGAGGCTGCCTGACTGGCAAGGCAGACAAACAAATCCCACAGAATAGAGCTCTGAAATGTGATCTCTAGAATCCCCTTCACTTTGCTACTTAGAGTGGGGCGTTAACATTGCTACCTTAATATTATACTCACAATTAAAATGGCTACAAAACAGGCTAGAGTTGTGTTCCAGTCTCCGCTGGCCGTTGCCGAGGCTTTGCCGACCAGGACACTGTAGAAAATGAAGTCCCCTAGGCCAAGCTTAACTCCCCCTGCCGAGGAAAAGGAGAAGAACTAAGCAATGGCACAAAATGACTCCTGCCATTCAACCCTGAAATCAAGGCCATCTTAAGCAGCTAAAAGTATTTTGGTTCTTCCTGCTGCCCTTCCATGAGTTCTCTTGGCGATATTACGGCAATGTGCCAAATGCTTGTTATTTCATATCAAACAGATGTGACCTGAATAAATATGGTGAAGTCCCAGGATTTCAATTCCACTGAGTCAATTAAGAACCAAAACAGGGAGTTGGAAAAAGCAGAAACACAAATTATTTCTTGGAAGCTTTATTTCTCAAGAAGATGAGTGAGTGCACATCACTAGAATGGAAATCGAGGGGGGGGGGGCACACTCAACAACATCCACATCAGCATATGCAAATTAAGTGTACAGCTTCAGATTGAGTGGAAACAGATGACCAAGAATCATAGGGTAGAACTTGGAGAGGCGGTGGGGGGGGACCTTTGGCCCTCAAGATATTGATGAATATAACCCCCATCTGCCTCAGCAAGCATGGCCAATGGCTAGGGATGATGGACGTTGCAGTTCAACATCTGGAGGGCCAAAGGTTGTCCACTCATGATGTAGAGAGGCAGACTGCAGCCTCTGACTCCACAGTAAGCTCAGTGTTCTCCATGCTTCCAAGAAGCTGCAGGAAATTGTGGTGGCAGTGGGCTTAACAATGTGGTCAGGTACTACATTACTGCCTTCCTACAACATTACAAATACTGCCTGACATACCTCTATGCTTCTACCCACATGTTTCCTAGTCATCTCCCTGCCATGTAAGTGGTATCATCAAGTGGGAAGTCCTTGACTGAAATTATGGCACATTCATCATGCATCTTACTTGATTACAACTTTCTGGTAAAAGACAACTTCAGTTTTTCTGCCTAGAAAGCAAATAATTTGCTTGGAGTTTGCAGTTTGTGCATAAAATGATAAGTTTGCTTGCTTGGAAGATTGCTTCAGTGCCTCGTGTCTCCTACAAAATTCTTATAATGATTTTTATAAAGTTACATGTGTCTAATTACGATGCATCCTTATAATTCAACCTATCTTTATGGTTTCTGTATGAGTTAGCTTTATTTTTTTTAAGATAATCAGCAGCTTGGCAAGGTTTTTGGAATCATAACATTCAATTAACAGAAAACAGGAGGGCCTCTGTATTTTCATCCCATTCCATACAACTCAAGCAGTGCCTTAATGTTTTCTCAAGTCTTTAAGTTACAACAGTGGCACTGACTATCACTTCCAAACCCAGGTCCTCACTAATAATAATAATAATAATAATAATAATAATAATAATAATAATTTATTATTTGTACCCCGCCCATCTGGCTGGGTTTCCCCAGACACTCTGGGCGGCTTCCAACAAAGATGAAAGATACACTAAAATGTCACATATTACATTCAAATGTCTTCTGAATATCAGGTAGATGTTTATCGCTTTGACATCTGATGGGAGGGCGTTCCACAGGGCGGGAGCCACTACCGAGAAGGCCCTCTGCCTTGTTCCCTGTAACTTGGCCTCTTGCAGTGAGGGAACCGCCAGAAGGCCCTCGGAGCTGGACCTCAGTGTCTGGGCAGAACGATGGGGGAGGAGACGCTCCTTCAGATATACTGGACCGAGGCCGTTTAGGGCTTTAAAGGTCAGCACCAACACTTTGAATTGTGCTCGGAAACGTACTGGACTTTCCTCACTGTTCTTATCCTCAAGCATCTCTGTTGCCAGATAGCAGATGGTATTTCTGTGTAAGGTCTCTTGTCCTGGTTAAATACCTAAATTCTTCCCAACGCTCCTTGCCTGTATCTGTATCTGTATCTGTATCTGTATCTGTGACAATGGCAATCTTGAGCACATATAAAGGTAAAGGTAAAGGTACCCCTGCCCGTACGGGCCAGTCTTGCCAGACTCTGGGGTTGTGCGCCCATCTCACTCAAGAGGCCGGGGGCCAGCGCTGTCCGGAGACACTTCCGGGTCACGTGGCCAGCGTGACATCGCTGCTCTGGCGAGCCAGAGCCGCACACGGAACGCCGTTTACCTTCCCGCTAGAAAGCGGTCCCTATTTATCTACTTGCACCCGGGGGTGCTTTCGAACTGCTAGGTTGGCAGGCGCTGGGACCGAGCAACGGGAGTGCACCCCGCCGCGGGGATTCGAACCGCCGACCTTTCGATCGGCAAGCCCTAGGCGCTGAGGCTTTTACCCACAGCGCCACCCGCGTCCTTTGAGCACATATAGAAAACCACAATTCTGTCAGTTGCACTTCTTATTTTGTCTCTTTCAGCTGGGAATTCCAGATGAGTGGGGAGAAGTACTATGGCTATTGTATTTCTCTCCACCCCCAATGATTTGGAATTCTCAGCTGAAACACACAAAATATGAACTTATTTTAGGGGGGGGGTGTTGTTGTTTTTTTAAAAAAAACTTGTTTCTTTTGAATGCATCCCACCTCTCCTCCAAGGAACTCAAGGTGGTGTACATGGTTCCTCTTGCTCCCTATTCCTATCCTCACAACAACCCTGCAAGGTAGGTTAGGCAGAGAGTGACTGGCCCAAGGCCACCCAGCAGGGCAGAGTGGGGATTAGAACCTTGGTGTTCCAGGTCCTAAGCCAAGACACTAACCACTACACCACACTGGTTCTGTCTTCAGAACAGAAGACCCACATATATTGCATCCCAAAATGCTTTTGAAAGTACCTCCGGTTGCAAAGGTGGTCCGCCATGTGGCACAAGAGGCTGGTATACGAGAAACACAAGATGAATGCAGCTTGGGCATGTGGAGTAAGTTTTTATTTATTTATATTGGCCAATGTATCTTACAGGCATGGATAACAGGGTCTGTCTGTCCTCTCTCTCTCTCTCTCTCTCTCTCTCTCTCTCTCTATTTTAATCATATACATCCATTATCACAGTGGTGGGCTGGTGTCCCAAAAGTCAGGTGATGTGCACAAACTCCTACCATGTGTCTATCTACATGTTCTATTAGTAAATGAACATCTGGACACAATGCTGCAACAAGGCATAAAAATTAAGCGATGTTCTGTGTGCATAGTACCAAAAAGCTTTACAGGAGTCTCTGATGAATGCAGGCTCAGTACTACTGCACAGAAAACATGATGAATAACACAAAAAACATGATGAATAACCTACAAATACTTTTACTGTCTCCTTGATCTCTTGATTATGAACCAGCAATGACTGAAATGTTTACATTTCATCCTTACCTCCTGAACAGGGCACTTGAATAATTAAAGCAGAAATTACAATTTATGCTCTATACCTCATCTCTCATTGAAGCTTACAGTTTCATTTAAAGAATGACAAAGAAGCAGGTTCTTACGGCACCTACTTATATAAAAGTAACACTGTTTAAGTTTCTGAGGGCAAGTAATCTGAAGCAAAAACCTTGTGAAGGTCTACAAGCATATCAACAACTAGTCCTTTTGCAATGGCCCAGATTCTTTTAGGTGCCTGCTAAGCTGACATATATTTATCTGGCAATGTGACTTACTTTCCTCTGGGTCTTCATCACTTGCTGGTGAACTACTGGGAAGATTCTGAACAGGTTGTCGTGTTTCAGGGGTTGATTCTTGATTCCCTATTCTACGAACTTGTTCCTGCACCCATTCCGGATTGAATCCTCCATCATCTGCCTCACTATTTGCATTCTGGCTCTGATTTGCTGGAACTGAAAAGAGAAAATGGGCTGAATCCAACAAAATCATTGCATGAACAGAACAACCTCTGCTCATGTAACAGAACTTCCACTCTGTGATCTTCAGATGAAGGGTAATATACAAATTTAATCAATAATAATTATAATAAAATACATTGTAGGGTTAATTTTATGGTTGGAATCCAATGTTTTGGACATCTGAAAACTATCTTTAACAGAATAGTACTTTATGTTTATGTCCTTGTTGTAAATGTTATTTAGGATTTTTGTTCCATGTCTGCAGGAGATATGGAGACGAAAGGAAAAGAGCATGGGGGGGGGGGTTTAATGGGATTCCAGAAGAATTGACATTATGTGTCATTACCCCAACTACCATTCCAGTATAGTTGTACCAATCACAGAAAGCAAAATTCTTTAATACAATTTCATAAAATCCTTGTACATGGTGAGCAAAGTACTTTTTATTAGCAAAGGAGGGTCACTTGTAAGTTGATCAGTAAGTCATTGTGAAAAGAACTAAACTAAGCAAAGATGAAAAAACCCACCTTGTTTATCATAAGTGGAGTTTTTGGTGGCTGTCTTTTGAGATTCAGGATCTTCTTCAGCCATGTTCACCAGCCATATCATTGTTGCTATTGGAAAAATCAGAGCTATCCTTAATTAACTGCTGCTACCTATTTTTTAAAATTTTTTAACTACACGTCAATTACAGGAAAGTATATTTTTAAGGTTTTTTTTTTCTTCTTCCAGAGTTCCATTATGCCATTTGTAACTTTAGGAACCAGTGACTGGTTTTCTTTTCCCCTTCTTCCCTCCCCATCCCTGTTGTAAACCTAGTGTTTAGATTGTAAGCCAGCAAGATGTTTCATCTGCTACTGAGCTTGAAGGGCAGCATAAAATTATTTTAAATAAACAAATAAATATAGCAAAAAATGGAAGACGACAGTAACCAGGCTGTTTTCTCTGTTCGTTAACTGCACAGCTATCATTAAATCACTTGCATGAGTAAATGGGTGCTGGGAAGGCTAGTCGTAAGTCCAGCTGATTAAAAAAAACACCCTCTCTATTGCATAAAACTATAATGCAATCTTAATTTGAAACAAAATGTCAAAATCAAATAGAAGTATGATTAGGCTATTTATTTATTTATTTATTTTAAAAAGAAATTTGCCAGTACAAATGCATAGTAGACACCCCTGGTAGAATCATTTGGATTAGTATAAAGAAATCAGATTGACTTAATCCAAATAGACAGGCACGTGTGTTTTATTTGTATAGTTTCGTAACCATAAAATCATTTGTACTGCTATCTGCACATAGCTGTCAACCATCCCTTATTTGGCAGGAAACTCCCTTATCCCAGCAGCTGTGTCCCGCTGCTGTCCCTTACTGAAGATGTCCCTTAAATTTCCCAGGTTTCAAATGAAGCAGCTCCTCTCCCTCCCTCCCTGCCGGCCAGGGAGGAGGGAGGCTCCAACTGTGTTGCTTGGTTGCCAGGGCCCGCCCCCCTCCAGCCTCCTCTCACCAGCCTTGGCCCCCAGGAGCCCCTCCCGCCGGGACTGGCGGGAGCCTCGGGCCCTTCTGCCGCCATCCTCCTTGCGGCCGCCAAACTGAGCGTCTCTGTCTGGGGTAGCATCTTCGTAGCTTGGACTTCGTTTTGCGCGAAAAGTGGTTGCTGCTTGTAGTTACTTAATTGCAGCGTTTCATCAGCTTGAGCAGCAACCTCTGGAAACGAAGGGCTAAAAACCGGCGCTGCTCTCCAAAATTATCTGGTCCCTTTTAACTTCGTATTTCAGGTGGTTAACTAAAATCCCTTATTTTGGCTGCTGATCCCTTATTTTGGAGGCTGCTTATTTTCAAATCTGTGAGTTGATAGCTATGTATCTGCATGAAATCGCAGGGTGTAACAATGTACTACTTCCAATGTCAGAGGAAGTATGTGTCTGAATACCAGTGGGGAGAAAGCTGCTGCACTCATGTCCCCTTTGTGCCCCTCCTATGGGCATCTGGTTGGCCACTGAGAGATCCAGCTGAACTATTCGTATGTCCTTCTTCTGCTGCACTGGTGGATCAGTTTCCTCCCACTCCTCAAAAGGAATCCTTGAAAGTTACATACAAATCAATGGGCAGAGATCTCCCAAATCTCTAAGATGAACTTTGTATTTTTCAGTTGTATCTTTATAAATGCTTGTGAACAGGGCCAGCCTTGGATCCACTGAAGAAAGATATAAATGCAGTAAGTTAATACTGCTAAAAACAATTAGAGGTGTTTTGACCAGGCCAAATCCCTTTTTCCCTCTTTCCATTTTTAATTAAGGTAGAACATAATGTTCTTTTCATCTTGGGACATCCTACGCAGCACACGTTCCAAGCTCTTGAGCCAACAGCAGATCTGAGTCCCAAAGAAATGAAAACGCGACAACACAGCTGCACATCTAGCATCACACAACTTCAGCAGAAAATCAGATGGATTTTTAATATCCATAGTTTGGGAGTAGGCTGCAGAATATAAAACTCAACTCTGTATACTTACATGAGTAAATGAGTGCTGGGAACAAAGTCTCATTTCTTTCTTGAGCGGTTTCAACTAGCATACGAAGAGGTCCTTTAGGACACAATACAGCAACCAGATCTGAAAGACACCAACATTGGGGTCAACCCCCACAGAAAAAACTCCTGTCCAGAAAAAAACCTAAACTTTAGCAATACAGTTTCTTAAAAGTGGAGATTGCTTACATCTCAGCAGTCACCGTAAGACATCAGGGTGGATTGCAACAGTATAAAAATACCATACTAAAATCAATAAAAATACCGTATTTTTCGCCCTATAGGACGCATTTCCCCCCTCCAAAAATGAAGGGGAAATGTGTGTGCGTCCTATGGGGAGAATGCAGGCTTCAGGAAGCTATCCGCAAGCCTGCGGAGCCCGGCACGACTTCCCGCTGGGTCCCCAAGGCTTGCGGACAGCAGCCTGCAGCCCGAAACCTGGGGAGCGCAGTGGAGCACGTCCCGGGCTTCGGGCAGCTCTCCGCAAGCCTTGGAAGCCCGGCGGGAAGTTGGGGGCTCCCCAGGCTTGCAGATAGCAGCCTGTTCTGGGGGCAGGGGTCGGGGGAAGCTCGGGCTTCCCCCGCCCCAGCCCCGCGCCTGGGGGGGAAATAAAATTTTTGTTTATTCTCCCCCCCCCCCAAAAAAAACAACTAGGTGCGCCCTATGGGCCGGTGCGCCCTATGGGCCGGTGCGCCCTATAGGGCAAAAAATACAGTAATTTACATATAGAAAGTAGGGTGAGTCCTATAAACAGTTCCTCATTTGTGGAATGCTCTCCCCAGGGAGGTTTGCATGGCACCTTCATTATATATCTTTAGGTACCAGGCAAAAACGTTTCTCTATAACCAGGCCTTGGGCTGATTTACATTCTACGGCCTTTTGGTTTTTTGGGGGTGTTTGTTTGGGGGGCATAATTGGTTTGTTTTTGTTTTATTATATATTTTGTGTTCTTCTTTTGTATTTTTATGTTGTGTACTGCTTTGTGATCTTCGGATGAAGGGTGATACACAAATTTAATAAATAATAGTAAAAACTGTGCCTCAGATGTCAAAGATCAGGTAAAGAGCTTAGTAAGGAGTTCAGAGCTCCTGCAGGAAGAAGTCTTACAGAAAATTTCAGGTTATGTGCTAGGATACTGCCTGTGTATCTCTCCACATTGTGGACAAAATATTACAGTAACCAAATCTTCACAAGTCTCACAATTGTGAAGATATAGTCTTATTTGAAAAAATATATATGCAGCAACCAGAGTAATGTATCTGTTTATGAGCTTTCCAGTCTGATCATTTCTAAGTTCCCTCCATGGATACCAAAAAGTTAAGGCATCTTTATTAACTGACTTAACAAGTGAGGCAAGGCAGACTTAGCAAATGATGGCTGCCCTCCATTTCAATGTGGCCTCTGGGGCTTAAATCTATTCCTGCTCCACCCTATGCGGCTGCTTCTGGCAGGCTTCAAAAACATGTTAGCACCTGGGCATTCAATAGGTTTAGCTCACATATTAAAGAATAAAATTGTCTATACAACATGTACACGACACAGCCTATTCTCCGGGTTCTTTTTAAAATTAAACATTATCTGGCTATCTCTAGAACTATGTAATTTTAAGACACTTAGACACTATTTACCAAATTAAATGCCATCACTTTGTTTAGCAGCACACACACACACAAATCAGATATGCCTGAAATTCAATAGTGTGAAAAACATCCACTCTGAACGGAACATCCTCACTTACAGTCTTACGCAGATGCAAATGTGTATTTCCACATGACATGGCAATTCTTTCTAGATTCAGCATAGATGTTAATAACAGTTATATAAATTGCCTTTATGCATAACAAACAAATTTTGAGTGCAGAACTTGAATGATGACAGAGTGTTATATGATGGCACTGTCAAATCTGCATAATCTTGTGACACGGAACACCTGTGTTTATGTGCAACCTTTGTTTCTGTACATCTTATGCAGAAGAACAAGAATGCTTTATAAAGGTCATTTGGATTTCCTGAACAAATACAATTTGAGGAGAAAGCATGTGACATTCACAAACCTGTGTGTATATCTCAAAAGGCTGCCAAGCTCCTGTTCCCACTTGAAAAAGGTAAAGCTTACATGTAAATATTATCTGGCTCAAAAACTAGAGGTGTTTAGCATTAGCCAAAACCTGATGTAGGTATTCAAAAATTATGAATGGCAAAACCTGATGAATCCTTCCATTTACATCACACCTTACTGTCTTAAGGGGGAAACAAGAGTGCAAATAAAAAAATAAACGACATGTTTGTTATACTTAAAAGTAGATTTTGTTCTAAACGCTTAACTAAAGTGATAAATGAACACTTTCCTACAGTAATTTATGTTTTAGTCGTCGGGGAATTTGGCTGCTCTTTTGTCTTCTCTACTGTTCAGTACTGCAAAGACATCACAATTCTCACCTCAGATCAAGCTTGGGAAGAAACTTGAAACATGGCTTGCTCAAATCTGCTCTTTCCCCCCTTTCTTTCTTTTTAGAATGAGAGCAACTTAACTTAAGAAAAGTCATGCTGGATCAGGCCAAGGGTAAACCTAGTCCAGGATCACCAAGGAGGAAGTATGCCATGAAAGATAAGATGGTATTAATTTATTAACTGCAAACTACTAAGAGTTGTTGTTCTTAGATATTTTCCATAACAATTTTTTTTGTTATGAGATTTTTTGTTAAGAGATTCTTCTTAGGACTGGCTGCTATCAAGCAGCAAAATATGGAAAAGTTCTAGTTCCCTCTTTTTCAGAGGTCTTCTGAGTTTGGGTATTAAGAATGATATCTCTCTCCCATTAGCAACACCTATCTCATTTCACCCGAGACAGGCTGCCTTAAGGGCAAAGGTTCCTACAGAGGATTGGGGGAAATAAATGCTTTGAAAATAAATCATTCTTGTGATGGAACAGTCCACACACAGAAGCATAATCAAGGTATTCTACAGACTCACAGTATGATTTCTTAGACTTCAAAAGGACACAAGTAAAAGGGTCTGGTTCTTAATTCTAGCTTTCTAGGCATTAAATATAAAAGTGGAAAAAAGCAGTAAGTCAATGTTGTTCCTAGTAAAATATGTGTTTGGAGGATCTTACCGTACACTGAAATCACTGCCAAGATGAGCCAAGCAGTCCATTCAGGGAGGTATTTGATAAATACCAGGGCCATTAGAGCACTTATCATAATGAGATAGGCTTGCTGGAGCCGGAGAGGGCCTTTCCAGTGAATGCAGATCATTCCCACCACTCCAAAGTTCCAGATCATGAGCGCTAGGGTAAAGTAGTCCATGGCAACGTTGTAAGTCTTAAAAACCTCCCTATTGGACACACACACAAGATTAAGAGAAAAACTTGTTACGCAAAGAATGGTGGAGAAGAAACAGCAACCGTCAACCCAGCAAATTATGTTTGCATTTTGTGCGGCAAGCTCAAAGTTTCTTCTTCATTTCCTAGCCGAGATTTAAAGCTTAGGGGTGGGGAATTCATTTAGAAGAAACACAGGATTCAAGTTTCATTTCAAATGTGTTGTCATGCTTTTAGGCTCGCTTGTGCATCACATTGTTTTATTGCCTTCTACCTTCTTCTAATCTCCATAACTGGAAAAGTAATCACAACAGTGAGACATGTAAGTGTTCTATGCTATAACTGAACGCCATTCACTCGTGTTCCAGAGAAGAGTTCTTCAATTCTGGGTCTCCAGATGTTCCTAGTTCCTACCAAGCCAGCCAGCTTAGCCTATGGTCTAGGACAGGGGTCAGCAAACTTTTTCAGCAGGGGGCCAGTCCACTGTCCCTCAGACATTGTGGCGGGCCGGACTTTATTCTTTGGGGGGGGGGATGAACAAATTCCTATGCCCCACAAATAACCCAGAGATGCATTTTAAATAAAAGCACACATTCTACTCATATAAAGACAAGCTGATTCCTGGACCGTCCGCGGGCCGGATTTAGAAGGTGATTGGGCTAGATCCAGCCCCCGGGCCTTAGTTTGACTACCCATGGTCTAGGACAGGGGTCTGCAACCTTTAAGACAAAAAGAGCCACTTGGACCCGTTTCCGAAGAAAAAACAACAACTGGGAGCCGCAAAACCATTGCGAAATTTAAAACAAATATATCTCCGGAGCCGCGATCTGACAGCAGACGGGAAGGTGACGTCGGGACGGTGCGTGACTAACGCACGCACCGCCCCCATGCGACGTCACAGCCAGTACAGCGCCCACCACAGTGAGGAGTGTTGGGGCGCACAATGTGCCTCCTCCCCTCGCTAGTATCTGCCCCGGAGCCGCGGCAAAGATGTAAAAGAGCCACATGCGGCTCCGGAGCCGCGGGTTGCAGACCCCTGGTCTAGGATAATGCGACTTGCAACATAGCTAGGGACCCAAGGTTGAATATCTCTATTTTAGTCTTGATTGAGAAGCACACTCTTCTATAGCTCAGACTACAAGACTTAGAGAATTAAGAATCCTTAGTTCCTCGCTGTGAGGAATGTCCAAGGAAAAATACACAAAGCTTTGCAGTGCTGCACCCGTGGTATTCTTTACTCCAGATGTACTTCAATATTTACTTTTTACAAGGGGTATAGACTTTACAAGCCAACAAAAATTTGCTAATCCTCTTACTTACTAACATTTCTAAAGGTCAAGATACTTGTAAACTTACCCTAAGTAAATGAATGAGAAAAAGAAAAGCAAGAAGAGTGAAGAAACGATGAGCCACCCATGGATCACCTGAAAACACAAAAAAACAGCAGTATAACTTTACTATTACACAAGGAATATAATAATGAAAATTGAAGCCTGTTTTTCTGGAAATTTTTCTTTTTCTTTTTACACACACCTAAACTACTAATAAAAAAAGAAAAATGTCATTTGTTGGTCAATAAGACAAGAACCTGGTAAACCATGGCTTACCAAGATTGTGGAAATGTGCTGGCTCCCAGAGAGGTGATTGGCTCCTTCTGGGGTTTTTTAGCTGAGTGTGTGTGGCAACTAAGCCAAGGTTTGGCTTAACAAGCCATATGGAGATGATTATACTTGACAGCGAGTACATATATATTCCACAGTAAAATGTGTTCATTTCATAAGTACATGCAGTCCATGACAAAGGGAGGGAGAACCAGCATTATGGACAAATAAAGACTACGAGAGGTCCAAATAACCTGTTACAGGATTGGACTGGTGGTTTGGATGATGCCTGTGGGTCCCTTCCAAGTCTGTGATGATGGATCTGTTAGGTTGGAATCTAGCAGAGGGAACCACTGAACCGGTCAAGCCAGTCTCTCTGTAAGATTAGCTGGGCTTGGAGGCACCCTTCAGCTACACAAGGAAAGAGTGACCATATTGCTATAGAGACAAATGAGTGGGCCTTTGCCCCCTTCACCTGGCTGAACGTTACATCATCCTAGGAGTACAAGATCAAGGAAAACATCAGTAAAGAGTGAGCCCTTTGTCTTAAGTCTGGTCTGAAGGTAGAGGAGGAAGCTGGAGAGACACAGCAGCTTGACTTGCTCTGTGTGCTGAATCCAGAACTATGACTTTGGTGACCCTCCCCCTCCACCATAGACTGTTAATGCTGTGAACCGTCTTATTCTCATGTAGTATATATGCATAAATAAAGCAATATATCCCAAAGACACCACAGTCCCCATTGACCTTTATTCCAAGAAAACTAAAGCCTGGGTAAGCACTGGCACCCCTGGAGTCTCTTACCGATCAGAGATTGGAGTGCATGCAACAAAACCATTCTCTAATAGGTTGGGTGTTTTTTTTTTGCACATTTCCATATTATTCCCAGCTTTTAAAGGGTGCTTTAATTTAATTCAATATTTATTCTTTCCCTGAAAACAGGCCCACTAAATTAAAGTAAAAAATACACATTAGTTGCCAATTTAGATATTCATAACTATCCTTATCTATAGTGAAATACTGAAAAAACGGCTACCTTTATTATTATCATCCTGTGCTGCTCTATCACAGTTGATCTTTAGCTTAGACACTATTTTAGCAACTATTTTGGCTCTTTGTATGCTGAAAATATTCCAAGTATGCTATTAGAAACAATGAGACAGACATGATGAAGGCTTCCGTAATAGCCTCGATACAGTAAGAGTAAACCTGAGCTCACCTTATAGCACCTGTACTTATAAAGCACAACCAGGAGTATGGTCATGACAATGATGACGCTAATCATAATGGCAGCATTGAGAATAGAATTCAGAGCCCTTTGTCCAACTGTTTCTGTATCTTCCGTGAATGGGGTGTAGATGCTGCAATAGAATACAGATAAAAAGTAAAAGGTGAAGTCTGTGCAATATGAATGTGTTCTTAAACTGTGGTAAGTTTTTGACTAAGCGCAAGAGACCAACCCTAAGGAGAGTTCAACAAATAAGCAAGCATTAGTACATACAGTACATACTCTGAGCCATAATTCTTCTAAATACAGTAGAACCTTGGTTCTCGAACTTAATCTGTTCTGGAAGTCAGTTCAACTCCCGAAACGTTCGAAAACCAAGGCACGCCTTCCAATTGGTGCTGGCGCCCCGGAAAAAATAGCCAACAGCCGCATCAGACGTTTGGCTTCTGAAAAACATTCGAAAACCGGAACACTTACTTCCGGGATTTTGGCATTCGGGAGCTGATTTGTTCGTCAACTAAGCCGTTCGAGAACCAAGGTTCCACTGTAATGCCTGTATGCCCACACCATCTAGTGGATATGGAATGAATTACAATTAAATATTTCATTCACTTGTGAACAAAACCAAAGGCAGACACAGGAAATACGTTGTAGTCAGAAAGCTTACTTTTTGTAGTGAGGTTAATAAAAGATTACCATGCTAAAAAAACACCCCTTAAGACTGAGGACTTGAGCATATAGAATAAAAACTTGGGTTATTTATCTATAAAGTACTAGGTGCAACTTGACTTTACATGGGAATCCAACACATAGCTGTCAAGTGTCCCTTATTTGAAGGGACAGTCCCTTATTCCAGCGCCATGTCCCACTGTTGTCCCTTATTGATGGATGTCCCTTAAATGTCCCTTAAATGGTGTCCCTTAAATTTCAAAGGAAGCAGCTCCTCTCCCTCCCTCCCTGCCAGGGAGGAGGGAGGCTCCAACTGTGTTGCTTGGCTGTGTTGCTCACCCAATAAGAAGTCTAAGAACGACTGGGGGGTGGAGCTTGCATGCCTTGTGTGTGGCTAGTTAATGCAAGCTGAGGATGTTTTTGAATGCTGGATGCCATTTTGTTGCACATGCTGCTGCAAACTTTGCAGTGCAAAGCCAGGCCGGGTAGCCATCTTAAGTTGAGGCTGCATAGGCCTTGTGGTGCATGTGATTCAGATTCTATCCCGTTGAACCTCTGGTTACAAGTTGGTTGGACAGTGTTCTCGAAGCTACCAGCATGAGTTTGACCAGACTGCAGGAGGACTGGAGTGCCTGGAACAGGTGAGGCTGCAGGTCCCTTATTTTCAAGGCTGCTGGTCCCTTATTTTCAAATCTGTAAGTTGACAGCTGTGATCCAACAATAGGAGCAATGTTGCATGTCATTATAAAATGAGAAACCTCAAGTTATCCTTTGGTTCACAGAATGTCACTGAAGGTATAACTAGATGTAGCAGTGTACAGTATTATAATATGGGTCATTTAAAGTGGGACCTGCGTCCAGAATGATCTAAAGAAGAGAAGTGGGAGGAAGAAGCAGCTTAATCCTTCCCCTCCAAAACTGCCTCCCCCCCCCCAGTTGCTTTTCTCCTGGTAGAGCTCATTTCTAGTCTCAGAGTGTGTCTGGGAGAAAAGCAGCTAGAGGAAGGGTCCCCCCGCCCCCGCAAAAGAAAGCACAACCAAGGGAACATTTGTCTCCTGTTTGCTCACTGTATGACTGTGAAAGACTGGTGTAATGGCAGAACACAAAAGGGGGTAGATATCAGAGGACATCAGAGCAAAAAAGAAAAATAATAATACATACAGCTGTCCATCCTTCCGCGTATAAAAGCTGACAGACTTGATGGTTGCAACAACTACCACCATACAAAGCGTGACTGGTGCAAACAGCATAATCACATGCTTTGCCCCGTATTTCAGCGTCAGCTCTTCATCGTCATCGTCATCATCTTGTTCCACCACTTGCCGAGTGCTGTGCTGTGGCTGCCCGTTAGAGGCTGAACCGGGATTATCGTTGCCTCTTCGATCGCTGCTTTCATTACGCCGTCTTTCAACGTTGTCATTCTACAAACATAATTTTAAAAATCCCAGATCCATAAGCACCTGCATGCAACATGTATATTCCATGTTGTAATCGTAAAGGGCAGAGCTCAGTGAGTAGTCTGGCAGCATTTGATGCTGCAGCACTGCTGAAGCTAAGTGGGCGTGGGCCCCGCCTGTGCCCAGACAGGACATCGCCAGGAGCCCCATGAAGTTGCCGGTTATAGGGATAATCAAATTATATTACTAAAGGGCAACATGTGAAATAAAGGAAAGATTCAGCTGAAAGGATCTAAAGACCAGCAGAGCATCTAATATATAGGGGCAATTAATGATAACAGTCACACTGTAAGAAAAAGAAGTGATAAATGGTAAATGTGCACTTGTAGATGAAGCAGAAAGAAAGCATATGTTAGGCAGGGCAGTTAGTGTTACAATCCTCAGGGGTAATTATGCTAATTAGACAGATATCAGTTACCTGTATTCAGTTAATTAGTGTACCATTTCTACATATGCGACAAATGCCAAAGTTAATTTACCTCAATAATTTTGTCTACAATATTCTTACTTGATATTGCTATTTACTAATGTGCCAAAAATAAAAAATGAATCAGCTCTTGGGGGAAAGAGCTTTGGTAAATTTCAACCTATTAGTCTCCTTGTTCCCCAACATTTTCCCATCACTTTTCTATCTGAAGCTTCTTTACAACCTGAAGAGATATAAAAACGTTTTAAAATCTGCAATTTACATTCAATATTTTAACAAGGAACACACAAGCACATTAGGATTCATGTGCTTTTTACTGATACACATCTTTTCCTTCCACTAGGGCATTTAGTAAATTGCAGCCTCTCCTTCTGCCACAGCACCTTTCCCTTAAGAAGAGCTTCATGGCATTAAGTCGAGGCCTTGAAATAATATGGCTGTGTCAGATATTCTTCCCATTTGGTTTTGGGATAGAAAGTAATGCATTTGGATTTGAGTCCCAAGGTATTTCCTAAAAAATATATGCAGGGATGTTTCCCCACCCCCTTCTTTATGACAATGTTTTCACTCTGCTGTACCATTTACCAAGTCTGCTGTACCATTTTCTTTCTTTCCTCACGGCACTGATTCCCCCCCTCAATTAGTCATACAGTGACTGCAAATCAGGGATGATGTAATGAACAGGATGACATCATGAAAATACAATATCAATTTTGGCTAGAGGCTGATATCACTCTGAACTGAAATGTTGCCATGACCCTGAGACAAAGATTTCCTCCAGCCTTTTGATACAATTACAAAATATAAAATAAATTAAACTGGGGGGATGAGCGTGCTTTTCAATGTTGCCAAAAATGACATTGAGAAGTGCCTCCCTTTCAGTTGAATGCTATGCAAAAGTACTGCACCTTCTGGTATGGGAAAGGTAATACTTTAGAGCAAGGTGGGAATAGAGGAAGTAGGAAAACAGGAAGCGGATATAAGCAAGAAGACTTCAAAAATTTCCAAGATTTTCATTTCCTTCCTTTGGTGTACTTGCATTAGGTATGGTGTCAGTGTAGCAACCAATTTTGTGAATAAATAATAAACGCCAATGCTGTGCTAGAGGGTCCAAGGTAAAATCTATATCCTCAACAGCAGTAACAAAGTAGGACTGAACTTATCCTTTGTTCCCGTAAGTGCAACCATATCCATTCCTACACTTCTGCCTTCTCCAATTGCTTTTTAATTGCAAAGGGAACACAGGCCAATTATGAAAGGGTGTTGGAAATAAGCAAGTACGGCATCACCACAAGACAGGAGCAGGAACAAGAGCAGTAATACCTATGCTTATGAGATTGTGGAGGTTGGCAGTGGTGGCATAAAAACATGAAACATTAGCTTGTATGCTGTTGTAGCATTCAAATGTAATACACCATATGAAATAATTTCAATTTAGAGAGGAAAAAATATCTAAGTAAAACTACTCTCCCAAAAGCCGCAACATTATAGCGTAATAAAAGAATACATATCACAGGAATATACATCACAACCACATCCATGATCCTAAATTTCCTCTCCTGGTGAGAGTCAAGTGCATCACATTTTTATTTAAAGAAACTGAAAATAACTGTTGATGGATTCAAAGAAACATCTTTGGCCCTTACCTTGGAAGGGGGGAAAAGTGCAGTATTAAGTACAATTCAAAGACACTTGCAAGTGAATATTGATGACTGCTTCCTACAGGGAGTTAATTTTCACAGGCTGTATGAACTAAATAGTTTTCGTATCAGTTCTTCTGAAGGGTGGCATAATGGGTTTTGGCCACAAGTACACAAAGACGGAAAAAAGACATTATGACATGGTTCTTACTCCAAGTAAGAACTGCGCTGAGGATTGCAATTCAGAACAGAAGATAAAATAATGCACAACAGTGAAACCTGCAGGCATATCTGAGCAAAGATGCATTTTATGACACTGGGGATTGTGTCATATTTGTTGCACTTTGTTCCAGTACAGACAAAACACAAATCCCTACCTGATTAGCATTAAACAGATCACAGGTCAGAGGTGCCACCTGCAGTGGAAGCAAAGGAACAGATTCCTCAGTTTCATCAGCCATTATGGAAGCAAAGCCTTGAAAGAGGTTTGAACCAGACCCTTGTACTTCTGGTGTGTGGGCAAGAATGACTGTATATCTTCAAGGTGAATGAGTAATACCAAAGATAAACAGCAGCCTTGGCAACTATCAAAAAAAAGAGTTAAATATCAAACCCAAGCAATAGTCCCAGAGGTGCAGAACTGGGACGTGCAAACTTCCTGAACTATGTCAGTGCCTTTTCACCCAACTGGAAATGCAGAAGGCAGCTCCAGGAAAGAGATATGATGGTGTGTAGGGTTTGAAAATGTTGCCAAATTTTGGACCACTGACTCTTCAATTACTGAGGATTCTATGTAGGATGAGCCTTGGTTTCTGCAAGGAGTCAGTGCAGTAAGTGAACCTTTTAGGGGGGGAAACCTTTTTCCAACTACGGCTCTTGCCATAAATGGTTTTCAAGCAGCATGTGAAAATGGCAATATTTGAAACACAGATTCTGGGTCATTCAGTATAAATGAATGTGTTTACTATCTCTTAGATGCAAGAGATTTTCAGGGAAACTTGAAAAACTTGTATCAGGAGTTGGGTGAACTAATGCTGAGAAACCTTCACATTCAGTATGGAAACTTTTGGGAGGTCTGCTTGGCACTAAGGTTTCAAAAAGATGTTCAAAGCATTGGAACTCATGTTGAAAAGCAATGAACTGGTAAGGTATAACAAGTGTCTGCGATCTTTGTCAGGAAATTAGGGAGCAATAATATTTTTTAAATGATGCTATTCCTGCATGCTGATCCTGTGTATACCTGCCAAGTTAACATCATCTGGACTGGCCACTCAGAATGGGAACCATACCTATGCATTTATTTTAATAACAAATACTGAAATTTCCACTTTTATGGCACAAGCTGTTTAAGATTTTGTAAATGATACCAAAATAATACTGGTTCAAAATGTCTTACAAATTCTTCACAAATGTCAGTTTCTGTTTGGCCCCTCATTGTTCAGCACATGCTATGATATTTCTCTAAAAGTCCCATTCTGAATGAATTTAGTACAACACAGTTAAAGCAATAAAAGACATGACTTTCGCTGCATAATGTATTGCAACATTATTGGTAAAGCTAATGACCAAATTGTCCATGAAGCCTTATGAGGTCTAAAATTTCACTGAGGATCAGGACACAGAGAGAAGGTCCAGAATTTAGCAGTGACCTGATGAAACAGCTGAAGCTTTGAATGAGTAAGCTAAATGATCAGAAGAGATGACGCTCATGTGTCTTAAGATGTAAAATCCTCTCTTGGCTTCCTTGATAGCTTGTGGGGCTCCAAAACTGGCCCAAGCTGCCTGCAATTGCATATGGTTTGAACTGCCATAAATTTAACAAGGTAGAAAGTCCCAAAGTCAAGACTTCAAAGCATCTTGCAAGGTAGTATTATACAAAGCCCCCATCCCACATTTTAGCATTGGATTCCAAAGCATATCCCTTCCTGAATCAAGAAATCAGAAAGGGGTTTGCATGTAATTCTGCCAAACTGAGCAGGTTTTAACATTAACTCATAAGGTGATGAGCAGGGAGTTAAGTGACATCAACTGATGAGCTAAAGGGTATGGTTTGGAGAAAATGGCCCGTGGCCCACACTAATTTGGACGTAAGGCTAAGTCAGATACTATGGTTTGTTTCTACCTATGTAGCAGAAGTGGGTAAGAGGAAAAAAACCAGTACTGATATGTTAACCATAAAACATTAACTGTGGTTTACTGTGACAGGTGAACAAGGCCAGTAATTCTGAATATGAACTAGATCATGCAGCTTTCTAGTGAATTCAGATCTTCAGAAACTTTGATTGAACAAGGCCTTTTTCGTTTATTTTATTTAAAAGATAACCCACTTTGCAGGCTACATTGCCCTCACAATGTGATTTACAAGACAAGGGTTTAGAAGTTTTCCAGAGTTACTTCATCAGTCATCTGCTTTTGAGCCCAGATTGTGGTTCTTTATCAGGCAAGTGAGATTGGAAGAGTATGTCGCAAATACAGAGGATACTACAAGTACTAAACTTCAAGCAGATGCCACAACACAGTATGCAGTGCCAATTTCTTAAAGTGTGATACATCAGTTGCACCATTAAATTAGCATTATGTGTAGTAAGAGAAGAAAAAGAAGGAACAGAGCCTCCTCCGTAGTGGCACTCTGTCTGTGGAACACCCTTTCCTTACAATCAGCACCAATGCTATCCTCATGTTGGCACCAGGTTAAGAGTTATTTCTTTTCTCAGACATTTTCTTTTTGCTTGATGGTATATTTTAACAGTACTGTTTATTATATTATTTAGGTGGCTGTTTTTACTTTTTGTTCTGTGCTCCGCCCTGATATCAGTACAGACAAATGGCAGATTGTAAATATTTTAATAAAACATAAACAAATAAATCCTAATGTTCACACAGCAAAAAATAAATAAATCTGTACTGTCTATAAAAACTAAGCAGTACAGTGGAACCTTGGTTTCCGAATGGCTTAGTTGCCGAACAAATTGGTTCCCGAACACCGCAAACCCGGAAGTAAGTGTTCCGGTTTGTGAACGCTTTTCAGAAGCCAAATATACAATGCGGCTTCCACTTGAGTGCAGGAAACTCCTGCAGCCAATCGGAAGCTGCACCTTGGTTTTCGAACAGTTTCAGGAGTCGAACGGACTCCCAGAACAGATTAAGTTTGAGAACCAAGGTACCACTGTATACAATCTGATAACTTAATAAATCAAAGTTAAAGAGTTTACTGGTCACTGCTTTCTAAAGTAGTATAATATGCATGTGGTGTGAAAGATTTAGCAAAGAATGAAACAGGATTTTTTCCCCCTTAAATGCATTTATATTATTATTTTTATTATTTACATTGGTATCCTGTCTTTCCTCCAAGGGCTGAAAACAGCACACATGACTTTTTAATCTACAAAACAACTTTATAATGGTAGGTTAGGCTAAGTGATAGTGATAGTGACTGGACAAAGATCACACAATTAGTTTATGGCCAAGCATGGATTTGAACCTGGTCTTCTCACTCCTAGTCCAACACTCTAACCCAGGCACAGGCAAACTTGGCCCTCCAGATGTTTTGGGACTATAATTCCCATCACCCCGACCACTGGTCCTGTTAGCTAGGGATGATAGGAGTTGTAGTCCCAAAACATCTGGAGGGCCGAGGTTGCCTATGCCTGCTGTAACCACTACACTACACCTGCTAAATGTTGCTTTCTTCATGACATTCAAGATTACAAGACCCATTTAACAAACACAAGAGGCTTTACACAATCTTTCAGCATTTTGTAACACAGCTACCATATGTAGTTTATAATCTGGCATGTGAAAAAACAGTCCTTACGTACAGTATTGGTCTGATGGTTGTCAGGCAAGTTCTCTCTCAGCTGCCCACGCTGGACTTGTGATAAGTGTGCAGATAGTTCTGCCATTGGAACTTGGTACTCCACAAATGCTCCTTCTTCTTGAGATACTGCAACTGTAATTTTTTTAAAAAGAGAGAGTCTGAAATCCTTTGTTATCTTACCCTGAACTGAAATGATGTTCTTGCTTTAAGCTTTTGGCTTTCAAGACAAGAGTGAAGGGGAAAGTAATTGAATGCAAGTACACTGCTGCCTGACCATCTAACAATTACCCTACTATTGCTAGGTGATCTGTTGTACACCATGGAGTCATTTGTTCTTCCTGTCCTGGGTGGGCACTCCCTCCCCTTTCAGAGATAATCATATATTTGCACTGATGTTAAAAAGCTAACAGTAGTTAACACAAACCAGTTTCTAACCATTGGGTTGAAAATGGTTGTTTGTCACTCCCTATGGTTAATTTTAGGGACGCGGGTGGCGCTGTGGATTAAAGCCTCAGCGCCTAGGACTTGCCGATCGAAAGGTCGGTGGTTCGAATCCCCGCGGCGGGGTGCGCTCCTGTCGTTCAGTCCCAGTGCCTGCCAACCTAGCAGTTCGAAAGCACCCCCGGGTGCAAGTAGATAAATAGGGACCGCTTACTGGCGGGAAGGTAAATGGTGTTCCGTGTGCTGCGCTGGCTCGCCAGATGCAGCTTGTCACGCTGGCCACGTGACCCGGAAGTGTCTGCGGACAGTGCTGGCCCCCGGCCTATAGAGTGAGATGGGCGCACAACCCTAGAGTCTGTCAAGACTGGCCCGTATGGGCAGGGGTACCTTTACCTTTTACCTTTTTATGGTTAATTTTGACACTGAGCAGAGAAAATGCTAACCACAGCTGGCCACAAGACTGAGGAATGCTCACACAAGATGAGCCTGTGAAGCCACAGAACACACTCAATTGTCTCTAAGCCATGGCTAGAAAGTCGAGCAGTGTCTATGCTTGGAGCAGGCCAATGAACCCCTGAAAACTAAATGGTGATAGTGCTCAAGACAAGAACATGTGCCTAGACAAACATGTTATCTGCCATCTTCCCTCAACATATCTACCTCCCCCACAAAAAATCTGGCATACCAGGAAGTGTGAAAGTGATCTAGAATTTCTTGTTAGTGGTTAAGGAAGCAACTCAAAAGGGATAAGAACAGAATTTAAAATGATTACATCAGAAAGAAACCAAGCTTTACATGCAACCATCTGATACATTTGTTGTTCTGATGGTTTCCTAAATCAATATAAAACATTAATGTAAACCACTATTACTATTACCACCATTTGCCAAAGTTTGATGTGTGCTGTACACACAGTTTGCAAGTTATATTCGCCAGAAATGGGGAATAAAGGGAACACCCAGGATTTATAAATATACAGTTGGCCTGCTACTTACATTAAGGTTCTGTTGCAGGAGTCTACACACAAAGGCAAAATCATGCAAAGTCAGTAACCCCAGAACTGCCCCCTCCCGCACTGCAGAGGATTGCTTACCAGGATCTGAGATCATGAGAGGGCCCTAGGATGCTACCAGAGCCCTCCTGCAACCTTCCCAATGCCCAGAAAGAAGGAAAACCCACTGGGTGAGCGCGGGGGGGGGGGGAGGAAAAATAGATAAATGGAGAGCAGGGAATGGTGTATTTTCCTTGCTCTCCATTTATTTATTGCTCACCCACCTAAGGTTCCAATCACGAATGAAAGGTAAGTGTAAGTTCTGGGTCCAGTGTATAGAAGGAAGGGAAAAGGTATGTCAAATGGCAGTAGAAGTGTAAGTAAGTTGAGACAAGACTGGTTGCAGAAAGGCTGTGCTAAGGTACTGGGTTTTGAAAGAAGATCCTAAAGATAGGAGAGGTCACTTAATAAACTGGGGGGTGGGGTGGGGGGAAATGTATAGGAAACAGCTTGGCAGAAGGTACTGAGCACCAGGACTGGGCGATAACTGGTTTTCAATATTGGAATATATCACCAACTAAACATCACAATATATTGATATATCATGATATCTGAAATACGGAAGGAACTACGCAGAGGCCAACAGGACACTACCGCTGCCTCCCATCACTGCCACGAGTCCTTGCAGGCCACTGCCGCTACTGCCATCACTATCACCGCCTGCAGGCCGGTGATAGCACTGTTTGTGCTGCCACTGCAAGGCCTTGCAGGCTGCCACCACTACTGCCATCTCCCATCACCGCTGCGAGGCCTTGCAGGCCGCTGCTACTGCTGTCACCTCCTGTCGCTGCCATGAGATCTTGCAAGCCACCGCCGTTACTGCTGCCACTTTTCGCCATCGCCGTGAGGCCTCACAGGCCGCCACCACTACTGCCGCCACCACGAAGCCTTGCAGTTACTGCTGTCACTTCCTGTTATCGCTGCGAGGCGTCGCAGGCTACCATCTCCCATTGCCACCGCACGGCCTCGCAATCTACTGCCACTGCTGTCACTCCTTGTCACCATTGAGGCCTTGCAGGCTGCCATTGTTACTGCTGCCACTTTTTGTCACCGCCATGAGGCCTTGCAGGCTGCTGCTGTCACTCCATCACTACTGCGAGGCCTTGCAGGCTGCCACTGCTACTGCCGCCACCTCCCATCACTGCTGAGTACTCACAGGCCGCCACTGCTACTGCTGCTGTCTCCCATCGCTGCTGTGACTTGCAGGCTGCTGCTGCTACTGCCATCACTCTCTATCACTGATGGGAGGCCTCGCGGGCTGCCACTGTTTGTGCCGGCGCCGCAAGGCCTCACAGGCTGCCACCGCTATTGCCGCCAGCTTTCATCGCCACTGTGAGGCCTTGCAAGTCTCCACTGCTACTTCTGTCAATACGAGGCCTTGCAGGCTGCCACAGCTACTACTGCCCCCTCCCGTCATCACCACAAGGACTTGCAGGCCACCACTGATTGGGCTGTCACAGCGAGGCCTTGCAAGTTACTGCCGACACATACCGTGGTCATGGCCAGCTATTTCTGCCGCTGCTGCTTCTGCCTCCTGCTGGCAGACTCAGATTATTTGTATTCACTATGACTCGTTGCTGTACTTTGGATTGTCCTGCATACCACCATTTGGTAGCCAAGCCAAAACCAAAAGTCCTGTTGGGATGCATTCTGGCTTGCCTGCTGATGAAACTGACTGTGTGATGATTGATAATATTGTCATTTATCCATTTTAGACCTCTTAAGTAGTAGCAGTTGCCTGGACATTGTCCTGTTCACCTCTGTATAGTTTCATCCTTATTAGAGATGTGATGGATTGCAAAGTTTAGTTGGTGATATTGTGTGAGGTTTAGCTGCTGATAACATTGCAACGTTTAGCTGGTGATATAGTGAGGTTTAGCTGGTGAGTTATTGCGATGCTGAAAACCAGTTATCGCCTAGTCCTTACATACATTGTGATGTGTGATATACTGACAGCTCAAATATTATGAAACAATTATGACGATGTGAACTTCAAACCGGTTTTGGACGATATATTGATATATTGCCCAGCCCTACTGAGCACAACGGAAAAGTTCCACATTGCTAAATGGAAATTACTTCTAAGCCTTAGCTGTCTGCAACATAGAAACATGGAACTGATGGGCAGTAGTAAGGGAAACAGATTCAAATGTGACAGCCATTCAAGATTTCTAACTGTTATCTAAAAACAATGCAAAGACCTCCTCTGAAAACCAATTAGAATAATATGTACACAATAAGATCTAATACTGATATATGGTAATTCTGAAAAATCAAAAGGATGGGGAAAATCTTAGTTTTAGACATATAAAAGAAAGAATGGAAGACAAGCCAATCAGCTCTACTGGGTGCAACACTATTACAAAAAAAAAGTTTTGCAAAACCAGAGCCAAGAGAACTGTTTCTTAAACTTCCAAATACACACTGTCTACACACTAGCGTTCTTAAACCTATGGCGAATGGAATTATTCAAATAATAACTTGATAACACACTAATTAGTTGAAACCAGTCACCCAGGTCTCTTTCCTATACCACTGGGACACAATCTACTCTGCCCTTCCATCCTCTTCTTTGGATAAGGTCATTTAAGAAACAAACATAGGTCTGTAGAAAATTACATAAAAAGGTAGGATATAACCAACAGAGACAAGGGAAATTTTCAACACTTTAGACTTATTTATTCTATACAGTGGTACCTCGGGATGCGAACGGGATCCGTTCCGGAGCCCCGTTTGCATCCAGAAGCAAATGTAACTAGCAACGGCATGTCTGCACATGCACATGTCGCTTTTCGCTGCTTCTGCGCATGGCGTCATTTTGAGCGTCTGTGTATGCGCGAGCGGTGAAACCCGGAAGTAACCTACTCTGTTACTTCCGGATTGCCGTGGAGCGCAACTTGAACACGCTCAACATGAAGCATATTCAACCCGAGGTATGACTGTACACTGAAAAATACTGTTTCAATAATGTGCCTGCTCTGAGATTTAAAATAAAAGACAGCTACAGAGTTCACTGGCAGAAACACTTCATTATCATCATGAACAGATGCTCCAAGAAGGCTTTGGGGATGCAATCAGGAATGATGGTTTCTATACTTTCCACCCTGGTGGCAAGATTGGTAGGCTAGCTGATGTGTATAATAGTAATCCTTCTTCTACTGACAAGCTTGGCCAAGCTCCACCTGAAGAATGTCTAGAATAAATAATTGCATAGGCTCAGACAGTTGATCATTGCTTTCACCTTCACCGAAAACTGCTTAAGATTTCAGTGTTCACTCTGTACTGACTTTATTCTATGAGACATACACACATGGAATATTATTAACTGTCCAGTAGGACAGCATTAAACAATCACAGAGAAAAATTAAAATATATAGTCATATCATCTATTGTTGTTTATTCGAGTTTGTATTCTATTAATCAAGTCTAAGGAAGCAATGTTTGAGTAGTAGTATACTGTTACTATATTTTACTAAGAGAGCTAAATAAGACTCCATACTTATTTCTCCACAGCCATTTATCAGTGAAGGAATGCAATAATGGGAAAAGTCAGATATTTGAACACCATATGTAGTAATAAATGAGCACGATCTATTAGTAGACAGTTAACTTTTTTCTGGTTTGGTATTCTTGCAGTTAGCATTGCCAGTTATCATTCTGATAAAAATCGATAGAGTGGAGGAGTGAATGTGGGAGGTGGAGAATATTATAAAGGAAGGATGTTGCAATGCTTATAAAAACAAAAGAGTCCATAATTTTATTCACATTTGTTAATGAAATAAATGATATACTTTACTCAGACTGATTCTTTGAAAGAAGTGTTGGTACTCTCTTCTGTAGTATTTCCACTGAACTTTCATAAACTATGTGGAAGCAACCTAGAAAAAGCCTCTGACTACAAGGGATGTATGTATTAATTATTAAGAAATATCTCACATGTGGACCAAGTGGATTTTAGAAGTTATTGCATGCATGGCACAATGAATGAGAATTAAATTTTAAAGGAAACAAACTAGAATGATTGGAGGGAACTGAGAAATGAAGCTGGTTTAAAAACAGGAAGAAAGTGCATGACAGGTTGTAAATAGGATTAAAAACATATTAATGCTTTATTATTTCAGGTACAGATGATCTGTTCTTAAACAGGAACATTTCTCTGGATACTTATTTTCAGCACAGAGATGCTTTACAACACAAGACCAGTACAGACACAACCTTGTTATCTGATCAACTCCAGTATGTAAACCTATGTCCCCACTGTGGAAGGATGTGTGGATCCAGAACTGGCATTCACAGTCACTTATGGACTCACTGTTAAAACTGTGTTCTTGGAATACAATCTTACTCAGCTACGAGTGATCGCCAAAGAAGTCGTAGTAGTAGTTTTCTGTTGTATCATTAAGGGTTGCTGTACTTCTTTTAGATGCTAATTTGCATATTAGCAATATTCTATTATCAATTTTATGTTGTGGATGCTCTACTATTATTGTGACTCACCCCGAGATTATTTTTACAATGAAGGGAGCACTATAATTTTTGGAAATTAATCACAGGAGTGGACCACAGGACTGAATCCTTTCTACTTTCTAGAACACAAATTTGTCTTGCTGGACCTAGTTGTGCTTAGCTGCTACACATAGCAACTACTAGCGCCCTCCTTAACAGAGGATTTCAAACTAGCTTCAAGTGACAACAAATTATTATGTTAGCAGTGACATTAATCATGGTTGGAACTAACCAAGGTTCCTGTGCAGTGTTCTCTTAACAGACATTATTTGATTGGAAACCACTGAAACAAAATGACAGGAAAACATAATCCATTGCTTAGCAACCAATCAATTCATGAACAGTCTAGACAGATTATGATAGTCCTGCCAACTTTTTTGAAATGTGATAGTAATAGCAATTAGAAGGAGCTGTGGCCAATTCAAAAGCACTAAAAAGGAATTCTGTGCATTACCTCATTTTCATTTGTTTCCAAGAGTGCTTAGAATATTACTTACTTAGCTTGGAATATACCCCAGTTACACTGCTGGGTCCCATATTTCCATTGTCAATGCCAAATAGAACCCTACTTTACATATGATAAATATGCAAAGAAATAAGGGAAAGTCCAACTTTCTACTATCCAGACTATACGAATGATTTGCACTTTTTACAATTTTTAATATGGTTAGATTTTTTTTAAAAAAGGTCTTATACCATCCAAGTCATCTACAACCCTCTCCTATCAGATAATCTCCTCAAAACTCTATTTTTAAAGGGGGAGGGGGGAGCAGACCTAAGACCAAATTTCATCAGTACAGCCAATCAGAACTATGTGCATCGCTGCATATTTCTGCATCTCATTGATAAGCACCAGTTTAGAGGCTTCAAGACCTCTGGTGGAAAGCAAAAAAGAACTGGCTAACATACTTCAAAAGGAGCACTTAGTCTTTATTCTGAAATAAGTCAGAAAACAACTGGACACAAACAGCAGTCCAGTACTATCGTAACACTGTGCCAAAGGAAAAAGCACCTTTTTAAAAAAAAACTCAGAAGAGAACTTTCAACAGACAAAAGATTTCCCCATTACCACATCCCCATGATGACATAAGCTCCAAGTTTCCACATTCTGTACAACTATAAAAGACACAGAGGGTAAAAATCAACTAAGCTTTACTCAGAGTAGGCTCAGTGAAATTAATGAACGCAACTAATCCCATCAATTCCAGTGGTCTACTCTCCGAGTAAAACTTAGAATACCACTCAGAGCTTCTAAAGCCACTGCTAGCACACCAAGTCCATTCTGGCTATGCTGTAGGCTCAAAATCACTTAAGGTCGCGCGATCCTACGCACCTTTACCCGGGAATAAATCCCATTAAACCTATCCATTCTGAAGGAAATCAGCCCTGAGTGCTCAGTGGAGGGACAGATCCTGAAGCTGAGGCGCCAATACTTTGGCCACCACATGAGAAGAGACGACTCCCTGGAAAAGACCCTGATGTTGGGAAATATTGAGGGCACAAGGAGAAGGGGACGACAGGGGCGAGACGGCTACTAATATGAGTTTGACCAAACTGCGGGAGGCAGCGGAAGACAGGAGTGCCTGGCGTGCTCTGGGGTCACGAAGAGTCGGACACGACTAAACAACAACAAACTTAACGAGGCTTACTAATGAGTAGACACGCCTAGGAGTGCCCTTTAATTCAGATTTCAACACACTTCCGACACGGACTGGAGGTCCGCGGGAGTGGCTGGAGGAGACCCGCCCTCTTTCCGGGGCATTTTCACCCACGAAGGGAAGGCGGGGAGGTGGGATTCCAGCCGGTATTGTTTAAAGTGTCTGAAGCCAGGAGGAGGTTTCGTGTGGGGAGGGGCATCCTTTCTGATCTGAGACAAAGAGGGCCACGGAGGTGTGAGGGAAGGCTGGCTCCGGAGTCCCATGACTCCCCTCGGAAACGCTCGTGTGAGGAAGGGGCGACGTGACGAGGAGAAGGGGAAGGGCCCCCATCCCCCCGAAAGAGGAGCCCCGCTTCCTTTCCCCCTCACGGGCCTGCTTTCCTCGTCGCGCTCTTCGCAGCTCCCCGCCCCGGGCCCACCTCTCCTTACCTGTCCCCCCTCGGAGCCGGTCCCACCGGTTTGTTTTCTTCCCGGCCCGAATTCACAGCACAACCCCCTCCCTCCCACCCCCTCCTCCCGCGACACGCACGGCGCTTCCGGTCGAAGCCCCGCCCCCATTCCCCCTCCCCTCGGGAGTCGGCGCCTCGTCCCCGCCCACTCAGGCTCTCTCGGGGGTGGTGGTGCGCCTGCGCAGCCGAGCTTCTCCTCGGCGGACCGCAGCTGTCTATCAGAAGGCGCGCGCGAGGCCGCGCAACGACAACAGCTGCACCAGCAGCAGCCGCCGCCGCCGCCGGAGGAAGCGGGCGGGGGCTGATGACGTCAGGAACCGCTGCGCCAAAAAGGCAGCAGCTCAATTCGGAGAAGGGTTGCCTTAATCTGCACGTTTCTCTTCGAAGCAAGGCCGACCCAGGCATTCCGCTGCCTAAGAGTTAAAGGTCCTCGCCCGCCGCCTTCCACCGAAGTGTAGGTTCCTAGTAGCTAAGGTTGGTCAGGTTGTATTTGCGCAAAAGGGGGATAATAAATACATTAAAGCTCAAAACCAGCTGCGTTCTTTCTGAAGGGCTGCGCTTTGGGTTTAATTTGGCCGAGAGAAAATACTAGCTCTGTTCGTGGAGGATCAACAGAGAAGTCGCTCCTTTTTTCTTGGGTAGATCCCATGCGATTCTTCTTCTTTGGCGCATAGTTGTCAACCTTCCCTTTTTTTGCGGGAAATTCCCTTATTCCAGCGTCGCTTCCCGCTGCTATCCTGGATTGTTAGATATCCCGTAGACCCGGGACAGGTGAGGCTGCTGATGCCTTATTTTCAAATATGAAAGTTGACAGCTATGCTTTGGCGATCACTTGTAGCCGAGTAAGATTGTCTTCCATGAACACGGTCTTAACAGTGAGTCCGTAAGTGACTGTGGAGGCCAGTTCTCGATCCACACGTCCTTCCACAGTGGGGACGTAGATTTCCGGGTGGGAGTTTATCGTGGTGAGGGTTTGCCAAACGTGCCTTCCTCTTAGCGCATTTCTACCTTTCTTCCTGAGTTCCAGCGTCTTCAAAGTCCACATCTTTGGTACACACCCACTTTATTGTGCAGCCCGACCCTATGTATACATGTATGTTGACACTAAAATCCTATTCAGTTAGGATTACTTTCAAGTAGTGTGCAGAGGATTACAACTCCCTTAGCAGTTTAGAAGGAGCCACAGCCACTAGTTATCTTACCTCTGCCACTTGCTACATTTGCCCTATGAGGCAAGGTTTATTTCAATTTATTATTACGTTTATACCCCCACCTTTCCTCCAAGCTCAGGGTAGTGTATATGGTTCCTCTCATTTTATCCTCACAATCCTGTGAGGTGGGTTTGGCTGAGAGACAGTGAGGGGCCCAAGGTCATCCAGTGAGCTTCATGCTTAACTGGGGATTTGACCCCTGCTTTACTCTGACAAGCAAAGGCTCCTGACTTTTCACAATCAATACAAGGCTGTTTACATGTAGACACAACTCTGTAGATTGTCCGTGGTGGTGATTTTCATGAATGCAAGAACTTAATGTACAAACAAGCCTCATGGCTTTCCAACATCCTAACCTACGATACCTTTTGAGTTTGGGAATAAGGACTGCCTTCATAGTTTTAGATAAGCTTTGTTATAAGATGTACAAGGTATCCAGTTTATGTTGCTACAGCTGTGACTACTAGTGTGTGAACTTGGCCCAACTGTCAGCTAGACAAATCTACCCTGATTTAAAGTGAGGAGCATACAATCAAGGGTCCCACAACTTGGAAGACACTGCAGAAACTTAAATTTTGGACTACAGTTCCCATAATCTCCAACTATTGGCCATGCTGGCTGGAGATGCAAAGTGTAGTCCAAGGCATTTGAAAACCCTGAGCTAGGTTATTATCTCAGCACCTCTTATAAACCAGTATCCTTGTGTTAATACACACCTTGAAAAACTTTTTATATAAAATAAGTTATGGGGAACTTATGGTGCTGCAGATGTTGCTGGTATCAAACTCCCATCAGATGCATGCATGGCCAAGTTGGGATGATGAACTATTCCCCCCCCCCGATCTATTTATTTATGTTTTATAAGATGTATATGCTGATAATCAATAAAAACTCCCATGTGGTTTTCATAGAATATAGTTGTAATAAAATGCCAGTGAAATAAGACTTTGAAAACAAGAAGACAGAAAATGTTATCAAACATAGGTATCATCAGTAGTTTCAAAACAAATACACAAGTTACATGAATTACATGTCTGCTAAAAAAAGGGACCAATAAAAGACACTATCAGGTCAATTCTGCGTTAAAAACGTGTTTCAGCAGATGGTTGGGAGTTACGTACATTAAAATTAATTTTTGTTGTAATTTTTGTTGCTCTCGACTTGTTTTTTGCTGGTTAGGATGCAAACTGTTAATTTTGATGATGAGATTGTTACCAACAACATCAACTCCAGGGAGCCATGCAGCTAACTTTGGCTTTACGTACCTTTTATTGCTGCACTGTTGTTGCTAATTTAGCACTGTATATCCATACATATCAAGCATGCATTCTCATTTTCAAGTGTGCAGTGTTGCTTTTTCGATAAACCAACCATAGAAGCTGCTTTATAGGAGTCAGGCCACTTGTTCATTGTGCATAGGCTTCCCCTCCAGATTGGACTCTAAACCATCACCCTCACGACAGCATGGTCAATGATCAGCAGATGACAGGAGTCATCATCTCACACATCTGAAGGGCATCAGATTGAGAAATGTCTGACAGCAACTCTCCAGTTCAGCTGGATCCTGCCTGGAAATGCTAGGATCCAGTTATGGCCCTTTCCCTTTTTGTGAAGGGTTGTGGTAGAACAAACCATTATTATTCAGGTTTGTATTGTTCTTTGATTAGTTAGGCTGTCACTTCTGTCATTGTGTAACAGGTCAATACATTTAATTTGTCTCCTAGAAGTGGTATGGTTCTCATTCTTGAGATTCCATTCTTTCTCCCCACCCCCAGTAATTGTAACAATACAATTCACTAGGTGGGATCTAGATTAAGTTTGGCAACTTTGTTTTTATTTCAACTTGTATTTTGTTGGTGTTTTATTGTACTCTTATTTAAATTATTACTGTTAGTCACAGAAACATTTGGTGGAAACGTAGGCTAAAAATTTAACAAATTGTACTTAGGGACTTCAGTTAGTCATGACTAACTTGATTTCAACAGACTCAAGTGCAACCAGCTTATTCTAGATCCAACTCAACACTATATAGTTTGGCCCGTGTGCAGAATTTGAAGCTGTATTTCCATACTGGGAAGTTTTTGCCAGATCAACAAGCCAACTAATCCATTACTTCCAGAAATGACGTAGAAGTGGTAGTATATTTTGAAACGTAATTAAATAATCAAAATCCAGATCAAATATATACATTTTTAATATCTGAAATATTTACATGGTGGAACCATTTATAGGATCCCATTTATTAAGAACAGTTTTTTCCAGCTGTCTTCTTATAATGCATGTACTCAGTAACTCAGTGTCATGGTTGCACCTCCTAAATAGGTCAACCTGTATCCTTCAGGTAAAGAGATATCAGAAGAGCAGTATTTTAAAAAGTGAGAACTGTTGCTTCCTGGAAAGTGTTCATCCTGCAATCAAGAAGGCCCATAGCGTACAGTCTTTCTACTTGTGAAGATTTTAAAAAATGCAGTTTACAGTACATTGTTGTTGATACCACATCAGCATATGTATAAAACTCATACAGAGTAAGAGGACAAGAAATATCATCCTCTATCCGACAGACAGCTTACAGTACAAAAAGAAAGTCACAACTGACTTGATGACTTACATAAAAACAAATTTCTCCATTGTTCGAAAGCATATGATTTTAACATTGTAAACTGTTGTGCTCGTTACATTTTTAAACCTTTTCTATCCACAAGTTTCCCAAACCTGTCTATGGATTTTATTTTAAATAATTAAAAAAAGAATACTTTAGATGTCAGACTTGTATTAGTAGGAAGCTAAAATTAAATAAATTTGTGCACTAGTTATCCTTGATTAAAAACACAACTGAGTATGAAATTTTGTCACCACCGTAACTGAACAAAAGGTCTCATGTAACGAGCAGGAGGAAAATTATCAATGGCTTTACAAGGATGCCTGAGTTGAAGCAAGTCCACCATGTTTTTCTATAGATTCCTCTAGAAATATTATAAAGTCCAACAAGGGAATGATCCCCTATCCATGCAGATGAAAACTGTGTGCCAACAAAATGACTCCCATCCATTTTTAGAATTTTAAAGTTTATTCTAATATTTTAAAATGGAGAAGGGAAAGAAGAGGTTGGTGTATTTACATAAAATTCAATTATTTTGGTTTGTGGTAAGCACAGATGTTTCTAAAACATGGGTCTTTTTAATATTTACAAGGAACAGTTTAGAAGATGAATATCAGAGACTGTGTACAGCAGCTGCAGTAGTTTATGAAACAATACCTGTAACTGTACTTGGTGAGTGAAAAACCACCAATGCAGAATTCAGATAATTACAACCAAGGAAGCTGGGGTGAGGGCAGGAGGGAGGGAGAGGGGACCTCAGTGTAACAAGATGGAAAAAAAATTCACATTTTCTACATTTAAAAAATACAGGTCTCACAAATGTCTCTTGAAGACAGAGAAACTTCAAAGTTCTTCAGTGATGCAGAACAAAAGTTGAAATGGCGCCCCCAAAACAAAAAGGGATTCTTTATTTCACCAGCCCAATTTTTTTGGCTTCTGTTTCATATATTAATAACCTCCACATTTTGACTATAAAAACTTCAGCTTCTTCATCTAGCACCTACACCAAAAAAGAAGAAAATAGGGCATTAAAAACCAAAGGAAAAAGTACATCTGAATACATTTAGTGAAGGTGATTCTCACAGAAGAGCTCTAAGTTTACACAAATTAGAAATTCTGGATGTGGCGTGTTTTTCCTTTACTCACCATAGCAACATCATCCAAGATGCTCTGCGGTGAACTATGAGCCATAACCTGAAAAAGAGAGGCATATCAACATTGAGAACACAGCACTTGTATGACTGAAAATTGAACCATGCAAGATTTAGAACTGTTACCCGCATAACAGTTAACATTCTAGCAGGTAGCAAACACATGTATCTTAAAATAAAATCCATGAAAAGCAAGCCCATTGCTTTCAATTTTAAATAAGGTTGTTTGTTCCAGGGGAAGCTTCTGAGAATGGAAGCACACACACTGATTTTTACTGTTTCCCCCCTTCCCTCTGTAGCTCCTTGCACCTCAAAGACCTGTTCCAGAAGATTGGGGGGGGGGGCTTTTGGAAGAGCACAGGAGGTGTTACAGGTATGTAGGAGAAATAGGGAATTTAGGAAACGGCTTCTCTTCCCATTCCATTTACAAAAGCCTCTGCTGATCAAAAACCCTTATTGTGAGTAGAAACACAACTGGACACAAACCTAAATAATTTGAAAGGTGGACCAAAAGGCATTTTTAGTTTCAACCCCCTTGTTCGATTCATAACAGGTATTTGATTGCATTTGTAAGTGACCGAGGTAGATCAAGAACAGTGAGAAAGGAAAGTTACCACTTGTGTCCTGCCACCTTAGTTAACTCAAAACAAAACCCTCACACTGTTTGCTGTCATGTTGGAGCAGACTGTACTTCCCAAAATAACTGATGCACAAGCCTGCAGGTTATGTGTGTAGATTTGCTTGTCCACTGTAGCATCACTGAGTTGGGCTTCCTTGCGCCTCTAGTGGATGAAGGGAGGAGTACCTTTTACAGGAAATAGGCTGACTCCTCTCTAGTTTTGCATACTCACTGAGCATGCAGTCCAGAAATGAAACTCAGACTAATGTTAACCTATATCCTACAACAAACCATTAACTGAAAGCCAACCGTGCTACCCGAGGTGGGAAGAGGTGTTGCAGGCTATGCAAGGGTGTGGCCTCGGTGATGCTACACTAGACAAGCAAAACGACTCTTCAGATAGGTACAATGGTGCTATTTCACTTGCCCATGTAGCATCACTGGGTTGGGATGTACAAAAGCCCAACCAACTAGGGTGGATCTCAACGGCAACAACTTACTACTCCAGCCAATGCTGTTTCAGAGGAAGCAAAGGGTGTGAGACAGGCATGCTGTAGAAGTACTGAGTGGCCAGACATGCTGCCTGAAGTTTGAGCCAGTCAATGCTGTGTTGTGACTCAAAGGGTCTCCCATCCACCTGGACCAGTTGCCCCTCGCAATGTGCTCCAATGCACTCATGTAGCGCTGAGACTGCCATCCTACTCTATAAGGGGGATATTAGCTCCATTGGTGAAGGGAATGCCACACACAGCTGTGGTGTCCTCTAGGCCTGGTCTAGCCTGCTCAGGAGTGTTTGGCCTACTTCAGGCCTTGGTGGCTTGGGTGCATAGGGGATGGGAAACAGTTCGTACTTTGACTAGTGATGACAGTATACATTTCTAAGAATCCACCTCAGCCGATGACACCTCTGTAAAGGCTGAAAATTAAAGCCTGCAGAGAGTAGATCTCACTTCACTGTATCACTGCTGCTAAGGAGGGCAATCCAATTATCCCTAAAGTGGGGGTGGGGGGCAAGCTTCTTGTGTCTCCTTCTCAGAAGCCAGTCTGTGAAGATGAGGGAAAGGAAGTCTAATTTTTATTTTTAGTATTTATACATAGAAAGAACAGTAGAAACAGCGGAAGCACAGAAGAAAATTGCTAAGCCGAAATGAAAGAGTAAAAGGAGCCAGACTATTTGCTGTAAAAGCTATTCCTGCCTTAGTCCACCAGAGGTGCAAGTACAGTGGTACCTCGCAAGACGAATGCCTCGCAAGACAGAAAACTCGCAAGACGAAAGGGTTTTTTGTTTTTTGAGCTGCTTCGCAAGACGATTTTCCCTATGGGCTTGCTTCGCAAGACGGAAACGTCTTGCAAGTTTGTTTCCTTTTTCTTAACACCGTTAATACAGTTGCGACTTGACTTTGAGGAGCAACTCATAGCACGCAGTGTGGTAGCCTTTTTTGAGGTTTTTGAAGACTTTGGTGATTTTTGAAGCTTTTCCAAAACTTTTCCGACACCGTGCTTCGCAAGACGAAAAAGAATCGCAAGACGACAAAACTCGCGGAACGAATTAATTTCGTCTTGCGAGGCACCACTGTAAGCCCAACTGGCAAGCGAAATTATAGCACCAGCCACCTAAAATATGTATTTATGAAGAAGTTTACCTTTGAACAAACAAAGTCAACTAGCGTTGCTTCTTCTTCACCAATATATTCTATTATTTTCTTGTTGATCCATGGTCTAATTCGACGTTCCATTAATGTCTAGAATAGAAAATATTATCATTTTAAATAGTTTCCATTTTTTTTAAATTTGGAACATACATTGCTTTCATCCCTTGTCACTTATAAAAGGTAAAAGTAAAGGTAAAAGTAAATGACCGCTGGACGGTGAGGTCCAGTCAAGGGCTGGATTGCAGTGCTCATATCGCTTCAGGCTGAGGGAGCCGGCATCTGTCCACAGACATCTTTTCAGGTCATGTGGAGAGCATGACTAAACTACTTCTGGTACAACAGAACACCGTAACGGAAGCCAGAGCGCACGGAAACGCTGCTTACCTTCCTGCCACAGCGGTACCTATTTATCTACTTGCACTGGTATGCTTTTGAACCACTAGGTTGGCAGAAGCTGGGACAGAGCAACAGGAGCTCACCCCATTGCACGGATTCAAACCACCAACCTTCAGATCAGCAAGCCCAAGAGACTCAGTGGTTTAAACCACAGCACCACCCACGTCCCTTTGTCACTTATAGCAACAATACTGTATTAACATTGAAAGAAAATCTCTGCTAGTTCAGACTAAAGGCCTATCTAGTCCTGCAACCTGTTTCCCAGAAAGGCCAACCAGTTGCCTCTGGGAAACTAACATGTAAGATATGAATGAAATAGCCCTTTCCCACTGTTCCCCAGTGACTACTACTGAGGAATTTTGCCTCCAGGATCTGGAGCCATTATGCCCAATAGCCTTGTCTATGAATTTGTCTAATCCCATTTTAGCTGGTGGCTATGACCACATCTTGTAATGTAGTGTGTAAAGAAGTACCTATTGTGTTTATGACTGCAAGATTTAAATGGGCTTACATCAGTAAAGAAACCAAGTAAAGCTTGAATTAATTTTAACTACTGGTGCTATTTTTTAAAGATTTATCTGCTTCTGGTGTTTAATTATAGCAGAATGAAAAAGAAAAAATGTTTGAGGTTGCAACCCTACACACCTGGAAAGAAGTCCCACTGAACTCAATGAGACTTACTTCTAAGACAATATGGACAGGCCTGCACAGTTAAAATGGCATTTCCTTTATCAAAATTTGCTTTAAATTCCTTCGATTTCAAGGCATGTACTGTATGTAACATGTAAAAAAAATTTAAGTAGACCAGTTAAAAGACAAAATGTTTATGAACTTAACATTATTCAATTGGTAGCTAGCTCTTGCCAAACTTGCAAGCCAGGATCCAAAATAGGACATGAGCAGATGTATCAATACAACAGGTTTTAGTTGCCTCCCTTTGCCTGCAGCAGATCTTATCAAGGAGACAAGTTTGACTGAACAGCAACATGCCTCCTTACTTCTTGACTGCTATATATTCCATGCTACCACTACTAGATGATCTGATATATTTTTCGCTCTGTAAGATGCACCAGATCATAAGACGCACCTAGTTTTTGGAGGAGGAAAACAAGAAAAAAAATATTCTGAATCTCAGAAGCCAGAACAACAAATGGGATCGCTGTGCAGTGAAAGCAGCGATCCCTCTTGCTGTTCTGGCTTCTGGGATAGCTGTGCAGCCTGCATTCGCTCCATAAGACGCACACACATTTCCCCTTACTTTTTAGGAGGGAAAAAGTGAGTCTTATAGAGCAAAAATTACGGTAAATGGCTTGAATCCAGAATTCTCTTTCACTGATGAAAGCACAGTGAGCAGAAGTGATTTCCTCTTCCCCCCAGCCTCTTGTGTCTTCCATACAGTGGTACCTCGGGTTAAGTACTTAATTCGTTCTGGAGGTCCATTCTTAACCTGAAACTGTTCTTTACCTGAAGCACCACTTTAGCTAATGGGGCCTCCTGCTGCCGCTGGAGCACAATTTCTGCTCTCATCCTGAAGCAAAGTTCTTAACCCGAGGTACTATTTCTGGGTTAGCGGAGTCTGTAACCTGAAGCATATGTAACCTGAAGCGTATGCAACCCGAGGTACCACTGTAATGTGTTCCATAGGTTTCGGGGACTTTCCAGAACATTGTGGGAGAGCTGTAAGATGAACAAGTGAATATTGTCTCCCCTTCCTACTGCGGGTGGCGCTGTGGGTAAAAGCCTCAACGCCTAGGGCTTGCCGATCAAAAGGTCGGCGGTTCGAATCCCCGTGGCGGGGTGCGCTCCCGTTGTTCGGTCCCAGCGCCTGCCAACCTAGCAGTTCGAAAGCACCCCCAGGTGCAAGTAGATAAATAGGGACCGCTTACTAGCGGGAAGGTAAACGGCGCTCCGTGTGCTGCGCTGGCTCGCCAGATGCAGCTTGTCACGCTGGCCACGTGACCCGGAAGTGTCTCCGGACAGCGCTGGCCCCTGGCCTCTTAAGTGAGATGGGCGCACAACCCCAGAGTCTGTCAAGACTGGCCCGTACGGGCAGGGGTACCTTTACCTTTACCTTTTCCTACTGCTAGTGGAATCCTTTGCTAGATTGGAAGCCTTTCACAAGCAGGGGGGCACTTAGAAACTTAGGATCCAAGCCAATCTTTGCATTTCGGTAGAAGTAAGTAAGTAAGTAAATAAATAAATAAATATCTACCCTAGCCACTCTGGGCGGCTTTCAACAGAACATAATTAAATTAAATTAAATTAAATTAAAATGATGTGACATGCCTATGTATAGGGTAGCATTTTTTCCCCAGTTAAAGATAAATAGCAGGCATGGGGGCTTGGTTATGTACTGAAATAAGGATTTCCCCACAGAGCTCATATTATTCAATGAGGTGCACAAATTTTACCTATACTCAGTGTTGAACCACAAGAGCTGGCAAATTAGTGCAACACATGTCCTGTAGTTCATACTCAAGATTTTGTAAAAATTTACACTTACTGAATCCACAATAGACCAGTCAAGAGGATAAGCAAAGAGTTCTGGTTTGGCTGTGGGAATTTTCTCAATTAGACTCTTAATGTGCTTGCGCTTCTCCTCAGTATTGACGCTGCCTTTGGAGGAGCCTTTGTCTTCATCACCGTAATCCAGGGGCACCAGTTTCCTTTTTCGTGGCATGTCATCACTGTCTTCATCCTCAAACTTATTGAAGACACTGTCCACAGTGAGTTTCTTTCTTTTCACGGCATTGGGCTGGTTAGGACTATTGCAGGCACCTAAAATATAAAGAAGATTCATTCTAATATATTTAAACACAATCTGGAGACTCTTCCAAATTCAGGTAAGAGCTGCACTTTTAAAAACAATGGGATATCAACAAAATAATAATAATAAAAGGCTGGGGAGAGAAAAATCAACCACAGAGCAAAATGGCTACGATTAAAGAGTTTATTCTATGCTGCTTCACTCAACTGCTTTGCTCTCAAATGGATCAATAATAATTATACAATCAAAAGGTTCAAAGAAGGGAAGCACAGAATCTGACTTCCTATCTTTGTGCCCTCCTTCCTCACATGGATAGAAACAAGGGGGAAAACTTGCCCAATTTGAGGCTAAGCCCTATTTTAGGCCTGTACTCCTCTGGCTGCTGCTGATCTGGCGAGTTTTCATGTGGGATGATAATACCACAGGGAGATTCGTCCCCAGGAGTGTTAGGAGTTGCATTGCCACTTGCTGAGGAAACAGATGGGGCAGAGCTGATGGGTCGCAAGGTTGGTTTAAGGCAGGGCTTTTGCTCTGGCTCTTCCTCTTCTTCTTCAGGTTCTTCCCTCTTCTCTTCCTTTTCTTGCTTTTCCTCCTCCTCTTCCTCGGATTCTGGCTCCTGTTTGGTTTGTGGCTGTCGACGCCTTTCAGCCTCTTGTTCCATCTATGGAACAAAATTGTGGTCTTATGCACATTCTTCACCAAATGCACTTATTAGGAGTTAAAACATGCAAAGCAAGCCTGGCTGTCCCCGTAAATGGATAATCCTAGTTAATCCGAGGCAGTTTTTCAAAAGCTCAAATTTATTTGGCTTTATAAATAAGGAATAATCCAGATTAACAATACTATGATACTTATATAAAGAGATCTGAAACAAAAAACTGCTTTCCACATGAACATGGGGATATAAACCCAGGACATGTCAACCAAAAGTGTCAGTCACAAATCTCTAGCTTACCAATAGTCAACTACATGACATGGTCTACTATTATAAAAATGCTCATTCACCACCCTTTGCCAAAAAAGGAGTTTCTTACCCTCTGTAGCTCTGCATCTGGATCTGGGTGTCCTTCTGCAAGAAGACGTTGCCGGATTTCTTCCAGTTCTTCCTTTTCCCTTTTCCTATCTCTTTCATCTGCTTCCATTTCCTTTTCCCTATCTCGCAATCGCTTCTGCAGAGCGCTTCCCCTGTAACATGTATTCACTTTTGTTTTAAAGGTCTCGTGGCACTTGTTTCCCACAAATATTTGTCAAAAACAGCACACCATAAGCACCCAATACAGAATATTGACTATAAAGTTTCATGTTTCATTCCCTACATCAGAGAAATAAAATATTCTGTTTGGAGTAGGATTTAGCCATGTACTTCTTTGCATCTGAATTCTTACAAAAACATGCCAGGAAGGAATAGCAATTCTTAAAACTAGGGAAATAAAAGATCCTTTAGTTTGAAAGTGATTACGAGTCTCCTCATTCTTCCAACACAATGTTATCTGAATATGTTCAGTGCTTTTCATAAAAGAGGGATTTGCTAGGATTTGTCTAATGATCACTCTTATTGGTGCTGCATCAAATTTACAAATTTGGGGCTGCCATTTCCATCATTGACACACAGGTTTCCTTTGTGGCGTGGAGCACCTTCGGCCAGCTTAACCCGATTCACTCACTACATACCCCACATTGGGCAGAAATATCCCTGCATTGCTGTGGGTTTGACTAGATGACCTTCGTGATCCCTTCCAACTCTACAATTCTATGATTCTAAATCACACTGTAAACCTCTCCTACTCATCACATGTTGGAACACAAGGTTTCCTACATATGTCTTTCTGATAGGAGTCTCGTTGACGAAACCTGAGACCACAAACTGATTTATCTCATGAACCGCCCTGAGACCTGCAGGTATAGAAGGGTATACAAATTTAATGAATAAATAAAAATCTCCTGCAGTTCATGCTAAGCATACCTGTAGTATTTTGGATCATCTCTGTCATCATCATAATCTTCTAGAAATTCTTTTAGACGCTTAGCTTCTTTTGCCTATAAGAGAGTTGAAAACATTTAATTAATTTCAGACAGAAATTAGCTCATCACCCTTGAAGGAGCAGAAGTTATTCCCTACCAGAAAGTTTCTAGAGTATCACCTTCCTTTAAGTAGATAGCAAGTCACTACTAGTTTGCTTTTGAAACGGTATTTCCTCCTCACAAACTACTGAACCCTCTGAAGCTTGAGTTGAGAATGGACTTCCCAGTTCTGAACTAAAGTGTAGAGGCATGAGATAAGTTAGCCAGGCTTTGCAAAAGGGACCTGAAATAATCGCTTTGAGTGCAAATCTGCCTCAAGTAGCCTGTCAGTTCTGGCTAGGATGCAAGAGAACCAAGTTAATGAGCTCTAAATGCATGAGAGGAATTTGGGCATGCATTTTAGAAAGCAGTTTCCTGTGCCAATCCACTTTTGAAAACAGTCTACAATATAGCTTTTGAAAATGGATGGGTCCTGCTGTTGAAAGAAACATGTAAAAATGTCACTAGGCATGGAAACTCAGATCCAGCTTCTGCTCCCGCGCAAGTAGGAGCGGAATCAGGGCTGCTTAGCTGGGGAGTGCAAAGCCCCTGTTCCCCAGGTGAGAGATCTCTGACCCCACTCCTGCTTGCATGGGAGCAGAAGAGGGATCAGCTGTGGAGGTGCAGGCTCCATCACACTTTTCCTGTGAGAGATGTGTGGCCACGTTCCCCTCAATGGAGAAGTTTAAATGAGCACCACCTGGCAAGGCGGAGACAGCCTGACAGCTGCATAAGAGGCAGTGCAGGGGTTCTCAGATGCAGCTGCCGGGCTGCAGAAGCGGGATCATGGCTCTCTCAGCTTGGAAGGAAGGGCTTGAACTCCCCAGGTGAGCAATCCCAGTCCTACTTGCATGCAAGCTGGAGTGGGAGCGGGCATCTCTCAGGTGGGAAGTGGACCTTTTCACTTTATAAGGAATAAAGTCTGTAAAGCAGCCAAACACTTTCTTTTCGCATAATGCTTTTTTAAAAATTGCGGCAACATACAGACTCAGCTATTTTGCATTCACATTTGTGAGCTACCACTTAAGTCACAAAAATATTACGACTACTACTACTGCCACTACAGGACACCCTTGTATACCAGCACAGAGATTCTGCCATTTGAGCATTGAATAAAAGCACTGCAAAAAATAATGAACCCCTTACCATTTCTCTTCGCCTTTCTTCCTCCCTCTCAGCTTCTTTTTCATATTCTCTAGCTTTTTTCCGTTCTCTGATCTCCCAGTTTTTAAGACGCTGAAACCAAATAATCTGTTTACCATTTACTGAACCAGAGAGGAAAAAAATCCCATATGTCACTTGAGAGAAGCAAAACCATCCACATTTAATTATATCACCCAGTCTTCTATTTCAATACAGAGGTTCTGTAAAATGCTCTGAAGCTTGATGGTCAATGCTACAAAATGATTAGAATACAGGTATGGACAGGAAACATGCTCCACGATAATGGAGTTGGATCTTTAACAACTGTGATCAGACCTCCATTCAGAGAATGGGGCTTTCACCCTGAAAAGAGACAACCTCCTTTCAACAAGTGTCTCCTGAGGGAGCATGGGGTACTGGGGGAGAGGGGCTTCAATGCAGGGCTCTGCAGCCAGTGGGTGGGGTGGTAGAGTTAATATTCTCACCCCACCCCCCAAAACCGGGTGCTTTCCATTTGCAACAGAATCCCTTTGAATCCAATCCCCAGGTCAGAAGCAACATCCTCCTATACCTCTTGATAAGCTGCTTCCTTTTCACGGAGCTTCCTTTCCAGTTTGCGCCGCTCATAGGCATCTTCTTCATCCTCTTCTCTATCCCGTTTCTTGTCCTTTTCTCGCTCTCTCTCCCGTTGTTCTCGTTCCCTTTCCCGCTCCCGTTCCCTCTCTCGCTCCCGTTCCCTCTCCCGTTCTCTCTCGCGCTCCCTTTCTCTGTCTCTGCTTTTCTCTCTATGGACAAAGATCATGACAAATGATTATTGCATATAATTGTCAACATTTAATACTGCTGGTAACAGAGGTTAGGTCTAACAAAACTAACTCTACTAGATAATTAAAACACCATACAATACGAGGTTTACAAAAGTAGTGATTTTGAGATCACTGAAATTAAGCCAAAACTCAAAACCTCTGTTAAGTTTTTCAAATTAGCCACAACATTGCTTGTGTAGTGATTAGACAAATGACGTTTGGAACAACAGACACAGTACATCAATCTGCTGTCTTTACATTGACACACACACACACACACACACACACGTCTCTCTGTACGTTGGTTGTGGCTTTATTCCGTCAGCCAAACCATACAAAAGGGCCTGAGGGACAGGGCAGCACGGCTGTCAGCAAATCATACTATTTAATTCATTGCCTCATGGCTTATTGCATGCTGGTCTTCAAAACAGGTTGCATCCATGAATTATTTCCTTAAGAACCACTGTCAAATTTATTAACAAGTATTCATTACACCGCACAATTTACCTGGATCTGCTCCGATCTTTATTTCGGTCTGAGCTTCTTTCGCGGTCTCTGTCTCGATCTCTTTCCCTGTCCCGGTCTCTGTCTTTAGTGCGGTCCCGATCTCTGTCCCGTTCTCTTTCACGCTCCCGTTCCTTTTCCTTCTCTCTTTCACGCTCTCTCTCCCTCTCTCTTTCACGCTCCCTTCTTTCTCTTTCACGCTCCCGCTCCCTCTCTCTTTCACGCCGTTCTTTTTCAATTTCTTGTCTCTCTTTCTCCTTTTTGCCTTTTTCCTCCTCCAATTTCTAGAAACCAAGAGGATTTTCAAAGTTAGCACGTAGCTATAGTCGGAGGCCCCACCCCACCACCACGCACAACACCCAAGGCTGGTAGTGAGCATTTCAAGAACACCAATAATTTAACATTTAAATATTTAACAGCTTACTGTCAGCTCATAAGAAAAAAAGTTCTGCAATCGTAAGGCTAGATTTCGTGCAAAAAGCATATATCTAACACAGACTGGCAATCTCCAACCTTGGAAAGAAGGGCAATGCTCACCTCATATATGCATATGCTGACAATTACATAGTGCATTGCCATCAATAGTTCACAGAAAACTCCTGAGCCACGAAAGATAGAAAAGAGCTTGAACACAGATGAATTTTTAGCTGGCAAAATTAATCCTGCCCATGTAGACAGATCATTTAGTAGGATGCTGACAGACAAGATTACCTCATACCACAGCCAAACCAAATTCATTCTATGCAAGGATGGGAAGTAAAATCAACTTCAACTGTGTATGTTACTTGAAATGTTTGGAAGGATACATCTTACCAATCACTTTATTCTCCCCAACTTTTTTATTTTTTGCATTCATTGCTTAAAGTAATGGTTTCTAAAGAACAGGATCCTCAAAAAGGTTGGAAATCGCACATAGACAAGACTAAAAGGTTATACAGTACATTTTTAATGAATTCTATACAAAAGTGCATTTTTTTTTAATTCAAAAAGTCATGCCTATTACCAAAACTCCCATGAAGACAATAGAAAAATAAAATCTCATTAAAATGATAGATAAATCCATCCTTGGAAGCAATTGGTGTGTGTTAACTTACAGATGCTGTGCTAGGACATGGACCGCCAACACTGGATTAACCTTGCCTACAAGCTATATTTCTGGGAGGAAGAGCAAGTACATGGTTCACAGGTAAACCAAAAAAAGGAAGGAAAAAAAACATAAGCCAAATATCAGCCTGATGGGTGCCAAAATATTAAGGGCATGATCCTTCCACATCCACGTGTTGTGCCTGAAGAGATCAACGTAGGGCTTAACAGAGCCCATTTCTCACGCCTCCTCTCCTTAGCGCACATGTGCAACCAGTGCACCGTACCATTTCAGCCAATAAGAGGCTCTTGCATCACTACTCAGCCCCCTCTTGTCACTTGGTGGAAGGAGCATGATCCGTTCCTTCACCAAGTGACAAGTGGAGGAGGATGTAAGAGAAGTGCACAAGCCTCTTATTTTCAGCAGTGGCCTGGTTCATTGCCTGCATGTATGCTAAGGAGAAAGTAACAGAGCACCAGGACCCGTCTGTGCATGGGTGCAGCATGAGTGAGGAAGGATTACACCCTAAATATATTGTATGCAGTTGATGCAAGGGGGAAGAGCAAAATCGCCCCATTTGGCACCTTGTTTACCACTGCTGAAATAATTTATAAACTGGAACAATAAAGTGCGCATATATTTCTCTCTTTCAACAAAGCATTTAAGACAACTTTAAAAACAATCTTACCTGTCAGACAGTCTTCTCGTGTGCGCTCATGGACCAGAGAACCAAAACAAAGTCACAGTAATAAAACTAATAAACAAAAGGTCAATATATCTAACCACCACACTAAATGGCACCAAAAGTGAAATATAGGGAGGGTGGTGTTAGATACATTGAACTCACAAAAGAAAAGGGTATTTGAGAATGGTAGAGAACAGCCATAATGGAGGAGGAAAAAGTGAAAGTGTACAGAATGTGGCAACCTACTTTCTAAGTGAAATGCTCTCATACAATATAATTTCATTTAGTGTATTAAGATTATGCTAGCTACATTAACTTTCAAAAGCAGAACTTACCTCAAATTTCGTATACTTTTATAGAAAAGTTTATATACTGAAATGATCGATACTTACAGATTATTTTAGTTGTTCCAATAAGAATGTCTTTGGTTAAGTTCCGGGATTCCCCCGCAAAAATTTCTTTTGTAGTAAAAGCCATGATAAAAATTTGCATTGACTTTTGGCATCTTAAAGGCATTTATTTCAAGCTTCTCTTTTCTTAAAAGCCAAATCAGCGCTGCTGTTTCATATTGAAAATTTAAGTAATAGGCTGCTTCCAAGTGAACAAAAGGATGTTTTATAGGAAATGAGGGGTGAAAAGGATTCAGGATATGCCAATAAAGTAATGAGCAAAGAAGATAGGTAGGGAAAAAAACGTAAAATCTTACCTTCGGTTCTCTTCAGACTCATCTGTGCTGTAAATGGACACCCCCTGCAATGCTGATACCCTAACAGTCCAATTGTTTGTAAATTCTAACCAAAAAACATGCAAAGGTTCACTGTGCTCATTAGCCAGCCCCTTTTTGAACATCCCACCCAATATATGAAATGGCCATTTTGTATTAGATTTAGTTCCATCTATTAGAAGAGGTTAATTCAAAATATTCCCCCAATAGGATAGATCAAAGGCAGCAAAATGCCTGATTGCTTCTGAAACAGTGAAGCATATTTTGATTTTGTTTTAACCACATTATTTCTTTACATTTCAGAGGTATGTTGGGGCTTGGAAATAAGACGATGTTTCACCACTGAACAGTTTCATACATCTTCTGGAACAATTATCCTCAGGTTCTCATTCCAAAGTTATACTACAATATGTTGCATTGCCAGCAATGTACATCCATTTTTGCTTTAAAGTAAGTGTGATCCTGTAACCAGAGTACTTTTTACCCGTTTTGTAAATTCACACCATTATACCAATATTAGCAAACTACAAGCACTCATTTCAGGGATAAATACTTCACTGAGCGTGCAGTACTCCAGCCTTGGTGGGCAGTTCATATTCCCTTAGAAGCTAACATCAAGAGACAGTGCATGCATAGCTTGAATTTCACCCTCCCTTAAACCCCCCTTCCCAACCGGAACACATTCACAAATTCACATTACAGAAACCTCTGTAGGTGGGAACCCTGAGGTAGGATTTGCTGTGTAAACACATTTCCAAGCCAGTTACCCCTTTGCATATTTTTCTGAGGGGGCATCCATAAATAATAAAAAAAACAGAAGCTCATACTTACATCCTATTCCATGTTACTTTCCAAGCTGTGTTTTTCATCTTGCATTAGTCACCATATGATCTCTATCATAATGGTGGGGGTCAATGAATAGATTAGCTTAATGGGAATTTACAGTTCTTCCATGCATCTAAATTTTGGTAAAGTCTGATAACCACTAACCTAATTTAATTTCACCCCCATTCTCAACTCAGAGCTATTAAATTAAATCTCAAGTTTAAATTAAGCAGCATAGCTCAGTAAAACAGAGTTTGAATTATGTCTTACAACTGCTTGAATGTTGTGGGGGCCAGAATGTTTTATGCAGCAGCCCAGTCTAATTAATGGGTCTTATGTAAATGGTTTTAGCTGCTTTGGGTTAATTTTAAGAAAAGTGGGGTAGAAGTGTTTGATTTTTTAATGTATTCACACTGAGGAGACTGCAAGGTAGTCATTAGAAAATAAAAAGGACAAAATAAGACGATTTAAGTGGGATTTTGTCCTTAGTGGCTTTTTAGACACACATTATGCCTACTATATGTGATATGGTCATGTGCTTTTAAATTTTCTAAAGGGGGGAGGGAAACTGGATTTTGCAAAAACCTAATTTTGTATAAGGTACAAAAACAAGTATACTACCTTGTGCGTATCTCTGAATTTACTGATCTCTCGGGATATCAGGTCCCTTTTATCTTCTTCCATTTCAATAGCATTTATATCCTCCTGTAAGAGAGAAAGGGGGGCAGAACAGGAGACAGAATATTAAAACCCATCTGCACAGAAACAGGAGAACCAAAAGAAAAGCTGAAGGTTAGATGTTTTGTACCAGTCTTGTAAGAGATAAATAAAGGCCTTCTGCAGTACCAAACCTCACAGTCTGATGTTAAATGAATGAAAAAAAAATTAGATGGACACGAGTCACAAATCTGGTAACTAGCAGTAAACATAGTCATTGTCAAAGCCTACAATGTAAACGAACCTTGGTGATGAGTGGATAGGGTATCAGTGGGGCCACTGGAAATCTGCGGAAAATCTGCGGAAAAATCCACGGAGATTTCTTTTTTAAAAAATAGATTGCACACTACTCTGGAAAAAAAACAATGTTCTGTATGTTTGCAGAATAAGCAATATTGCATTGCTGTGACCGTAGGTCTGACTCAACAAAGTTACAGAAGAACCTCGCTAATTCTCCGTTTACTGATCTACTTCTCGGCAAAGGTTTGCTGGGTGCCACCTCACCCTGGCATGTCTCCATTTAAAATTGCAGAACATTAGCATTCTAGGAAATCTTGCAAGCTAAGCTACGCTTGTTAAAAGTGGCCTTTTGTGGTACTATTATAAGCCTTGTTTTGTTTCTTACTCGCTAATTCGCAAAATTGTAATTATATCAAGGGGCGAGTTGCCAACAGTTACTGCAAATTAGCGAGGTTCCCCACATCTGAAATCAAGAGTCAGATTTCACTTGCCATTTCTTTTCCCCGCACTCTCCATTTTCCCACATTATCCCTCATCTTTTCAACCAACAGAATGGGCAAGGGAACCAGTCACAATTATAAGCATTCAATAAAGGGATAACAGTGCCTCAAAACCAGCTTTACATGGCACCCACCACAGTTTTATATACTTCCCTCCCCCCACCATGCACAGAGCTTTTTTAATCCCACACTTCCCAACAGATAAGGGGATGAGAAGTCATGCTCGTGTCCCATGTTCATCCTTACAAAATAAAGATGCACTTCCACTATTTCAAGGGGCAGGAAGACAAGGACACAGTTAAATATTTCATTGTTCTGATAGACCACACTAAATTTAAAACCCAGCTACATCAGCAAGGTGTGGCTACAGGTCACCCTAAAACTAGCAGTTATTAAAGGAGGAAGATCAATATTCAGTTCTTTTAATATGGGCTTCTAAAAAGTAACCTCTCAGTACCATTATGTCTCTCGATACCATTATATTCTTGATTATATACATAACACAATCCATAGCATGGATAATAATTTTTAAAGAGAGAGACATGGCTTGCCTATAAATAAGTGCAGAATGCAAAAAAATCAGTGCAAGATTAAGTTAAGTGGAGGCCACTCCCTGAGTGAGAAGCATTATTTCTTGCACTGCCTTTTCATACACTTCACCAGCAGCCCAAGCTATCTTATTGCTTGCTATCAGCACAACATAAGGGAGAAAGTTAAGCTTAGTAAGAAAGGCTGCAGACAGAAACCAAAATTCACCCCCATCTCTTGCTATGAGTGGCAGGTATTAAAAGTCCATCATTGAAACAATCATGACGCATTTTCAAGGCTGGCATAATTACTACTAAGCTGTACCCTTTCCCCCCAGAGGAAAGCAAAAATTAGTGTAATCATCAGCAGGGTTATCCACAGAAGGGGGATTATAGCATTTTGGGTCAAATGTTACACTTATAAAGTATGGACGTCACTGGCCCAACAGCCAAATATTAACAAACCATTTTGTAACATCATGGCTTTCATCCCTCAAGGATAAGAAAGAGCTTCTTAGCTATGTGCACAAACATAATTAAATCAGGACAGTGAAGAAGGGCTGCCAATCAGCTGAGTTGTGGCTATAACACCAGTGCAAACCTCTATGACCCAGTGACTTAGGGCATTTAAGATGTCAAACATTACAGGCAGAATCTCTTTTAGGGTCTTAAAATCATCTCCCCATCTCAAAAAAACATTTTGCAATTACTTCAATACATGTATTTTAGAAGGGATGAAAGGCTGAATCAAACCTGCTGAGATTCAAACCTGTAGCTCCAAGAAGTCTAGGCATTTGTGACCTTTGTGTTCACAGACCTACAACATCCACAGGGTTTGGCATCTAGAACTGATTTAATTTCAGTATGAAACATGAAAACTTCTGCTAACATCAAGGTTTGTTGATTTGTGTTCTCATCAGATGCTTTGAGCTAATGTATTGGCACAGGGTTTGGCCCTTATGTAGGGAGATGAAGTAAATCTGTTTGTGTCCAAAATCAAAACACATACATCCTCCTTCTTTTCTTTTTTCTTCTTCCTGGGATGAGAGTCAGACTCTTGGGAGGGGGCATTGAGCTCGCTGGAATATTCCCGTATTAACACTTCAATGGCCCCTTTAATTAGCTGGTCTCTTCTCTTTGCTTCTTCATCGAGGGCTTCGTCATCATCAGTTGTAGTTTCTGGCCTGGTGTTCTAAAGAATAACACAAATCTTGAAGTCAAGCATATGGGACATAGCAGAACGGCATCCAAAATGTTTACTTCATATGAACTAGATAGGTCTATTACATGTAGCTAGCAAGTGGAAGTGTTAGGTGTACTTAACATCCTTACAATCAGCCTTTAACTACGGATTCTAGTAGGTCCTCACTAGGGCTGGGCGATATCTGGTTTTCAACATTGTGCTATATCACCAGCTAAAGATTGCAATATACTGATACATCACAAGGTCTGAAATAAGGATGGAGCTATGTAGAGGCATTGGCTGGCTTCAGTTTTCCCACATTGGGATTTCTGCATAACTAACACACCCACACCCCATGATTCTCAATATATTGCCAGGTCAAAAATTATGAAACCGATAGAATGATATGGACTTCAACCAGTTTTGGATGATATATCAATACGTTGCCCAGCCTTAGTCCTCACAAGAGTGTTACACAGAATTTTTCAATTGGCAAACCCAGAAAGTTCACATATATCCCCATCATTTTCTCAAGGCAAAAGGCCTTCCTAGCACTCTACTACTTATTTTCATTGCTGGAAGACAAAGCTAAATTAATGACTAAAGCACTGCTTGTGCTGCAAGAATTCAAAATGTTTTATTTTGTACAGAACCAACCAGCTGACAAAGCTGCAGAGTGATCACACACAACAGCATTGCCTTCAGTAAAGACCAGCTGAGTAGTGCTCGGCACTTGCTGCAGAAAGGTCCTCTGTGGATTTCTGGGAAGTGGTACCCAATAACTCCTGGGTGAAGAGAGCAGCATGCACTCTTGGGTGCTGCACAAAGGTGCATAAGATGCATTTAGGCAGCAAGATCCAACACTTTTCGTGCCTGCCAATCCTTTATAGCTAAGTCTCTTTTGGTTCCTCTGCCATACCACCTTCCTCCCAATTTTGAAGCTGGGGCAGTGGCAGGAACCACCACTCTACTGCTCAGATGTACCTTTCAAGCTGAGAATAATGCTTGCCACTCATCACACATGACAGAGGGCAAATGAATTTGTTGAAGCCTGGCACAAACTTTAAAGAGAATGCTACACTACAATGTGTGTGCTCTCTGAAGAAATAAAAATAATTTAGTGTGGATTCATGTGATATTTTTATGCAGCAAGTACAACATAACACAGTGCAGGTTTCAAATTAATACGCTATGTCAGCAGTTATAGAAATATTCTGTTCCGTAGGATTAAGAATGCTGTTCAACAAAGCGGAGAACACATACAAGGCAACACCGTACCAACCTACCCTTTGGGTCACACATTACCAAACTTATACACAAAGTTTGTCTGCAGTATAAAACAGACTTTTGGATGTAAGTGGTCATACTGCACAATGACAATACATGTGTGTAAAATGCTTTAACATACATATCTGTAGACTGTCACTTCCACACTAGAATTGCTGAATTTCAATTTTCCATGTAAGATGAATGTAACATAGACCTTAAGCTATTAATAAAAACATTAATATATACACAGTTGCCTACAAAACTTTAATGGTTATATATTTAAAGGCTTATAGCTTGCCTCTCGGAAGGCTCAAAGGGGCTCACAACAATTCTAAATCTAAAAATAAATAAATCACAGAATCAAATACAGTAAGAAATGAAAATCCCCACTTTCCTCCTTACAAATAGTAAATAGATAAATTCTCATCTGCACATAGAAGTATGAATGACCTGAGGCCAAGTGACTTCAACTTGCTCCAGGCCATTCTCAGCCTATAGCCTGGCTGCAAGGAAAACCTAAATACAGAAAAAGAATGTGCATATTACATTTTTTTAAATCTTCCATCCCATCAAACATTTGTCACTGCTGTTGCTACTGAGGAGCAGTGGAAAAAAACAGGCAATGTCCTACCATGTTTTCCCTCCCTTTTTCATACACTTGTATTAAACTTAAATAATAAATTCTTGCCTTAAAAAGAGGGGATGGGAATCTCACCTGAGAATAAGAGATGGATGTCCAGTCAAATGCCAAGTGGATAAAGAGTGAATAGGAAAGAGACAGGCTTATGGAGAAGCAGTAGCTAAGAAGTAGGGGCAGGAGGGGATTTCAGCTGGTGCAGAAGCTGCAATGTCAAGGAGGAACAGCCTGAAATGACCTAATAGGTAGTGCCGCTTAGGTGGTAGTAAAAGAAATTAAGGGGGTAACAGTATTAGTCAGGGAAGGAAGTTAAGTAGAGGCAGATATCTGCCTTATTTAGTTTCTCCATATTTTAAGACAGCAGGAATTTATGGAGAGCTTTCTTGTCTGCTCATGTGAAATAAATGCAGTGGTACCTCGTGTTACGTACTTAATCCGTTCCGGAGGTCCGTTCGTAACATGAGGCGCGCTTTTGCTAATGGCGCCTCCTGTGCCCCTGGAGCGCGACTTCCGCTCGCATCCTGGGACAAGGGGCATCTACTTCTGGGTTAGCGGAGCGTGTAACTCACAGCATTCATAAGGCGGACGGTACGTAACAGGAGGTAGCACTGTACTAAAATACTCCTACTTTACAGGCTGTGTATGAAAAGGGTAAACCCTGAGCCCCTTTCTATGGCACATGGGTAACTAAATTTAACTCATTAAAAGCTTTTAACTACTTTATCACACAAACATAGAAAAAAGTTAACAATGCATTAAAACACTTTTAAAGATGTTTCAGTGAGCGGGTTGGCTGTGTTTTGCTTCTGGTCTTTATTTCTCCCTTCCTTGCCCCAAGGACAAATTATAGTGAATGGTGAGGCATGTATTCCTAACCAGGAGTCTGCTGAAGCTGCTAGAGTACAGCAACACTGCAAGCTATGCAAGATTGCTTAAGTTACTGCAATTAAGAAAATGCACTATATTTCACATCTTCTTTGGCTGAGCCTTGGCTATAGATTTACATCAAGATAAAAAAAATCTGAATATTTTGTGTTTTTCTCTCTCTAACATTATCATTTCAGAAAAGCTGTAGTATTAGGTAAGGTAAAGGTAAATGACCCCTGAACGGTTAAGTCCAGTCAAAGGCAACTACAGGGTGTGGCGCTCATCTTGCTTCAGGCCAAGGGAGCCAGCATTTGTCCACAGACAGCTTTCTGGGTCATGTGGCCAGCATGACTAAACCACTTCTGGCACAACAGAACACCATGGCGGAAACCAGAGCGCATGGAAACATTGTTTACCTTCCTACCACCACAGTACTTATTTATCTACTTGCACTAGCATCTACTTTCTTGCATGGATCCAAACTGCCAACCTTCCGATCGGAAAGCCCAAGAGGCTCAGTGGTTTAGACCCTTTAACACTGTATTATTAGCAGACAGATTATTATTAGATACATTTCTTTTAAAGTGAAATCACTTGCTGATAGGCAAGCCTGTAAAAAAATTCAAGGACTTGCAACTTGTGAACTTATTTGAAATTTTGATATAGTGCACCTGTGTGAAATGACTCACTTTCTAGACTGATTTCCTCATGTTTTGCATCTTAGCCAGGGCTGACTGTCCTTGGGACTATTATATGCCTCATTTCTTCCAATCTTACTATTTTCTCTTCTAAATACTTAACTGGGAGGGTGTTTACAAATGTGATTTGACATGCAGTTTGTGGCTAGGTTCACCTGCTTGTGCTTGTTATGAAGCTATCACTTAAATGGTTAGGTTGAACTATGGTGGCCTGAGAACATATATGGACACAGTGCTTGTTGGCAGAGGACATGCAAGCACGTGTACAACTTTGTACGTTAAGCAAAGCTTTTCATGCTGGTCATACCCAGCTGGAATCAGATTTTTTTTTATTTTGGAGTTGGCAGACTCTACTCTGGATCAGCAAGTCTAGCAGAGAGCAGGGCATCTGGTTTCCTCCTGAAAATGGTTGGGTTTGATCTGAGAGACTCCAGCTGCTCATCCCTTAACCTTCTTCTGTCAGCCAAAGATTTATAATCCAGTTTCTCAAGCAGAAAGTGCAGTTTGTTGGGGATTTGAAGTTTACACTCAAATTCTGATCATGAAAATTAAACAAGAGAACAGTGCAACAGTCATCTGCAGAAAAGGTGTAATAAAGTCAGCATAGCAGGTTAAATTGCAACAGAGAATAAGCAAATCAGGTAAAAGAACTAAGAGCACTTAATGCCAATCCAATTTATTTGTAATTCAATTGTTGCCTGTCCCAGTTTAGCATAGTTACACACAACATACCCCATTGGAAGCCCTTTTCTTCGCTTTCCATTCATCTAGCTGAGCCTTCGTCTTGGCATCAACTTTCACAAGTAGTTTCTTTTCTCCAATTTGGAGATCATGTAGTAGCCTGAGCGCACGTAGTGTGGATTCTGGTTCTTTATACTCGCAGAACCCAAAGGCTAGGGAATGAATAATTGAGATTTATATGCACATGAGAGCAACACTCACACACAATTGCCTTTAATGTCAACTATTCGTTTTATGATTTCACCAAATATATGGCAGGACCTCAGTTAAAACACATTTTCAGCCCAATCCCATAAACCCAAGCAATTTCAATTCAGAGGATGAAGGCTGCACCCGTCCTGTGCTGCTGCCTTTCATCTGAAATCCCATTACGGTCAGTTACTAGTTTTTCAAAAATACTAGGTTGCTGCAACATTTAACTGGCTGCATAAAGTTACAATCCACTCTTCAGTAGTGGGGGAAGCTGGTTAGCATGGCAGCATTAATTCTCAGTGCTATGTTGGTACAGTACAATTGGGTAGCAAGCCGTACCAGATCAAGGGCCCAGATCACCACTGATCTGCAGTGGAAAGCACAACTTGTGTTCCATCCGATACACTTATTGACTCACAGAATAGCTCAGAGGAAAAATAAAATTAAGCCCTTGCTGCTGAAGCGTGGGCACTTCAGTAATTTAACCAAGCTTGTGTATATCCTCATAGCTATTAGAGGGAAAAGAAAAGGATAAAAGTATATATACCTTGAAGTTTTCCAGATGCTCCTTGAACTCTCTTCCAACTCAAAACCAAGCCACATTTCTGTAAAATATTTTTAACATAATGTTTATTGACGCAATTGATTTTTTATTTTATTTTTTGCTACTCAGAAAACTTCTCTCACTCTTGAAAGTTCTCAATGAATTTTGTGTCAGTTGAGAAGACATCCTAAAAGAAATTAGCACACCTAATAATTGTGGTGGCGTCTAGTATTTTGTTATCACAACCCTGCTAATCATCATTATTTAACCTCTTCTACCACCTCCACAGACAGCTCCTTACTCCTTGTACATAAAAGTTTGTCTTAAAACATATCCTCTATTATCTCTCAGTGGGTTTGATTATTTTTTAAAAGGAGAGGAAAAATAACCAGATTTTTAAAAACACTAAACAAATTTTAAAGTTACCACTTCCCTATTTATAAAGTGTCTCTTTAAAAACAACCTGGTTTAAAATGAAATATGAATTAAGAACTGTACTTCTATATATTAATAGGGTTGCATCTTATAAAGCACGATAGTGCATTGGGACTTGCACTACCAAAATCTGGGGGATTAGGCGACACACCAGAGCAAATTCTGGGGCTTGTATGTGGCTGGAAAGGGAAAAATCAAAATCAAAGTCTCATTCTGCAAATGGGTTGCCAAAATTGGATATCTTATAATTCCTTAAAACCCTACTAATCATGATAATTTATGATCACTTGGTTGGTTAGGGTATGGTGCTGATAACACCAAGGTTGCAGGTTCGATCCCTGTATGGGACAGCTGCATATTCCTGCATTGCAGAGGGTTAGACTAGATGATCCTTAGGGTCCCTTCCAACTCTAAAATTCTATGATTCTAAAGGCTGCCATGTTTAAAACCCTATTCTGCAACCCTGGTGAGTTGAAGGTCTGCCATCTCCTTCCAAATACTCATTTCCTTTACTGAAATCTTTGCAATAAGGCCCGGTTACATCTGCTCCTATTATCTGAGGCATAGCAATTAGATATGGTCTTTTCAGTATTGGTGCCCCAGCTATGGAACTTCTTTCCTAGACAGAAATATCTTTTAAACTTTACACAATGAAAACCTATTCTTTCCTGAATATTTCCCATTCAAATCCAATCTGGTTTAAGTTTTTTAATTGTGCCATTGTAACCCATTAGATAGGAATCTGGTTTTGATTTTGAAATTCATTTGTAGCTCATATTTTTATGAACTGCATTTGCTATTTCAGTTTCTGATTTAATGTATATGTTTTAGTGTTCTCCACTAAAGAATATAAGGCCAGCCATCCTGGATCAGACCAGTGGCCCATCTAGTCCAGGATCCTGTTCTCACAGTGGTGAACCAGCTGCCTATGGGAAATCTTCAAGAAGGACCTGAGAGCAACTGTACCTCTCCCAGCTTGTGATTACCAGTGACATACTGCTAGTGAAGGCATAACCTAGCCTTATTTTCCATGAAAAGAGCTTCTCCAAGAGTTTAGTTTGGTAACAGCCTAAACTACATCTACCCACCACTGACTATCCTAACACAATGCAAACAGGTTGGTAAGTTAGTAAATTTGTACTTGGCTTCAGGGCTGAAATAATATGTAGCAATAATCTAGCATTTCAAAGAATCAGGCAGCCCTGTATTGGGAAATTTTTAATGTCTGATGTTTCAACAATTTTTTATATGCTGTAAGCCGCCCACAGTGGCTGGGGAAACCCAGCCAGATGGGTGGAGTATAAATATCATCATCACCACCACCACCATCGAATTGTAGAGTTGGAAGGGACCATGAGGGTCATTAGTCCAACCCCCTGCAATGCAGGAGGTTTTTTTGCATGTATATTGGGGGTAGATTATTTATCTTTGTAGGGCAGCCCCTCATGTGTCATGAGATATGGTCTGGAGGGCCCTGATCTTGAGGGACTTTCCAGAGGTATGGGGAAGAGGTGAGATAAAAAGCGCTGCATGCATATGGAACACTTAACATGAAAGAATTTAACTAACATTTTAAAGAATACAAAAAGTCAATGAAATCAATGAAAAATTAAGCAACACTAAAATCTCTAATCAACACAATGCAAGGTTGCTTTCTAAACGGCAATTCCACTTACGGCAAGAAGCTGTCGTATAAGCATGTCTGAAGCCTTTTCAGATATGTTGCCTACAAAAACAGTAGTCGTGGGACCGCTGTTTTCATCATTTTCCTTGTTCTTTAGACCTGGATGTTCCTTTCTAACTCCCATATGTTTTCCAACCATTGACACGGTAGTTGGGACCAGAACCTGAAAGATGAGGAACAAATACCTCTTGTGATTTTTTCCCCACTGCAACAATTAGGAAGTTTAAAAAGCACTGTTCCTAAGGTACCAAGCAGGAACTTAGCATTAATTATATTTGCCTGAACAGATTAGAGTGCAAAGGAAATTTCATACAGTTCTTTGAGTCAATTCTACTTCACAAATTGCAATACATGTGCTTTCTAAATAAAAGCACACAGGAAATAACATTTAAGTCAGGAACCTTGTATTTAAATGTGTTACACTGCTACAGCCTTGCAATTTTTCATGCGCATTCTTTTCAAATTCAAAGACATCACCCTAACCATCGTTAGTGACAGTGCAGATCCAATTATTAAACATGGTTAAAGCCAAAAAGCGAAAGGAGGTAGGACTTTGTTTTGGAGAAGGGTGGGTGATGTTAGTTTCTGTTTCCCTCACTGAGCAGCAGCTGGTAGTCACAAGACTATGTTTTCATTCCACAGTCAAGTTACTGTTGGATTCCCACGGGAAAGGGAGACGGGATGTGACGTACACAGGTTTCCTGTTTCCTTTGTTCTGTCGTTCTTTGTGTTCATGGGAATGATTACCAATTTGCTAACTATGATATGGGATCAGTACAGTGTTACATATACAGTAGGGAGAAGATGAACACAACTATGCTGTGTTTTAATATTTGATGCTGCTAATTGTGGCTTTATTGTTATTTATTTTAATGCTTTTTTTATAAAGTTATCATTTAAATTAAAAAGATATTTACAGTGAACAGTGGCTTATGCAATACTTACAGTTGGTGCAGGAGCCATAATACCCATTGGCACAGGAATCATCGGTGTCCCTGTGAAATAAGAGGTTGCATTAATAGTCTCTGAGCAAGAGCTACCAAAAAACTATATATATTTTTTCAAATCAGGTATTAAATAGGCGGAACAGAACTGTTAAGTGCTCTCAGGAAGTACAGAAGCTGCAGGATTATTTTGTTCACGTTACAAAGAAAAACTAAACACCAACCTAAAATGTTACGATATTACTGACCAATATCTGATAAACCAAGAATGAGGTTTATCAGACAAGCTTCTGATAGGAAACTTACCAGGAGGTACAGGTGGAGGAAAACCTGGAAATTGTGGAGGTGGAATCCCAGGTGGAAGTGTTGGGATACCCATAGGAGGGCGATTCAAGTGAGGCGGAAAAGACATTTTTAGCAGTAACCTAGAAAAAGAATGAACCTATTAGCTTCAAATCAGTGCTTGTTTACATGTGTTTCTACACTCCCCCTAAATGAGCAGGATGCTTAAAACCAGGTAGAAAACAGGAGCTCTAGCCTAACTCTAGCTGCCTAAGCACATCTTGCTCCAAGTTATCAGATATGAGATATCTAACTGTGAAACACCTACAAAGAAAGCCCATTGAGCATGGTTCTCACCTCAGGTTGTTGCTACAAAAACTACCCCATGTAGGTAGGGCTAGCAAGTTTTGTGGAGATAAAAGGCTCAGTCGGGAACACAGCTGATCCTAATAGCCACAAAGGCTCAGTCTGGATAAGAATTGCAGCTGAGATGAATATTCCTCCCTTGCTGCTTTGATGTGATGACCCGGGCTTATATTAAACCAGAATTCCCCATTATATCCAAACTGAGGAACTCCAATTTAATGCTGGTTGACTAATCCTCAAGCCCTCCCAAAGTCCTAGTCAAAGAGAAGTGTCTTCACTAATTTACAAAAAGTCAGCAATGTCAGTAATAAGATGCATCTCCAATGAGAAAATAGTTCTCCCATGGGGAAAGCATCGGTTAGGACCGTTATGTGAACCATATGACACAATTTTTTAAGCAGGCTCACTAGATTCCCATGTGCTTCCAAGTACAATTCTGGTACTGGTGTTTTATACGAAGTGCTAGTATGGCTTTGACTCAGGAGGATTGCTCCTGCTGGATCAAAAGCCCTTGTGCTTGGACAACAGCATCAACTGGATATAACCTACTATGTTTTTGAGGTTGCTTTTAGAGCTGGAATTTTTGCTTGGATTGTTTTTGTCTGCTGCCACCCTGTTTTTAGATTTGGTGTTCTTTCATCTTGGTATTTACTGCTTGCTTGTGTTATTTTATTATTACTACAATAAATAAAATAAAATTTTAAAGAGGTGGCATATAAATTTATAAAACAAAGTAAATATTAGACAAGGCACTTAATGCTTTTATTTGTTCAATGCTATACATGTTTACCTGAAATCAAGTCCCGCTGAAATCAGTACTTCCAAGTAAATGAAATATGGGTGCACTAGACCAAAAATAACCTAAAGCTCAACAATAAAAAGCATGAAGGCTTGCTCTAACCATATGACCTCAGGCTAAGCTCAGTAGTGGAGCACCCTTTGCATGCAGGTTTCAGGTCCAGTTGTTGGCATCCGTAATGAAAATATTTCAGGCTGGGAAAGACTCTTATTTTAAGTACCAGAAAGCTTTTGCCAGTTAGACTGAACAATATAGGACAAGATGAACAAACAGTTGCTGCATTTGGATGACACAAGAAACAATCCTTTATCATAATGAGAATGAGTCTAGGTGAGCCTTGGGTTTGCGTGTCCCTAAATCCTCTGAAATAGTCACTAAATTTTTGTAATAAGTCTGTGTTGCCTGAACCTGAAAAACTACTGTTAATCTTAACTATGATTTATTCAAATAAATTACTTTCCAACCACAGGTAGTTAAGATTAACTAGAGTTTGTCAGATTGGTATGTCACCTCAAGCTGCAGTTAATAAAAAATGAAATCAAAACTGCAGTACACAAGCCCCAGACTCACTTAGGCTTATTCTCGTGATATACCAAAGTTTAATGTGCTGTCTGAAAGCGGTCAATATAAGGCAGCTTCTACATTACAACATGAATGATAATTTAACCAAGCAGCAGTAAGAATAGTGCAAGGGAAAGGTTAACTGATATCAAAGGGATACAGAAGTGTTGACTTTATAGTGACCTAGGGAAGACAGAAATAGTTGGTCCGAGGAGCATCTGAAGGTGGAAAGGAATGTGGATTCTTGAGTAGAAAATGGTATGGCTGGTCAATAAATAAGTAAGATTATAGCACAAGGCAGGAACGCAGGCATGGGAAATAAAGAAAACAAGTTGAAAGACGGAGAGATAAAGGAACAGAGAGTGTCTTGGGTAGTACAGTAATAGAAAAACCAAGGGATGGAAGCCCCAAAAATGTAAAGGAGAAAAATGCCCTTCATCTGTCTGGTGTGGAAAACCTAAACATTTGGGGGGTATTAGATGCTGCTTCATGAATCAATCTTCTACCAATTATGAGTAAACATTTAGAAGATTAGTAAAAATATTATTACTGCTACCCTTTGTCCCAAAGGATAAATTAACCAATAAATAATTAAAATCCTATTTTAAAAAGGCAGGATTGGCAATCATACAATGGATATATCACTGACATATTTATCACACCCGCCTCCCGCCCACTCCCGTACATGCAGTATTGCTTTAATTTTTTGGATAAAGTCCATGCTCAGTCACCAAGCTCACCACTTGCATGCGTAAGTCCACCACCTCATTGCCTGTCTGACTGTTCATTACATTAATCCAGTTACCAATGCATGGACTATGGTGGCCAGAATATTCCAATCCAGATATGGCTTTTGCTGGTGTAGTAGGTGAAACTGATTGAAGACCCCAATTTTGTATACTGCTTCATGCCAAAACAAACTTATAAAGGGTTTGCAAGTAAACAAATCAACTACTGTACAACTATAAACACCCATAATTAAAATATAGAATGTAACACTTAAATCACACAAAGTACATTTTAAAGAGATATTTATACAGCATGAAAAATTGGCATGATATACTTTTTAACCTCTCACTACTATATAAAAGTCAAACATGCATGCCATATCCAAACAGTTTAGGGCAGCATTACATTTTGTAATTAATTCTCCCTGCTCAGGAAATCCACATCCTAAGTAGAAAACAATGGGGAACATGTGAAAGCAAGTCATGAATGAAATTACAGCAGTGTTAGGTCTGAAGATTACAAGAGAAGCATTCTAATTTGACTGCTGGAAGGAAGGTTAGCAGGGAGGGGTTGCAGAAGTTCAAACCAGTTATAACCATATATAAACAAGTTAGCAGTAAAGAGATAGATAAACCTGGAAAGACTGAAGGACTGACAAAACTTGGCCAAAAACCTTGGCATGGATGGAGAAATGTGCTTATTCCTAGAATGCTGCCTTAAAATAAAGAGCTCTGCCATAGTCATACATATAACTGTAAAAAAAACAACAACTAAAAGATTTGTGTATTGAATAAATGTCAAGAAATAAAGGGATAAATTAAAACTTATTTCTGCCATGTTCAACTCTGGATACTGGCAAAACAGCTAGACAATAAACAGAGCTCAGGAGGATTCCAGGAGAGAGGGATGCAGGTGAAAATCACATCAGAGCCATCAACTGTCCTTTGGGAAGGATTCCAGGAGAGATGGGAATGCAGGCAAAGACTACATCAGAACCTGCTCCAGTAGATTTCCCCCACATTTCCCAGAGGGCAATCTACCACCATATGTACTGTGGAAAGAATCCCAATGGTTCTGTATGTTGCTACTTCTTACCATGTGTTGCTTTACTTTCTCGGAAGCATGTGTATCCTGAGAGGTGAGATACATGTGTGTGTAATAAAGATGAGACATTAGGACTGAATTTCCATTTGCACTTAGTTGAGAGTAAATTCCATGAAAAACAATGGTACTTATGAGTAGACATTGCAAGACATGTCTTGCAAATATGGCATTTTAATGAATCCAGCTTTTATGATGAGGCTGTTCAGTATGTAAAAATATAAAAATAAGGAGTTAAAGCATGAATTCCATAGAATTCAAAGGTGTGTTTTGTTGTTGTGTTTTTTTTGGGGGGGGGGAGTCAGATAGTAAAAATCTTGGACAAAGTCAGGCTTTTAGATGCATGAAAGAGAAAAAGTTCCTGGTCATATTGATCCCAGAATATTTTCCATTTCTCATTTGTTGAAATAGTTTTAATAAAGTTTAAATTAAGAGGGACATAGTCATACACCAAACCACATTTCCACCAGCGATCCTATAAATACCAACAGGTTTTTGCAGCTGTTTAATTTTTGCTTACCAAGTCATCTTAATGTTAATCTGTATTTTTAAAAAAATGATATTTCATGTTTAACATGTATATTATCACCTTGAAATGTATGGTGGCATAGAAATATATATATTAATAAATATAGATGACCAACAAAATACCGTACTTTTCTGTGTATAAGACTAGGTTTTTTTTTTTACTAAAAAAGGTTTGAAAACTGGGGGCGTCTTATACATGGGTAGTGGGCAGGGGTGACAGGTGATTGGTTGCAGCCGCGAGCTGCAGATTGTCATTGGCGATTTGTAGTGTGATTGGTGGCTGCAGCAAGGGGTTCTTTATATTGGCTGTGGGAAATGGGTGTGTGATTGGTTGCTGTGTCAAGGGCTGCTGGGGATTGGCTGCCACTGCGGCAATTGTGCTTGCTATTTACTTCCGCTGTTGGCGATCGGGCAGCCTCCTGTAGCTGATGAGATTGTTAACGAGCAGCGCAAGCGATTGCAATCGCCGGGTTAGTGATTTACTGCATTCCCCCCAAAAAAGCTCAACAACTTTGGGCCGTTTTCTGAAATTGGAATCCCCCAAAATAGGGGCGTGCTATACAAGGGGGCATGTTATACATGAAAAAGTACGGTATTTGCAATACTATTATGCTTAGCAAAGAAAAAAAATGCCAAGACTATATAGAAGTTTGTGTTGATACACCTAAAATTATGCTATTTACATTGTATTAATTGTTTTAAGGTACTCCTCTTCATCCTGCTATAGATAATTTTATGCTTGAACAAATATCAGTAATCAGTCTGCACCAGAGATTGCAAGTTTGGATTAACTGGTGGCATCTTGGTTTAAAAAACAAGAAAAAAACAAGAAATTATAGATGCAATACAGTTAGCATTTTTTCTTAACATTTTATCAAAATGTTGCCTAAACACAAGTAGACAACTAGTTTGAGGGTCACCGGAAACAGAGCCAGAGGACTATGAACTACTGTATTTTGGAATTGCATAAAAAGATCTGAAATGTTCAGTGCAAATTTAACATGAATTTTCTGGAGATAAAGGTAAAGGTACCCCTGCCCGTTCGGGCCAGTCTTGCCAGACTCTAGGGTTGTGCGCTCATCTCACTCTATAGGCCGGGAGCCAGCGCTGTCCGCAGACACTTCCGGGTCACATGGCCAGCTGCATCTTGCGTGCCAGCGCAGCACAGACGGAACGCCGTTTACCTTCCCGCTGGTAAGCGGTCCCTATTTATCTACTTGCACCCGGAGGTGCTTTCGAACTGCTAGGTTGGCAGGCGCTGGGACCGAGCAACGGGAGCTCACCCCGCCGCGGGGATTCGAACCGCCGACCATGCGATCGGCAAGTCCTAGGCGCTGAAGTTTTACCCACAGCGCCACCCGCGTCCCTTTCTGGAGATATTTAGAGATAAAAAGCAGTCAGACCACACGGCCTTCTAGTTCAGCAATACCTAGGCTGATTGGCAGTCTCTCCAGGATTTCAGACTAGAGTCTTTCCCTGTCTTACCTGAAGATGCTTGGAACTGAATCTGAGACCCTCTGAATGCAAAGCTGATGCTCTACCCCTGAGCTATGATCAATATGCCTGCTCTCCCAGCATTATTTCTGCTGCAAGTCTAATTCATACCAAGTTCCATTGGGGTTTCATTTCAGGTAAATGTTATTAAGGCTTAAAACACATTTCTCACACACATAATGGAAAACATCCATTGAAGATGTGCAGATTCATTACCGTTACATCCCACAGCCTTGCCTGCAATAAAGGAACAATAACCTGCTACTTAATATACAGTTATGAATGATTGATCCCAACCACATTATGTGGGCATGTTGCAGGTACTTCTACGAGATTATCTGCATGTGCAAGTACAGAAGCTGCAGGGTTATTTTTTATTTTTTTTACACGCTGAACTTGAAAGATAGCGAAGTTCAGCTTGCTGCTCAACATTTTGGAATAAAATTACCCATTTACCAACGCGCTGCCACATAGAAGCTTATTTTGCACGAGTGAGACCTTTCAAGAACACTGCGCTTTAACAAGCTGACAATTCTGCTTACGGTGCGTGATCTGCGATGGCCCCATTCACACGTACGAGTCAAAGCTTGATGCTCGTTAAGCTCTGAACACGCACGTCGTGAATCGGGCCCGTGTACAAAACACGCAGGGGGCTTCCAGGAACACAACTATAAGGCTTCGTTCTAAACGGGCTAACTCGCAGGGCGGTTGAGCGTGTGGCCCTCCCTTCCTAAGAAGCTCTCGCCCACTAGCGCCCCCCACATCATTTCCCTCCGCCCATCCGCTAAGAAAGGGGGGGAACCTCCAAACACCCCCTCCCCGTGAAAGAGGACCCGATCCCACCGCCCAGCTCCCCTCCACCCCCTCGTGGCCTGTAGGTCGCGGACTCCGCCATTCCCCCTCCCCCGGGGAAACCAAGCGCGGACCCCCCAACCCCCTCGACCCGCTCCCGCCCCCTGCTAGAGTGGCGCCCAGTACCGCAGGTGCCCCATGCCGGCGAGGCCCGTCATGTCCTCGCCCCCTCCCCGTTCCTTGAGGAGGATTAGCGGCAGCGGCCCGGACGTCACCCGCCTCTCACCGCAAGCGCTGCCGGAGGAAACGAGGCCTTTCCCTCGCGACGCCTCTAAACCCGGCAAAGGCAACTAGGCCGCGAACGCACCGCAATGAGCCACAGGCGCCGTCGCGTTACGCCGCTGGTCACGTGAGGGGCCGCCCCTGAGCGCCTTTCGTCAGAAGACCGGGCTGCAGCGCGCGCGGCCGACCATAGAGACAGGAGCTAGAGCGCCCCCCGTCCGAAAGGAAACAGAAACCTCTAGGAATCACCTCAGCTCTTCCCGACGGCCTGTCCGCCCGTTTCTCAGAGGGTAGAGTTGTAACTAACTAGTTTTCTCATTGAGAAAAATCGCCGAGGATTAAAGCTGAGTTAGAGAAAAGTGCGAACCTCTGCCCCTGCTGCAATGTTTCCTAGGAGTAGCGGCCTCCTTTAGCTCACACAAGAAGAGCGTCAGAAGGAATGAAGTCTGTGGTGCCTCTCGTCAATTACCTGCAAAGAGGGCGGCGAGCGGCTTGACGACTCTGTCGCCATCTTTGCTGTGGGCAGTCAACACTACCGCATAATGTTTTGCGGCGAGCCGCCATTTCCCGGTCACATCTGAGCTTCTTTGGATTCTTACCATGGAAAACCAACATTGTAGAGCGTCTTTGTTCTCATCGACCCCTTCATGCATTAAGCATACGCCAGCGCTTCAAGCGAAGCTATTGGGGCTCTCTTCGTTTGCGAAATGGCTTCCTAGACACGCACAGCCACGATAAACATTCAGGAACCCTGAACTGTAGGGCTCCGTACTTCAATAGCAGGCTGCCTTCAGTGCCTTCGGAAAAACTATGAAAATAAGAACCTGCTGTGGCCTTGTTTCTAGGTAGCGAAGCCAACGTGTCTTGGTGTAGGGCAGCTTCATTCTTGAAACTTGAAATCCAAACAACTCTCTGAGGTAGATCAAGTTGAGTAGTAACTGGCCAAAGGTCACCAAGTAAAATTCATGGGGGGGGGATTTTGAACTTGTGTCTGATTTCCCCTGTTGTGGTTTGGCATTATAACCTGTTGCAATATTTTTTAGGTCATATATATATAATAGCTGTCAACTTTTCCCTTTTCTTGCGAGGAATCCTATTTGGAATAAGGGAATTTCCCTTAAAAAAGGGAAACGTTGACAGCTATGATATATAATAATAATGATAAATGTTCATAAATGTACCAAGCAAACACATATATAAATATATAAAACCACATGTCTGAAACCCATAGGAAAAGTCCTAAAGCCATTTTGACTCTTTCAGTCACCTCAGATATTTCTCTACAAGGTCGAAGGAAATGCAGAAACCTCCCCATTGTCCCTGTCCTCACAAATCCTGCCTTAAGGGCACATTTAAGGTGTGAATAGGGTGAGCCTGTGACCTGGCTCAGGAATTAAGTATTATCATTACAAAAGGATGGCCAGACTCCCCAGGTAATCCGGTCAAGTGACCATTAACAGGTAACCTGGCAGACAGGGTAAATGTCTATATAACAGCGGTGGGTCCTCCTCCTCTCTCCTGCGTGGGGGGGAGCACCCTGTTGCAATAGTTTTTTTAAAATAAAGATCAGGCTTAACTAGCCGTCTTGCTTTTCACTGGAATTCTGATCTGGTCTCTGTCATTTTACTAGCCAGTAAGGGCTTTCAATTGTGCTCTGCCAGAGGTCCAGGCTCCCTCCTGGAGAAGGACCCCTTTTAACTCTTATTACAAACCACTAATACACAACACCTCACATACATACACTCAGGGCCCAAGCTACATTATTCTCTAGGCTGTTCATATTTTACAAGCTCTTAAGTAGAAAACTGACACTTCCCCCACCCCCATTTATTCATAAAATTCCATGTGTCTTTCTGTGCATGAGTACAGTTGAATCTATGCTAATGCATGAATTACAGTAAATGTCAGTATTGGCCTGGGATAAAAAAGTATTAGTTAATCATGTAAATCCAGGCCTCTCTAACTGGCCCTCAGGCCTCTCCAGACCACACCTCTCACCATCCCTGCTTTGCACCCTCGGGTGATTTTTTTATGGCTAGAAACTGTCCTTTAACACATATTACATTTCTTGCTTCCCAAATGGAGGTTAGTGAGGGGTGTGCAATTCTGTGAATAAACTAGCTTACCACACAAAGGTAAAATACAGATTCATTGCTCTGCCCACATTTGCCTGTGATTTTACCAACCGCTGGCATGTGGCTCCAGGAAGGTTGTCCGGAAAGGAATGTGGCCCCTTGGGTTGAAAAGGGTTCCCCACCCCTGATGTAAAGTACTGTAATGTAAGTTGTGAAGGAGGATGGGGTGGTGGTGGAACTAGCATACCTGGCCCCACTCTTTCAGCTTTTGTATATTACTTATTCATTAATATAATGCCTGAATAGGGATAGAAAAAGAGTAGAAGGACAGACAGAAAGACTACGGGTCATGGATTTATATTTAGCCTTTGTTGTTCCATAGGCTCAGAGTAACAACCGTTTTTAAACAACTAGCAGCCTTACAATACAAGTACAGTGGTGCCCCGCAAGACGAAATTAATTCGTTCCGCAATTTTTGTCGTCTAGCGAATTTTTCGTCTTGAGAAGCACGAAATCCCATAGGAATGCATTGAAAATCAATTAATGCGTTCCTATGGTCAAAAAAAGTCCAAACAAAGCCAAATTTGGTACAACAACAGTTTATTAACTGCTCTTTAAAGTCACACATACTGTAAAGAGCAGTTCAAAAATTGAAGGGAAAATAAATTAACTTTATAAACAAAACATGTCTTTGTTTTTAGACAAAGAAAACAAAGTTGCGAGACGTTTTCATCTTGCGAAGCAAGCCCATAGGGGAAATTCGTCTTGCGAGGCAAATCGAAAATGGAAAAACCTTTCGTCTAGCGAGTTTTTTGTCTTGCGAGGCATTCGTCTTGCGAGGTACCACTGTAATGAAGATACAAGTAATAATATTCAGTGGGAATATTAAGATGTGGCAGATGATCTGGCTATTGATGAAGCAGTTTCCAACTAAACTCAGTAGAGTAACAACTATATTTTAAATTATTCTTTATGCAATTACATTTACATACCTTGCATTCTGATCTTGTACACATCATTACACTGGCTGATGGACAACTCCGCATTAAGCAGTCAAAACAATACAATACAATTTCAAGATTTATTTGCTTGCAAATTGTCCCAAATTGGCATTCCCTCAATAGAAGCTAAGGTTGAAGTTTCCTGAGAAAAGGTGTGTGTGTTTCTGTGTGACTAACAGAAAGTGATCATGCTGAGAGTTTGGACAGTGTTAGCTAAACTGTGATGCAGCCTTGGTTGGGGCTACAACAGTTGCTCTCAAAAAATTAGAATACAATCCTAATCGTCGTTCAGCAGAGCTTGATGGAGTGGCAAAGCCAGCTTCACATCTACAGCCCAGTTCTTGTACTGGCCAAGGCAAAGTGCAGTAAAAATACTGCTTTACTTTGCTAGCTCTGAAGCTCCCCACTCAGATAAAGTTGTGCTATATTCTTATTTACGCCAGGTCATAGAATTGCCTCCAATACACCATTATAGCTGATACATCCTATGCCTGCTAGACATGAGGTTAGTAATAACACATCTCCAAACAAAAAATGAAAACAAGGATAGACGTGCCCACCCTCCCTCCCTGATACAGCTCAAACATATGCCACATGACATGTGGAGGCAGCCAATATCATTACAATGATTCAGGCACTTCCTCACTCACCCCACACAGAACGTACACTGCTACAGTGTACTCACTCCAACAGACATAGTGGCACACTCCATAAGGCACAGTTTGGGAAAGAAGTTTGAACATCACCAGAGGAGAGTGGGCTAATGGGAAGCACCCCAACAATCCTTCCCAATGGACGTAGGACTTGAGACCACACTTCAGATACCACAGAGCAGTTGCCTACACACTTAGCCATAAGAGCAGAAGGCAAGTACCGGTACATACGTCACGGAGCATTTGTCACTCTGAAGCCCACAACCCCAACACGCAGTCATAGGTACCAGGAACATAGGGGATGCAAGGGGAGCCCTGGGCTGGTGGAACAATTTCTGCATGCTTGGAGGGCCCTAAGTCAAATTCAGGGTACACAGAACACTAGGAAAGAAGGGTCAGCCTCCACACCTGAGCCAACCATGCATGCATGGAGTAAATTCCTGTCCCTCCATTAGCCAACTAGCCATATTAACCCCTCCTTTCCCCATGGCAACTTCCCCTGTATTGCCTGATAAGCCCAATGTGGTAGCATTGCAGCAGGACTTCATCATCCTATCTAGACCAGCTGACTACATATGCTATTCTATTTGAGTAGCCTGGGATGCATGCTCCCTTAAAGCTTATGGGACCTAAGTGAACCGAGAAAGGAGGCACAGCTGCCTATTAGCAGATCCAGCTCCCTGCCTTACAGTCACCTCCTGAAGTCAGCTACAACCAGATCACACTATGTTGGGGAAAATAGAAGACACCTGTAGAGTTGCCAACCAGTCCTTTGAGCAGCTTTTGTGCTTTGATGGTGGTTAAACACACAAACTTAGCTCTAACAACTTTCTCAACATGCATCATTTTATAAACTATCATGTCCGCTTACTCTTAATTTGTTTTGGTAAACTAATAAGTCCCAAACATTGTAGCCTTTTCTTGGAAGTGAGTTGCTTCTGCCTCCTGATTATTTTGTTTGTCATTTTCTACACCTTTTCCAGCTCTGTGGTAACCAGAACTGTCAAGAGAATTCCAAGAGTGATCACACCATAGATTTGTATAAAGGCAGCAAGAAGGAGTCAACATCACAGGAATAAGTAGATAGAGATCCCATTTTGTTTGCCTTAAACTATGAGATATCTGTGTGTTGTAGTTATGGAGTTTTGAATGTTGCCTTGGGTTCACCATGTGAGTAGAAAAATGGTTGAAAAATTGTATAAAATGTTCATATCCGAAGTGGTTGCACTCTACTGTTCATACCAGCCCAGTACAATTTTGTCCAAGTGCATTCAGTGAAGCTTACTTCCAGAGAAATGTGTACAGGCTTGTAGCATTGCACTGCATTACTACGTTTGTTTACTCAGAAATAAGCCATTTACTAAGGGTTTAAAGGATTGCAACCCTACAGTCCAATGAGAGTGAAGATACATGTTGCAGCTGAATGCAAAATAGAAACAAAAGGTTTTTCTCATGAAGAATTCTATTGAATTCAAAACATGTTGGTCATTTTGGGTCTCAAAAAGTCTTGTATACGCCTATAGAAATCTTTGCTAATTTACACGTTAGGATGTTCATCTTTATTGATCCTAAGTGACTTTATTGGCAACACATTTATTCAGTATCATGCTCAGACTAGCATATGCATTGGCATCTTTGTTTAATACCCAATACATGTACTTTATGTATAGCATCAGTTTCTATTAATGTGTTAATGTAACATAATCACTTATGCTCAACTAATCTTATATTATTGATGAATAGTTTGAAGATTTCCATTTATACATATATATCATAGTTTCAGGCGCTTTAGTTCAAAGTACAATTATTCTGGGAGTGTGTGCTCTACACCAGTGTGTTTGGGATGTGGTGTATAGCAAGGACAATCACAAAGGAGATTCTGACTAAATATCAGGAAGAACTTGAAAACAGTAAGAGCTGTTCGACAGTGGAAGAGACTCCCAAAAGAGGTGATGGACTCTCCTTCCTTGAAGGTTTACGTAGAGGTTGGATGGCCACCTGTCATGTATGACCCAGCTCAGATTCCTAAATTGTGGGTGATTCAACTAGATGACCCTTGAGGTCCCTTCTAACTACAATTCTATAGTCCATTTTATCTGTTCCCTTTTAGTGCAACTTGTATTGTGACTGCAGACCCCGCCTGACATCCTCTTCATCTTTCATCAGACTGTTATATAGCGCAATCACTTTCAGGTTCCAGTCCAACTCTACGAGTTTTCTGCCAGTAGAACTCCCAGTGCCAAAGCCAAGTTTAACGGACCAACTTCACTCATAGCTATACGGAAGTTCTGCTAGCAATTGGACAGAAGTTCACCATCCATCAAAAAGATGGAACCGGGAGAACAGGTTCAAAGCGCTTTCTGTTAACTCCTGCAGCCCTTGGGATCCCAAGTTTTTGCGGCTAAACTGACATTCTAAAGATAACTCGTGGCAAACCAGAAGGAAGCCTCGCTTTGGGAATAAACCAGAGGGGAGTTTTATGGGGCTCTGTTGCAACCTCCTCCTTGCTCCCTTAGCCAAACTGAACTCCCAGGTGCGCCGCAGTCAACCCTAATATTCCATAAAGGCGAAGAGCTTACATCTATACGAATTTCCACCCCTACCCGATAATCTCTCTTTATCCCTCCGCGTTACACAACACGTTACGCCACATCACACCCATCCATGCATTCTCCTCCTCCTTCTCCGAAACCTCACTCTGTCGCCGCGGCTTGTCACAATTACGAGCCCAGGGATTGTTGAAACTACATCTACTGGGATGCTGTGCAAGGCGGCTCGACTTCTCTCCGCAGTGCATGTTGGGACATGTAGTTCTGCCCCCGCTCCGAACGCGTTGAAGCGCCGCCCCCTGAGCACTACGATTCCCACAATGCACCCGGCCTTCCCCCCTCGACCGCTCACCTTCCTGTCTTAGAAAAAAAAATAACCCTGAAGTTCCCTGCGATCAGCTGATCAAGACTGACAACAAGGGGAGAAGGAGAAGAGCTTTGGACTGGCCCCGATCCCTCCTAGGGGGTCCCCAGGTCTACATGGTGGGCTCAGGCACTGTGGGAGTTAAGCCCTAACCCTGCGGGGGAGAGGAAGGATCTGCCCAGCTCGATCCTTGAAGCTCAGAGGAGGAGGAGGAGGAGACTGTGATCTGATTACTTAGTCACTAAGACTTCCAGGGAGGAAGAGGAGGAGGAAGGTGCCTACTGTTTTTGTAAACAATAGATCGGGATGTTGGGGGGATATTTTACTCCTAGGCAGACCCTTGTCATTTCGTTTATTCTGTTTCCTCCCCACCCCGTTGTTGTTTATGAGAAGATCTACTAGTTTAAAAGAAATGTTTAGTATATAGCAATATTTTCCTATTGTGATTTAAAGTAACCTTAAGTAAGCAGCTCGTTCGGTATATGTTTTGCCCTTTTTTAGGCAATATGGGCAGATAAATATTTATTGTGCTTTAAGGCAAAAGGTCCTGTTTTGGAAGCAAATAAGTTACAAATGTAAACAGATGGAATGGTCTTACTGTAACACCCCTACCCTCCCTCCCACCCCGTTTGCTGGCTTAAACGTTGCTTGACTTATGTTTTTAATTTATTATTGTCCTAATTTAAGGTAAGTAGATACTCACCACTGGGAAAAATAAAAACCCAGATTGTAGGGTTTAAAAATATGTGGCGCTTTGATGTGGCTCGCCCTGGTCAGATTTGTTCCCATGCTTCCTAAGGCTGTAATCCTATATACTGCCACCAGACTTAAGTCAGACTTATTTCTGAGTGAAAATACATAGAATTGGGGCCTATGCCACTTATTTTTATAAAGGCCCTTCTGCTTATTTTGTGTGATGAACTTTAGTTTGTTCAGATATAATTGCAGCTGAAATAGAGATCTTGTCTGAGATAGCATTGCTGTGAGCAGACAAATACATTCCTTGTTTTGCAAAAAACATAGATCCAGAAAATGTCCACAAGTGCTTTTCATTGTTCAGGAGGAGTTGAATTGTGGCAGGAAAGCACAAGGTTTACTAATATTGTCTGAATTTTCTGTTGATTTTTTTTTTTAATTTAAAACCACTGATGTTATCTTTATAAATCTTTTTTCCTATTTCTTTTTCAGGCCTTTCAGGGAAAAGATCTGGCTTGCATTTTAGAAACATATCCTTGTTTTGCTTACACATATCTAACCTCAGTGTGACTTTTAAGCCCATAATTCATTTGGGCCTGTCCTTAATTGTGGAAAGCTGCAGTGTTTACATTGGCTTTGCATATGATGATACCATTATAGACGAGAGAAAATCAAGACGGACACATTCTTTAATAGAAATATCAACATATGCAGAGTTTCCTCAATGTTAAGATAAATACAAATTCTAATCCTTTGGAAAACCAATGTACATATCTGTTAAAAAATTGTAAAGCTAACAGTAAAATTTCTGAAAATGAGTGCCCAGCCTCCAACAGCAGATAAGGGACTCAATACTGCCCTTTTGTGCCAGGAAAGCTATGCTTGCAGTGGCACAGATGAAGCAACCTTTGAGTGCGATGAGTGTGGAAGCCTGCAGTGCCAGCGGTGTGAAGAAGAACTACACAGGCAGGAAAGGCTACGAAACCATGAACGGACCCGAATTAAAGCCGGCCATGTCCCATACTGTGACACCTGCAAGGTTGCCAGTGGGAATATCATGCAGAGCAATATCATAAACTCCAGACAGAGGGCAGCAATAAGATGCCAAGCATGCAAAATTAACCTCTGTGTAGAGTGTCAGAAGAGGACTCATGCGGGTGGAAACAAGAGGAAGCACCCCATTACTGTTTACCATGGCAACAAATCTCACGAGGAGGAGGAGGGGATGGATGAGGAGACCAAGAGGAAGAAGATGACAGAAAACGTTGTAAGCTTCCTGTTGGTAGATGAAACAGAGGAGATCCAGGTAAGAAATGTTGTGAATTTTGAAAGGCAGACATAATGAAATAGTTGACATACTGTGCTAATATTAAAAGTTATCAACCATCTACAACAATAACATATACTACAAATCACCCGTAAAACATCCATTTTCAAGCTCCATAGATGAAAAACAACTTCTACATTTCTTAGACGGATTCCAACTTGAATTATATAATGCAATTGTTTTTCCTAGGTAGCTGTGTGCTGCAGTTCTTCTAACTTAAAAGTATTTTCTTTTATAGAAAAATTATTGCCTATAAGGTACATTAGTTCCCTGCTTTATCTGAGAGACTCAAGGCAGCATCATATTGGGGGGAATAAACCCAATGATATAGTATAGGATTATTCGTTGTGACTTTTCAACTTGACAGTTGTGGCGTGAATACTTTCTTCAGTGGGCAAGATGCACGGTAAGTATCTAACATTACAGCCTCAATTCAGTCTTTAAAGAATTTTTTTTTGAGAGCCTCTACATATGTGCCTTACATTTAAATCTGTCTCTCTCTCTCTCTCCCTCCCTCCTATATGTAGCGCATATAACAAGTATTAGCAATAGCAAAATCAGTTTCCCCTTCTTCCTCCGCCCACCCACTTTCCCTCCCACTCCTCAACTTGCAAACTTTAACAAAGCCACTTGGTTCAAATACATACAAATGAGGTCATGGTCAAAGTCACTTCAATCTGTCCTAACAGAGAAACTCTTCTGTAGTTTGTAGCATACACTGAAGTCAGGAAGCAATGGCTTCTTTGCTATGATGTCACAGTAGGCAGAGGCATCATAAGTCTTCTTGCTGCCACTGGGTTAACTGCTCTGATGTCACAGAAGGAACCTTTGGTCTGGCCGCTAGAGGAGTTGAGATCTTAGGATTTGAATTCCAAAGTCCACAAGCAGCTTTGAACTTCATAAGTATGACCAATGCAAGTTGGTTAAGATGTAAACAGACAGATACTTGCTGATTTGATGGATGTCAGAATTGAACTTTCATTCCAATTTCTTTTGTAACGGTGCCTGCATAATAGTTCTGTTTTTCTGCACTGTGTCTTGCATAGTCTCTTCAGGTTTGAGAGTGCTGTTTGCTGGACCTCAAGACTATCATGGCAGTTAATTATCATACTTACAGTGTTCTTAGTTTTGCAATCCATTGAAAGAGTTAACCTACTTGGTATAAGGAAATTAAAGGGAGGCTGAGATTGAGCAGATAAGTAAAGAGCTTCAAAGAGAATGATGAGTTCCTGTAGAGTCTTGCCAAAATCACATTCTCAGCTGTAATATGCCTTTAAGGTTAAGGAAGCTTACTGTTGCCTTCGTGTTTGTGTTTGCACAACAAATGGGAACCCAAATTATATCCAAATAGTCCACATACTGTGCTAATAATAAAAGTTATCAACCATCTACAACAATAACATATACTACAAATCACCCGTAAAACATCTATTTTCAAGCTCCATAGATGAAAAACAACTTCTACATTTCTTAGATGGATTCCAACTTGAATTATATAGTGCAATTGTTTTTCCTAGATAGCTGTGTGCTGCAGTTCTTCTAACTTGAAAGTATTTTCTTTTATAGAAAAATTATTGCCTATAAGGTACATTAGTTCCCAGCTTTATCACATTAAAATAACAACAACAACAACTCATATTTATTGGTTTCAAAATGTGCTTCAGTAGTTAGAACAAAACAAGCTGTCTGAAATACTACTGTAACATTCCTGGCCTAAGGAAACTCTCCTACTATCACTTCTCTGTTTTGTCAGCTGGACAACCATCACTCCTTTGACAGGACAATGACATACTTCTTCCATACATGTTTTAAATAACATAAATGCCCATCAAAATATATCCAAAGTGGGAAGGCGTAGTATAACGTTGACCTTATTACGGAAATGTTGTGAAATCAAATCTTTAATTTAAACCATTGGGAGAAACTGTCCTTAATGTATCAATTCAATATGACTCTTGCTGAGTAATATTGCTGAGGATTTGAAATTTTTGTTCAGTTGCCAAAAACTTCAAATGCTACGGTGTATGGTTGTATACCATGAAATATGGAAGTAATAAAGTTTCAGTTGTTCTAGTTCTGATCTTACTGCTCAATGATCCATAATTCCAAAATTCCACTTTTTTTGTTGTTCCTCCATATACACGTGGACAAGGATATACAATCACATAGATCACATGTGTGGAGTGACATGTAATGAAATCCCTTAAAACAAAAGCTTTACCATCTTTAGGATTAAAAAATTCTTTTGTTTGTACAGGTTGTACAGATCTGGAATATTAACTTTGTTAAAATGTAATAAGGGGTTTCATGTGGTAAACTGTAACTGAATATACTATTTTGTTCTTCACATTTAAAGATCCAATATCCTACAACAGGCAAATCCTGGAGTATCTTATATTAAGTATCTGTGTTTCAGTACAATATGTCTAATAGGGAAAGGTATTCTGTTACATTTCATATACCTGAAAAGGTTTTTCCCCCTCTGCTTTTGAACTGACCTCTTATCCTACAATAGCTCATACTCAATATTTAGCCTTCTTTATACCCTCTTGATGAAAATCTCTTTGTATCAAATTGTGTGTCTTTGTCCCTTTATTCAATATATTGGACAATTATGTTTTAGCCTTAGAAACTGTCCAAATGGCAGTGATACATGTGGAATGATTCCTGTTTTAATATATAATACAATGTTCTTGTCACTCGGTTTACTGTATTTTTTACACAAATTTGTCAGTGTGATTTATAAGTAATAAAATATATCTATTAAAAATCCATGTGCACTAGTGATATAAGGATCAACTGTGTTCATCCAAGTAAGAAATTCCCAAACACCACTATTTAAACCCACACTGATATATATCATCAGTGATATATATCAGTGATATATGCCATGCAGTGTACATGTGGATTTTTCTCTTTGTACAAAATTGTGGTTGTTTCTAAGTAGGACATATATTTATAACATTGCTCATCAGAATTTGGGTGTTTTGGAATTTCTTACTTGGCTGAACAGGGTTGATTCCTGCATCAAATTCACTATGGATTCACCACATGTACCATTTTTGGACATTTATGACCAATGACTGACTGACTAGGTGGGGCTGAGAATGCCCCCTGTCTGGCACCCTGGAGGGCTGTTCAAGCCAAACAATAGAGGGGCCAAATAATCAGACTAGGTATAAGGCCACTTCCTAAGTAAGGCATCCGTTGTCAGTTTCCATACTTAGTGATAAGGGAATAACTTTCCCCTTATCCATCTATACTGTTTCTATTGTATAGTCAAATGCTAGTGACTGACACTGAGGTAAAGCTTTCTCTGTTACAGAGATAAGGAAAAGTGTAACTGGGTGGGGTTCTGGGTATGAGGTTGCTATTGCAGGCAGAAGAAGAGCACAAGTGAAATAAAATGGCAGCCCTAACAACAGTGTGAAAGCTTACAGGCTTGTAAAATGCGTTGTAACTTCTGTTCTCTTCTTAGGCAAGTCTAGAGATGGGAAGGCCTGGAAAAAACCTGGAAAACTGGGGGGAAACCAGTCCCCCCTTTTTTCGTCCCCCCCCCAAAAGCTGTTTTTTCCCTATTTGGAAAAAAACGAAAAAAAACAACCCCTGGTTTTTCTCCCAATTTTCCGCTTTTTTCCCAGGCCTTCCCATCTCTAGACGGTGGTAAGTCGGTGGTATGGTTCCTCATCTACAGGTCAGATTGAAAATAACTCATTTATAAACTGGTGCTGTTCCACTGACTTTGAATAGACTCCTTAGGAGCAAGGGTGTCATATCTCATGTGCAGCAAGCAGTTATGAATATTCTTTTAGAGAAAGCTTTTAAAAAAATGATTTACCTATTAACTTTGACTTTATTGTGGGGTGCTGTTTTTAGTTCTTTTATAGCTTGACTGTCATGCTGTCTTGGATTTTCTTTTTTTATTACTGTTCTATATCTTTTTAAAGTTGAAAGTTCTTTTGAAAGAGGTATCTCTCTGATGCAACTACAAAAGTTGTTGAATTAACAACACAACCCTAGCAGGTGTACTCGGAAGTGAATCTCACTCTGTTCAACAGGGCATACTCCCAAGAAGGTTTTTGTAGGATGCAGCCTCAGTTTTCTATCTCATTTGTCCTTGTTTCTAGCTGTTTCATCAGCAATGGGTGGGTGGATGGAGCTGTTTTCTAATGCCATAGATGTCAAGGTTGTATTTGACTTCAGTGAGGACAAACCTTCCTGTGGCTTGGCTATAAGGCCTTCAGTTATGGCTTAGCAGCACATCTGTTCTCTTTTCTAATAAACATAATGGTGACATTGAAAGTGGATCCCTGACAATTAAGGTTGCCGATTTGCAACCTGGAGAGTCTGCTTCTCTAACAGCCTCAAAGAAGTAGAAGAGAATTCAGGTGTGGCTTCTCCCTCAAAATATCTACCTTCATTTAAGTAGTGTACATTGTGGAGAATTGCTGTACCATTTTTAAAGGCTGCAAGACAAGCAGAAACTTTTCCTCTCGCTTCAGCTGTATGCCAGGAAAAGCCTCGTCCGCTAAATTTTGCTTATCACACAGTTGTTAGATGTAGAGGAGTCCTGCTAAGGAGAAGAAAGATGGTACAATTTATGCGATATATGCTTCAAATTATATGTATAATTTCATATCGCATTGACAAAGTCAAATTGATGCTGCGGTTGGACAAGAAAATACATGACATCCATTCATATATGACACCCCCCCCCAATAGTTCATACTTTTAGTTCACATTTTCATTGGCTCACTCCATACTGGAAAAATGTATGTCAGTTGTATGTAATTAAAGTGGCAAAGAATCTATGATTGGATCATATTTTTTCCTGGAGGTAAGATAACAGCATAGTTCAACTACGCTCAAATATAATAACAGAATGATTTCTAGATGCTAAGAATTTTAAAATAGAGTAAGAGTAAAGGAATAAATCCTTGCACAATCATTTAAGTTTTTTGCCCCTCTTGCTAAGATGTGACATCCTTAGGCAGGATACGAAATCCAAATATTCCTGTGTGGGCTAGCTCTGTTACTGTCCATTCCTTGCCTAAACAAAAAAGTCTTTAGCAGGCACCAGTATCTCAGAGAACGTCACTTGCAGTTACAAGTCATGTCCCAGAAGCGACACCGTTTCAGCAGTGGGTTCTTTCCATTAAAAAGTTCTAACGCAATCTTTCTCTTCTTGTTTTGGAAGGTGGCAAACGAAGACGAATTTATCAGGAAACTGGACTGCAAACCTGATCAGCACGTAAAGGTGGTGTCTATTTTTGGGAACACTGGGGATGGCAAATCTCATACCCTTAACCACACTTTCTTCTACGGCCGTGAGGTTTTTAAAACATCTCCCGCTCAGGAGTCTTGTACGGTAGGGGTTTGGGCAGCCTATGACCCTGTCCACAAAATGGTGGTGATTGACACAGAGGGTCTTCTGGGGGCCACTGTCAACCTGAGTCAGAGGACCCGGCTGCTTCTGAAGGTCTTGGCTATATCGGACCTTATCATCTACCGTACTCATGCTGACAGACTTCACAACGATCTCTTCAAATTTCTTGGAGATGCCTCAGAGGCCTACCTAAAACACTTCACCAAAGAACTGAAGGCAACCACAGCCCGTTGTGGCCTGGATGTTCCCTTGTCCACTTTGGGCCCTGGAGTCATTATCTTCCACGAGACTGTATACACACAGTTACTAGGTGCTGGTGAGTAGACACACGTTGGTTGCTGCAATGTCAATCACTTGGGATGGATCTGTATCATAACACAGCCAGAGTTGGGTGTTGCTACGTGGAAGATTTGGGGACTGAATCCTGACTTAGCTCACTATCTAGAATATAGAAGGTGGGGAGGTAATGTGCAGGGAGTTTGCATTTGGCAAACAGCAAAGCATAAGCCAGTTAGCTTAGATTATGTGTATTTTGTGTGAATATGGCGTTTGGGATCACGTTTCATCGTCCTTTTTTTAAAAGCAAGGAGAAGAAGGAAGTTTCTAGATAGCCTAGCTGTAAAGTTAGGACTGAAAGCATGTGTATACCACTTGTTGAAATCTCAGAAACTAGAGGCAGGGTTGACCAGAATTTCCAGTGGCAGGAAGCATGGCTTCATTGTCTTCCATAGTTTTTCCCTTGATACCTAACAGAAGCAGACTAAATTATGCAATAGATGCAAATCCTGCTTACACATTATAGAGTACTTTTATACATATTTTAAAAAATAAAAAGCTTGGCAGTATGTACGTCCCGGGTATCAGCCCCTCACTAAAAGGAAAGGAATTCCCTGTGGACTGACTTTGCTGAGCATTACCAGTAGCTCTGGAGAACACCAGTGAAACAACCGAAAAACTGACAAAGATGCAGAAACTATTTTGCCTTTCAATAAGATGCTTCAGAGCTTTGAAGCAACAATATAATCAACAACAACAAAATGTAAATTAATAAAACAAGCAGTAAACAGTAAAGACAGTCAAATAAGCATTTTAAAGAGCAGTGGTCCAGCTGGTATATTCAGCAGCTGAGATCTGATCTGAATTAAAGGAGTTTCAAGAACATGTTCCTGGAACTTTCTTGCAGGAGATGATTTTGCCATCTCTGGAGTATAATGGAGTATAATGTCATTGCCACTGATTTCACAGAAATAGGTAGTAGTAAAAAGTAGTAAAAAAAAACACACCAAAAAAACTCCGCCGCCACTTGTGCACACAAGAAAACAAGCGGTATTATATAAATTAAAAATCCCTTGTTTATAGACCATGGTAGTACAAGTAGTTTATGCTGTTGGAGGAGGAGGCTTTCATCAGTTGCACCTTGCAGTAGATACACTTTTTAAAAAACAATGTGACCCCATCAGTAGGCCATCAATACAAGTGAAGGCAATAGCACTAAAACTGCAGAAATAATAATAATAATAATAATAATAATAATAATAATAATAATAATAATAATAATAATAATTTATTATTTATACCCCGCCCATCTGGCTGGGTTTCCCCAGCCACTCTGGGTGGCTTCCAACTGAATATTAAAAACAGTACAGCATCAAACATTAAAAACTTCCCTAAAGAGGGCTGCCTTCAGATGACTTTTAAAAGTAAAATAGTTGTTTATTGCTTTGACATCTGCTGGGAGGGCGTTCCACAGGGCAGGAGCCACTACCGAGAAGGCCCTCTGCCTGGTTCCCTGTAACCTTACTTCTCGCAATGAGGGAACCGCCAGAAGGCCCTCGGCGCTGGATCTCAGTGTCCGGGCTGAACGATGGGGGTGGAGACGCTCCTTCAGATATACTGGACCGAGGCCGTTTAGGGCTTTAAAGGTCAGCACCAACACTTTGAATTGTGCTCGGAAACGTACTGGGAGCCAATGCAGATCTCTCAGAACTGGTGTTATGTGGTCCCGGCGGCCACTCCCAGTCACCAGTCTAGCGGCCGCATTCTGGATTAATTGCAGTTTCCGGGTCACCTTCAAAGGTAGCCCCACGTAGAGCGCGTTGCAGTAGTCCAAGCGGGAGATAACTAGAGCATGCACCACTCTGGCAAGACAGTCTGCGGGCAGGTAGGGTCTTAGCCTGCGTACCAGGTGGAGCTGGTAGACAGCTGCCCTGGACACAGAATTAACCTGTGCCTCCATGGACAGCTGTGAGTCCAAAATGACTCCCAGGCTGCGCACCTGGTCCTTCAGGGGCACAGTTACCCCATTCAGGACCAGGGAATCCCCCACACCCGCCCGCCCCCTGTCCCCCAAAAACAGTACTTCTGTCTTGTCAGGATTCAGCCTCAATCTGTTAGCCGCCATCCATCCTCCAACAGCCTCCAGGCACTCACACAGGACCTTCACCGCCTTCACTGGTTCTGATTTAAAGGAGAGGTAGAGCTGGGTGTCATCTGCATACTGATGAACACCCAGCCCAAACCCCCTGATGATCTCTCCCAGCGGCTTCATATAGATATTAAAAAGCATGGGGGAGAGGACGGAACCCTGAGGCACCCCACAAGTGAGAGCCCAGGGGTCTGAACACTCATCCCCCACCACCACTTTCTGGACACGGCCCAGGAGAAAGGAGCGGAACCACCGTATAACAGTGCCCCCAGCTCCCAGCCCCTCTAGACGGTCCAGAAGGATGTTATGGTCGATGGTGTCAAAGGCCGCTGAGAGATCCAGCAGAACTAGGAAACAGCTCTCACCTTTGTCCCTAGCCCGCCGGAGATCATCAACCAGCGCGACCAAGGCAGTTTCAGTCCCATGGTGAGGCCTGAATCCCGATTGGAAGGGATCCAAATGGTCCGCATCCTCCAGGCGTGCTTGGAGTTGTCTGGCAACCACCCGCTCAATCACCTTGCCCAAGAATGGTAAATTTGAGACTGGGCGATAGTTGGCCAAATTGGCTGGGTCTAAAGATGTTTTTTTTAAGAAGCGGTTTAATGACCGCCTCTTTCAGCGGGTCTGGGAAGGCTCCCTCATAGAGGGAAGCATTCACCACCCCGCAGAGCCCATCGCCCAGCCCTTCCCGGCTCGCTTTTATCAGCCAGGATGGGCAAGGATCCAGGAGACAGGTGGTCGGTTTCACTTGTCCAAGCAGCCTGTCCACATCCTCGGAGGTAACAGATTGGAATTGATCCCATGTAACAGGACCAGACAGAACTCTAGCACTCTCCCACCCTGGCCCTGCTCCCACGGTGGAGTCTACCTCCTTCTGAATCTGAGCGACTTTATCTGCAAAAAACTTTGCAAAAGCATTGCAGGAGATCTTGGGGTCCCTACCAGGCCCCGGTGGTGCAGGTGGTTCCGATAGATTGCGAACTACCTGAAAAAGTCTCCTGCTGCTGTTTTCTGCAGATGCAATGGAGGCGGTGAAGAAGGCCCTCTTCGCCGTCGCCATTGCCACTTGGTAGGCTCGACGTTGAGCTCTAGCCCGTGTCCGGTCTGATTCAGAATGAGTTTTCCGCCACTGGCGCTCTAGCCGTCTCAACGATTGTTTCATCACCCTCAGCTCCGGGGAAAACCACGGGGCTGTCCGGGCTCCATGCAATCGGAGAGGGCGCTTCGGAGCCAGACAGTCAATAGCCCTGGTTAACTCCGCATTCCAGCGGGCCACCAGGGAATCAGCTGAAAGGCCATCAACTTGGGATAAAACATCCCCTACCACTCTCTGGAAGCCAATTGGATCCATTAAGTGGCGGGGGCGGACCATCCGAATCGGTCCCACCTCCCTGCAGAGGGGAAGGGTCGCGGAGAAATCCAGTTGCACCAGGAAGTGATCTGACCATGGCACTTCTTTTGTTTCGCTTTTAGATAATGTCAGATCACCAACATCTGTAGAGGTAAACACCAAGTCTAAGGCATGTCCGCGGCTATGAGTTGGGCCAAACTTATTCAGGGACAGCCCCATGGAGGCCATGCTTTCCACGAAGTCCCGAGCGGCCCCTTGTAAGGTCGTGTCGGCATGGATGTTAAAATCCCCCAGGACAACCAAGCTAGGTGTCTCCAGGAGCATATCCGCCACGACCTGAAGCAGCTCGGGCAGGGAATCCTTGGTGCAGCGGGGAGGTCGGTACACCAATAGGAATCCTGTACTGCCCCTATTGCCCAACTTCCAGAACATGCACTCAGAAAATTGGGTCTTCCCAATAGGACGCCTGGTGCAGAAATTTAATTGCAGACCTGCATCTAAATAATGATGTAATATTGATGGTAAGGTTTCCTATAAAGGGCTTCTTCTTCTTATTCCCCATTTCTTTCCTCTAATAATCTATTTAGGTTAACAATTTGTAAGCTACTTTTTTTAAGGTATGTGCTGGCAGCATGGAGTTGGATCCCGTTATCCTGTCATCTGCTAATAGAAAAGGGCAGCTGGTTTTTTTTTACCAGCCTCCCCCCTTTCCTCCAGTCTACTCCAGAACAGCATAGGTGACAGGGTGGTGGTGGGGCTGCAGGGATTGGAAGAAATTGCCCCTCCATCGGATTGAACGCCCTTGTGTTCACAGAAATGTTGTTTCTGGGAAAGGAAGGTCACCTTTGGGTCCAGCCTATGCTTTGCTCTAGGTGTTTCCTATTATTTAGGAGAGAAATCGTTGTTTTGATCAAGAATTCACATGTGAATACGTGTAAATACGTATGTAAAAAAAATGTAAATATGTGTGCAAACCTCACGATAATATAGCTAAAGTGATTGAATCTTTTAGATCACCCTTCTGAGGTGCCTGAGAAGCTTGTCCAGGATCGGTTCCGGAAACTTGGGCTCTTCCCTGAAGCCTTCAGCTCGATCCATTACAAAGGAACAAGGACACATAACCCCCCAACGGATTTCTCTGGGCTCAGGCATGCCGTGGAGCAGCAGCTAGAAAATAATACGACCCGTTCTCCCCGGCCTCCTGGAGTTATCTACAAGGCACTCAAAGTAAGTGTAAGATGGTGAATTACTGTTCCTCTATACAAGGACCACAGATTCCGTCGTCACAGCCAGCAGCTCTGGGGGCAGGTGGCTATATTTCAAATGGCAAATTCCTCCAGTTTCATTCGTGGAGGGTTGGACTTTGATTGCCATCAGGTCCCTTAGAAATCAAAGTCCAACCCCCGTCCCAAAGCAGGGTCACCCACACTCCTCCTATCCACGGAGCAACTCCCATAATATAAAGCAAACAGCAAAGAATGAGAGTTGACCAGAGTAGACAGTGTATCAGAGCTCCTGAAGAGTAGGCAGACCCAGAACTGTACAGCAAGTGAGCCATGCCAAGAGAAAATGGACACCCCGCCTCCAGTTAGGCTGACACCGAGGGAAATTGAGGACATTGGCAGGCTTACAACTAACACTGAGGTCTGATTTGTACTTCCTGACTATTCCAGTTGCCCAGGGCATATCAGCTTCTGTGAGTTGTTTTCTTCTTTTAAAAAAAGGCCAGAAGAAACTTTGGACTGGGTTTGTGCAGTAGGTGAAAAGAGTACTTCATCAAGCCCATGTCTCTTTAATACTTTCCCCCAGTGTTTGCAAATGTAGTTACTACTTCTACTAGTAGTAATGCACCATAAATGGCTAAGCAAGGCGGGACTAAGCTGCTGTAGTACAATGGAAAGATCCTTCTTGTTGCCAGGGTAACTGAGAGTCAGGACATGGTCTCCAGGCAACAACCTATTCTCTGACTTGCCTTGGTTTTTTTCCTCAGTTTCCTTAAATGGTTTTTCATCGGTAGATAGCAAAGATGTAACATCTGGAGCTAGTGGAGGTCAAGAGCACAGCTCTTCAGGGGACAATGTAAGAGTCTGAGTGGCTGTCAGGGAAAGTGTGTGAGCAAATGCTTGAGTATTTTAAAATGAGGATGGATATGTTTTTGGAGGAGAGAGTTTATATGTTTGCAATTAGAAGTTTTACTGCAACACATCCTCCACTGAGCATTTATTACACAATTAGATCTTTCCCATGTAATGAGAAGATGTATTTTTTGACTTCTTCCCTACAACCCCGCTCCTATATTTATTGTGGTGTTGTCACTAGCAACACAATCCTTAACATGTTCTCTCAGAATCCTATGATTATTTATGCTGTGCTCAGTGGGGTTTACTTCCCGGAAACTGTGCATGGCATTGCAGCTGAACTTTTCTTTTCCACAACCCCTCCTTGTTCAGTTTATGATTTGACAGGCATTTTTACAGTACGTGAAGAGTATAGTTACCCATGGTTTTAATGTTCATTATTCATTCATGGCTTATCTATTTATGGATGTTGCAGTGTGAAGTATACACTTTCTGATCATGAGGTATTTAATGTTTTGTTGCCAGAAGAAAAGTTTCTCATCTGAATTGCAATCAGTTGCACTGTCTTAATCTACGGTTCTTGCCTGCTGAGCCAAAGAGAGATTTTGTGGCTTTAATAACTGTGCAGCAGAGAGGAGTTTGTAAAGTTCTGCTTCTCCCAAAATGCATGTAATGGCCAGGCAATGATACCCCTGTAGTCTAAAAGGTTTCCAGGGTCTGCTTGGTGCTTTGCAATCTTTACATTCAGTCTTTGTGAGCAGGGGATGGGGGGGAGAAGTTGCTTACAAAACATTCAGGGAAAGTCTCTCCCATAGAGTCACCCATCTAAATTCCTGCCAATAGGCTGCCAATGTAGGAGTAAGCTCTTTGCCTCTCTTTCCTGGGAATTTTGGGTTTTATGATTTATTTTTATTTTATGAAATTTATATACCATTTAATTGTAATAAAAACCTCAACGTGGTTTACGAAAAGAATAAATGAATGGCAATATGGCTAGAACCTAACGGTTTTGACAGTCTTTCCATCCTTGTTGAAGATCGGGCTGGGCAATAGCTGGTTTTCAACATCACAATATATCACCAGCTAAATATCACAATGCCTCAATCTATCACGATATATATCCGCCACAGCAGAGAGCCTTGTCAGTCCTCCCTACAGCGGAGGAGGAACTTACTGACAGCAGACCTTTGCAGAGGGCAAGATTGTACCCTCCGCTCATCAGCTTGTGAGCAGAGAGTTCTGTCCTGCTAGGTGTTGTGTTTCCTGTGGGGAACATGCAGGCAAAGCAGACCTCTCCCTCACAGTTCAGTTTTGACAGATTCGTGGAACCATCAGATGCTTGTCAGGGAAGTGGCACTGTGCATCTGTTAAAGTTGGCCTGCAGGGTGCGGGGAGAGAAAGATCTGACATGCCAGGTCGAAAATGTTCCATGCCCTGATCTAACACATAAGAGGCGCTTCACGTTCCTATACCGTTCCATAAAAGCTGGTGTCCCTCTAGCTCTATACTCACTGCTGGTTTCTCTCTCTGTGTTCTGCAGGCACTGAGTGATAGGTTCTGCGGTGAGATCCCAGATGATCAGATGGCCCACAGCTCCTTCTTTCCAGACGAGTATTTCACCTGTTCCTCTGTATGTCTCAGCTGCGGGTAGGTGGAATGGGAAGAACACTATTTGAATAAGATCTACAGTGTCAGAATTATGCTATATATTACAATATAATGACTATGTTACAAGCAACCCAGTCATAGGGAGTTGCCAATGTCACTGTTAAATAACACTTGTGTGAGAAATTCTGCGGTTGGTTATTCGTGTCGGGAATTTGCTTTGTTTCTTGTGTTGTTGGGAGAACACTGCTTCCAAAGATCTTATTAACTTTAAATAAAATCCAACATTACTGTACAGTCGTACCTCTGTTTACGTATCCCTCTGGATACGTAAACTTCAGGTTGCAAACGCATACACTCCCGGGTTTCACTGCATGTGCAGAAACGCTCAATTGCGCCGTGTGCGCGCGCAGAAGGGCGTCTCCAGTTACGAAGTTTTTGGGATGCGGCTGGGCCTCCGGAATGGATCCCGTTCATAACCGGAGGTACCACTGTACGGTATATATATTTAGTGTGTAAGGCATTGGGTAACATCATAAACCTGGAATCTATATATTTGGGGGTGGGGAACCACTTTTAGCTAGTGGGCCAGATCCAATTGTAACCAACAACCCATGGGCCACATTTGACAGGTGGGCAGGGTTGCCCATCTGCCAGTCATCTGACATAAGGTTGATCTGACTCCCAGCTGAAGCAGTGTGGCTTGCATGTGGCTTGTAATTGTAAAGAGCAACCAATGCAAGCCACAACTGCAAAAGAATGATTGGGAGCCTTAGAGATCCACTGGGGAGCTTCCGGTCAGTCTGCCTTCTGAGTATTTATGTGCTTTGCTTTGAAACTCCAGGTGTGGATGTAAAAACAGCATGAACCATTCAAAAGAAGGGGTACCTCATGAAGCCAAGAATCGGTGTAGATACACCCATCAGTACGATAACAGAGTGTTTACATGCAAGGTGAGTGGAGCAGGTGAAAGAGAGCTTCTGCTACTGGAGGTTGACAAGAAGAGCCTGCATAGCTTATAACCTGCTAAGATTAATGTAGCCCATCAATCCATGTAGTGTAGCTTGCAAGGTGCTTTGCAATCTGTGATTGGTATTCCCTGTATTTTGGAAGTTTTGTCAACTTACCTTAAGAGGTTAAGGAGCAAACTCTGCATCCCCCTCCCTCTGTACATTACACAACCCATCTATGTTTGCAGTTGGAGGCAGAAACAAGAGGATCTCTGAGCCTCTGCTGGGCTGTGAATTCACTTTGGTGGGTCAAAGATTTCACAGCTTTGGGCTAGAAAGAACTAGGGTTTTCCCTGGCCTGTTTTCTGGCACCCACTGTCTACTGAAGAACAGTAAGTTCCTAGTTTTAATGCTGTTAATGTTTTTGTGCATATGTTCAAACCATGCTATTCCTCGTTTCCTCCGTTTTGGGGGAACTAACACATAACTCTTCGTTGTAAATGGAAGGCATCGACTTTGAAATCTGAAGATAAGTCATTTTAATTGATATTTTGCATTCCAGGCCTGTTATGAACGTGGGAATGAAGTTAGAGTGGTGCCCAAAACCTCCGCTTCCACTGATTCCCCTTGGATGGGACTTGCCAAGTATGCCTGGTCAGGGTGAGTACAGGAGCAGAGGAGCTGTTTTCTCCCTTCATCCTTCCCTGCTCCCATTCTCTTCTCTTGGCGCATGCTCGAGTGACCAGCTCTTCTTCCTTCTTGACTGCAGGTATGTGATCGAGTGCCCCAACTGCGGAGTTGTGTACCGCAGCCGACAGTACTGGTTTGGCAACCAAGACCCTGTGGATACCGTGGTGAGGACAGAAATTGTGCACATCTGGCCAGGTGTAAGTCTACTTGCATACATTTGTTTCTTGTCCTTTTAATTGAAGGGGAAACGATTAGGCTGCCACAGTAGCAGGCGTTCCACCCCTGTTGTGTTAAATCATCCCATTTCAGGAGATGTTGGCGATGAGAGACGTTTTACATGCCCAGGCCGTTAAAGCCAAGTTTGACACCACCATGTTGTGTCTTGGAGAAATGGATTGAGAAATATGTAAACCAGATCTCTCCTGCCCAGCTTCAAAAAATATTTCCTGTATTCATCCTGGTTCATCTCCTAACCTCTCCATTAAGATGCATCCTAGTATGTTTAGGCCACACATTCCAAAGCAAAGAGTGAGAGTAAGGGACCAGAGCCCTGCATTAGGAACTTCCATGCCTCTAGACAGAGCTATTCTGAATTCCTTCTAAGGAATTTACATGAAGATCTGGGGCGTCCCAGTCCGTAACAGAAGTCTAATTTCCTTATGTGGTTGCACTGGTGAGTCACTTCCTTTCTCCAAATAAAAGACAATGTATATCTTCTAATATTTGGTAGAGGTCAGCAGGTCGGCAGCAGGCAGGCACAATGAGATGTTAATTGTGCTGAATATCCATTTTTGTTGCAGACGGATTGCAGTCTGAAAGACAACAACAATGCTGCTCAGCGCCTCATAGACGGGATGAACTTTATGGCACAATCGGTGTCTGAACTGAGCCTGGGACCCACAAAAGCAGTGACCTCTTGGCTGACGGATCAAATCGCTCCAGCCTACTGGAAACCCAATTCCCAGATTCTGGTATCTAGCAGTCATCATACTTGCATGCTGATGAGAAGTCCTTTTCCTTTCCCCTACTTCTCTTTCTCCAAAGAGATGAAATAATGGTTTATTGCTTGATGAAATGCCTTTGTTGTGTTCTACAAATCTGTTGCCTCTAGCAGACACAGTGAGACAGCCCTGTGTGCAGTCTCCCCCTTTGTGGGCTCTCACTCTTCTGCTTCCCACCAGGAAAAAAGAAAGAAGCCTTTCTGCTCGAGGCTCAACAGCTGGGCCACAGACACATCTGTCGCAGGTGCCAATCCTGAGCCTCATGACAAAATGAATTGTGTCCATCCTGTGGTTAGCTCTGAGGCTGTAGTAGATGCTAATGACCCCTTCACACCTGCTTGCCTTGCCCTAGCTTGTCTCAGGAGGCCTTTAGCAGAGAGCTGTGTCCTCACCATAGGAGCCAGCTCCTAGGGGCAAGGTCCCTTTGCCCCCCCTGAAATATTTGAGTGGTTTGGGGCCCCCAAGTTGATAGGCATTGCCATTCAAATGGTGTGTGTGCATTGTGACTTGTGATTGATTATGTGGGGTGGAGCTTACCTTGGCCCACCCAATATTCAAGTTGGCACTCCTGGTCCACACACACACACACACACACACACACACACAATGCCATATCAGGTGTAGGAACAAGTGCATATGGCTTGAGTTCCCTGCTGGCCAGATGTTCCCACCACCAATTTAGCTGACTGAAAGACTAAAAATACCTCTTTCACCAAACTACTTAGTCCAATGGCTTGTTGTCGTGTTTTTTTTATCTCCTTCAGAATTGCAGAAAGTGTGGCATCTCTTTTAAAGATAATGACACCAAACACCATTGTCGGGCTTGTGGAGAAGGTTTCTGTGATGGTTGTTCATCCAAGACCCGCCCTGTTCCCGAACGTGGCTGGGGCCCCACACCTGTGCGAGTGTGCGATGGCTGCTATGACGGCAGGGACGTTCAGTTAGGTAATCCCATCCTGACCATAGTAGGTGTGTGAACCAAAGGGGGGGAACCTATAACCTTCTCTGTGTGTGTGCTGGTGTATCATGTTGTGTTTTTAAATGCTTGTCCTTGTTGCCTTTTGTCATCTCCCAGCTGAGATTGAGGTCAGGCTATGTGAGATGTTGAAGATCTGTGATTAGATGTCTTGCATTGAGTCTTCAAAAGCAGCCATGGGGTCCCTGAGTTGGATTGGGATGGCATCATTTGGAGGAAGCTGTTAACCTGTGCTATTTGCATCATCTAAATAATGTGTGTGGAACCCTTGGCCCTCCACCTGTTGTGGAACTACAACTCCCATCAACCCCAGCAAGCATGGCCAGTGGCTAGGGATGATGGGAATTGTAGCCCAGCAACATCTGGAGGACTAAAGGCTTCCCAACACCTGATCTAAATACACCCCAAAGTCACCATTTGCCCCATGGGTGGGAGAATGTTCTAATTTAGGGCCTTCTGGTTGCTTATGAAATAAATCAGGGGATCTAGCTGTGGATTTCCAACATCTCATCTCTTTCATTAGAGGTGTTAAGCAGAAGCTGGGTGGCCACCTATAAGGGATGTGGTAGCACTGCATTTCCTGCATCAGGCAAGATGATCTCCTGTCCCTTCCAGTTGAGTGATTCGTCTAGTTTGGGCCTGACACTCACCTGTGGTCCTTCCTGTATCCAAAAGTAGAGGGCAATTCCCACCAAACAGCAGAATAATGAGAAAGCAAAATGAAGGAGCATAATAATAAATTTTAGTTTCCAAATTTCTCAGTGCATTTACAATTGAAGTCTTCTTCCTCCAGGAAAACAACTCACCTAAATCTTAAGAAATTGCTATTCAGATTGAATTAAATCTCCTTCATTTTAACTCTAGAATCAATGGATTTATTCACCGGTTGTAAGAAAATGATCTATTTAATGGCAATAGAGAAGAACAGTGTGTATGTACTGAGTAGCTTCCCCAGAGGAAGGAGGTTGTTGATGCTTTCTTGTCGTTCTGCTCCTGAAGCTGCTCAGTTCCAAACTGACACTTTCATCATAGTTGCCCATGGACCCTGGAGAGCTGACTGGGCTGATGCTGTCATTCTTTATTTTGTTTTGTTTTAATTTCTGATGAGCACTGAGCTAATTGAACACAGCAGCTATCATCTTTTCATACCCTAGAATTCCCAAGGCATTCTGGATTAATAAAGATGGCAGCAGACAGCTGCTTTGCTCAGCACATTGCTGGGGAGCACCAGGCTGAGTGCTGCCACCCATCTCTGCTGCTGCCATGCTGAGCTTACAAGGGGAGGAGGTGGCAGCACTCAGTGTGGTGCTCACTAGAGAAGCCTTGTGTGCAACCTTGGAGGGCAACCTGCCCAGGGCTATACCAGAGCTGTTTATGACTCTGATAACATACCATTTCAAGACACTTGTGCATGATTCAAGCTAGGAGAACGTATTATAGAGGTTGCTTATACACCTGTGGATAAATGAGAGTTGATTCAACAAGGGGGTATCATGGTGTTTGGACAGATGAAAAAAATTCAGCAGCGAGCCTGTTGTGAAATGTACCTTCCTCTGCTCCGATCAAACGCAGGAAAGTCCTGGTGTTCTGGTTTTCAGCAGATGCTGAATTTGACCATGTCAGTTGGCTAGCCATTCTGTCATTCACAAATCCACTTCCTTCTCAAAAGCAGTTTTATAAAGCTTAACACATAACTTGTATTATTATTATTATTATTATTATTATTATTATTATTACATTGAACCAATGTTTCAAGAGATAGCTAGCCAAGATCCTTGTGTTTTAGGTTCTCTCCCTGACCCCCTACCCTGCAAAGCAGGCATCCGCCGGAAGCGTAGCGTGAGACGGTGCCATTGCAAGAGTGGCAGTGGTGGTAGGGAAGAAGACAGGAGTGGCTGGTGCAGTGGGGTGGGACAGAGTGGCAGTGTGGCAAGGACTTCGCTGGGGCAATGGTGGGAGTGCCAGACTGGCTCTGCCAGTGAACCCACACATCCCTGATCTTGCCACTGCCAGTAGCTGGCAGCAGGGCTGCTGTACCAAGAAGGCACTCCTGCTGCATTACCCTGCCATGCCAGCCGCTTCTGAAAGCAGAGCTCCCTCCACAGCAGAAAAGCCTTCCTCCTCTTTGAAGGCGTATCTGTTTGCATCCCGAAGAATCAATCACACACTTTTGTTGACTGTCTCAAGGATCCTATGGCATTACAATGAGTTCAAGAACGCCAGTCACCCTTTTATCCCTGGTATAATGGGCCTGTTGTTATTTACAGGGTCTCTTAACCTGAAAGTGGGATGCGGGTGGCGCTGTAGGTTAAACCACAGAGCCTAGGACTTGCTGATCAGAAGGTCGGCTGTTCGAATCCCCGCGACGGGGTGAGCTCCCGTTGCTCGGTCCCTGCTCCTGCCAACCTAGCAGTTCAAAAGCACGTCAAAGTGCAAGTAGATAAATAGGTACCGCTCTGGCGGGAAGGTAAACGGCGTTTCCGTGCACTGCTCTGGTTTCACCAGAAGCGGCTTAGTCATGCTGGCCACATGATCTGGAAGCTGTACGCCGGCTCCCTTGGCCAATAAAGCGAGATGAGCACCGCAACCCCTGAGTCGGCCATGACTGGACCTAATGGTCAGGGGTCCCTTTACCTTTACTTAACCTGAAATAAAACAAAGGAGGATCAAGAACCTGTTTCTCCTATGTTCAGCTCATTTCCAACTCATGCTCATGTAGAAACCATGTCTTTAAGCATGGACAGATAAGTAAGCTGCAGACTGAACAATTTGTTGCCTAAGCATGAGAAATCACAGCAAATTTTCCTATGGCAGTTAATCCCCTCATCTGCTGCTACCTTGAAAACCTTCACAGTCACACAGATAGCCTATGCCACTGATAGGGTAGCGAAGCACAATAGTTTTACTCACACTATTGTGAGGATATAGCCCTGCTTTGTGCCTTGCCCACTTGGCAGTAAAAGGTAAAGGTAACAAGAAAGGCAAATCGTGAGCTTTCATCTCTTCTTACTCATGGATTCTGCCCACAAAACAGTTTTTGGTGGTATCGTCCTGAGGAGGTAGCCTTTGATGAAGATCTCAGTATGGAAGATCTATGGATTTCAGTTATTGTCCCCTACAATGTTAGGGACCAACCACTGACTGCAGCTGGCTGCAACTTCTGGGGGAATGTCAATTTTAATTCTAAATAGAACAGCTGTGTCTTAGGCTGGAGTTGTGCCTTTGTCTCTGAGCCCTAACCTCTGTCATGCAGATGTGCCTGAGGCTCCAACTGATGAGGAAGGGGGGACAGTGATTGCCAGGAAGGTTGGTGAAGCTGTGCAGAACACTCTTGGAGCTGTAGTGACTGCCATTGATATCCCGTTGGGTAAGTGTTATTGGTGCATTTAGAAACCTTTTAGCTTCTCAGTTCAGTGGGTATGGATAGAATTGGAGGCTTTTCTTTCCCCCTCAGCAAGTACACTTAGTGAAATAAAAGAAGTCCAGTGAAGCAGAAGACCAGGGTTCTCTAGGTGGCAGGTGTGGGGAATCTGCACAGGTACTGCCATCCTTCCCTCTCCCCCACCAAGTTAATGCTAAGATGCAGAGCTTTGCAATAGGTTGTTTTATTCTCTAAACCTGGTTCCCATACATAAGGTTGCACCCAAAAGCGTAAGCAGGGAAAACAGAAATCTTGGGCTTATCGACAACTTGTTCACTAATCCTTTATAAGCCACAGCCTGAGAATTACTTGAACCATCCTATAGATTAGTCTTAATACTTCACTAAGGGCAGCAAAAGCAGAGGTGGGTTTTGTACAGTCCCTCCTCCTCTTTATTGATAACAAACAGAAATGGTATTGTGGGTTTTCCCCCCTAACTCTCTGTAGGTCTTGTGAAGGATGCTGCCAGACCTGCCTACTGGGTGCCCGACCATGAAATCTTACACTGCCACAGTTGCCAGAAGGAATTCAATATCAAGCTGTCGAAGCACCACTGCCGTGCCTGTGGCCAGGGTTTCTGTGACGAGTGCTCTCTGGAGCGCAGAGCTGTCCCTTCCCGTGGCTGGGATCATCCTGTCAGAGTCTGCTTTAATTGCAATAAAAAGCCCGGTGACCTTTAACCCTACCTACCTTTCTGGGTCCTCCGTAACACCTTAGCTTCTCAGGGTTAGATAAAACAGAAGTCACCCTTTTTAACCTTTTACAGCCAGAGTGCATGCTCCTGATCTCTGGCCCTTTTTCCCCATGTGCGGATTTCTATAGGATTGCTGAACAGCTAGTTTTAACAAGTTCTGCAGGACTTGGCCAACTTGGGATGTATGGAGAAGCTTACAGTAAAATGAGGAATCCAAAAATCCAGTGTATTATATACCAGTTTAAAGTATGTATCTCTATATCTATATTATTGAGTATGCTAAGAATGCAGCTGGCTGATGAAGCATTGATGATTTACAGTTAAAACAAGCAAAGGTAAATAGAACCGTTTTCTGAAATGTAATGGGGGTCAAACATACAGCTTCTTGAGTGCCTTGGAATTCTTTTGTGTGAAGCATTTTGCTGTTTGTTTACAGCGTCTTAGACTTACAAAGGCTTTGGTTCTATACACCTTGAGCTAACCGATGTTCATACTCCCTGTTTCGAGCAGTGAGTCCTAAGCTTTTGGGTCTGACCCTTTGGAACTCCCATCACCCATATTTATTTTACCCCACATGGCTTTTGTTCTGTTTATAGGGCCTTGTCGTCCAGAGCTAAGGAGTTTCCTCATGGCTGAAACGAGCCGGAGAAATGAGGAAGCTGCTCTGTACAGGTCCTGATAAAAATAGGTGCTGCTGCACATATGGTAATCTTAGAAGGGCCATGCACTAAAGGCAGTGGAAGTATGGGAGGAATCAAACAATGTAACACAAAACTTAAAGCTGGTCTTCTAACAGCTATTTCAGCTTCACTTTGGGCTGACGAGGCCTTATTTCTCTTGTTCACATTCCTCTATGCTTGGTTTTCCTTGTTGATGGACTCTTCCCTGCCCCCCCCCCATCAAAAATCTTCAGGCTAAGAGCAAAGGTAAGTACTAGGCAAGACCCACAAACCTGCAGTGTAGTGTTTGCTTAGCATCTTAGTCACTTGTCTTCTGTAAATGGTCCCAAGTATAGATTCTTAGCGGTATCTATGTGAACCACCCTTAAAGCACTCATATAAACCAACTTGGAAAACAGTGATGTACTTCTGATGACATCGGGGGATTGTCTTTTTGGAGGGAGAAAACCCTGCATTGAACCACTTTGAGACACCGATCAAACCACTGAGTAAAATTATCGCATTAGACTTTGATGTGGATCTCTGCTTCCATGACAAGAGACCTTCAGAAACCCAATCAGTTTGAAGAATGAATCCCCTTCTCCTTTTTACTCCTGAGAATGGCACATTCCCATGGCAGAGATTTGTCGTCACTCATAACAGCTGGAGTTTGGCATGATAGTCAGGCACAATACCCTGGCACTGTTGTTTCTCCCACTTATTAAAATATAACCTTGTATACCTTGATGACTGACCCCTATTTTAGAACTGTAATATGAAATTAAGTGCTATAAAGGACTATCCCTTCTGAACAAGTGTGCTGATTTCTTCTGTATATCTACCTAATCTTGCTGTGTCTTGGGAAGGGAGAGACAGTTTCCGGCTTGCATGCCAAAATGGAACTGGATTATGTAGTAGTACATTCCTGCTGTCTAAACTCTACAGGGATTAATATGTGTTTTGTAACTAGAAGCTGATAGGTTTGGGGGTTTTTTTCTTCAAGGGATAGAAGTGGGAGAAGTTATCTTGTAGTGATTTTTCAACCTAGGTAACTGCACTTTGAAGTGTTTTATTTTTGACTCTGTGGTGGAAAATACAAGTGAAACCTGTTGTGTAGTCCATGCCCTCTGTATGTTCTCCATGCATGTAGGTATTCTACCATGTTATTGCACACCCAGAGACCACCCTTGGCATTCCTTGTATAAAATCTTCACTTGTAAGCTTCTGTTTCATTGACTTGTCTGGGTTTTGTTGTTACCACAGAACAGCCTCATTCTCTTAAAGCCAGCTATTGCATTTCTACAATGCGTGCCATGGTGGGTTCAGTGTATCTGAGGGATAACAGAAAGCCTGTTAGCACCATCTCACTCCTTGCCCTCCCCTCTCCCCTTAAGTCACTTAGCTGTTCTAGAAAGTGGAGAAAGCTTATAAGTGGCCATGCTCTTAAGAACTGGCGCAGTTTCTACAAAGTAGAAATAACGTGCCATAATTTTTAGGAGATGGGGAAGCTGGACCTGTAATTTTGCTTGGCCCTGCAATACTCAGTATTATATTGGAAACAAGAGGGAGGTTTATGCTTCCAAGAGCAACTGGTTGCTTTCCCTTAGTTTCAAAATCATACCCAAGTAAAAGATTGGAATCTCCAGATACAAAAGGACTCAAGGCATCAAATAATTAGGATGCCTTTTTTTCTAGACAAGCTAGGTATCTGAATGACTACAACCCCTCAGATAAAAGATTAGTTGTATCAGTAGCAAACCAAACAAATCTAGAAATTTTTATAGCAAGAAACAAGACTTCAAACTACTGGGGCTCTCTGTGAGAAATACCATTGGTGGGATTCTGCTAACCTGCCACAGCTGTGGAAGGCCAGCACAAGGACTTTCAGAGTTTAGCGTTTACCTGCACCTAAAACATAAGGAGTGTCTGCTGGATCAGGCCAAGGGCCCATTTAGTCTAGTATCCTTTCCCCAATAGGGAGGGCCTGTCCACCCATTACCCATGGACAGCAGATCCGGAAAGGAAGGTGAAGGGATCCTCATGAACCTTTGCCGCTCCTTTGTCTTCAAATATGTGCTGCTGCTGTCATCCCAGTCGCCCCCTCTGTCCCTCTTTCCTTCCCTCCCTCCTCTGATCCCCTCTTGCGTCTCTGCCTCCCAAAAGCATGCATAGCTGTTTGTTGCAGAACCCCTGGCTACAAGCTCAGCAGATGAACGGTGCCTCTGGGGCTGCTTCCCAGGCCCTTGTGGGGCAGTGTGAGGAGGCACCTCTCTTTGGGGCAGGGGCGGGAGCTGTGGCTGCCCAGAGGACTCCCGAGGAAAGGGGGCTGAGGGAACACTCCACAAGGGAGGGTGTTCAAAAAGGGGTGAGGGGCTGCCAACTCTGCAGGCAAGGGGTGACATAACTGGGCTCCACAAGAAAGAAGGTAGTTGGTCAAGGGAGCCATGGACTCAAAAGAGGTTGAAAACCTCTGCATTAGAGGGATATGCCTAAGGGAGCCTGGAGGAAATGGCATTCATCTTCCTTAAAAAAAAAAAAAATGACAAATAAGCAAATGTACCAGGCTAACATAACTATGAATGTCCAAATTAAGTTTAGTGTGCACAAAGTCAATAAAAGGAAGGCAAGATATCTGAAAAGCCTTCTCTCCTTCCCCTTCCACCTTGCTGCTTCCCATCTCCTAACTGGGATTTTATCAGTAAGAAGGGCTTATATGCCAAAAATATCAACCTTTGCCACGGACTTTAGTTACACCCTTTTCATAATCTATTGTCAAAAAGGGATGTGTGTATTGGTGCTAAATTAGTACAGCTAGTGGTAACTAGTACAAAAAATACGAATAAAAATTAGCAGATTTTTCAAACATATATAATTTTATTTGTATGGCACCTTTCCATAGTTAAAACTATGCTCATGGCAGCTTACAAAATGAAAAATACATAATTATAACGTTAAAAGTAGTCATAAACAAAGCATCAAAAAGTACACAACCACATTAAAAAAAATCCATATAAATCATAACACCAACATAAAAATATAAAAAAAATAAAAGTAACAGCAACAACCCCCCACCCCCACCTCAGTCAGTCGAGCCCCAAAGTCTCTTCAGCGGCATCAGCTTTTGTAGCTGAAGTCAGTCAGGGCCCAGGGTCCTACCAGGCCAAGTGGGAAAAGGCTTGCAGGGCAGGGAACAGCTCTCCCAGGACTCACAGCCAGGGTGGGAATTTAAATGGGAAGCCAAAAGTAGGTGTCTGCTCACAAAGGAATTGTCATAAGATAATACAAATTACTGAAGTGTCTTTGGCTCGCCATTATAAAGTAAGTAGGAAAAGGTGATACACCCCTGCCAAACTGAAGTTTAAATCCCACATAGGTTTTGTATAAAATGAAATAAATATTATTCACACACCATACCGTAAAGAGCCCCACAAACAGGGATTTTCCTGGTTTACATATTCTACAAGGCGCAGTGCATGGGTCACCCAGCACACAGGTGTGTTTCTCCGTCTGGGATCCGGCTGTAGTAAGATGAAGCAACCATGCCAAAACATACCAAAAAAATGTTACAAAATTAAAGGCTTCGAGTCAACTATTCCGTGACAAAGTTATCATTCGTTTCCAACGTGGCAGCTGGCAAATGGAAAGATAGGCTTAGATACTGGTTTCAAAAATGAAGCATTTCTTCTTTTGTTTACAATGAAGTATTGGAATTCAGCCTTCGCTATATATTATTTCAATGTAAAGATTCAATGTATAATAAGAGAAATATCAAAGTCTGTTTTACAGATTCAGTAAAAACAATCATATTTTCCCCAAGCCTACTGTTCCCCTTCTGAAAAAGGTAACTGCAAGTCTTCCATTAATTGATTTATGGTGACACGTTTATGATTTCTCTACATGAAAGCACTGGGAAGGTCACCCAGAGAGTCTTCACTGTTGTGTCTTATCAGGATAGGGCTGCATTCCTCTCAAGGGGCAAGAATACAGTTTGGTGGTTCTCTTGGACTCTGTGGAAATCCAGTGGCTAGGAGTGCCTGCTACCAGCTTAGGATTCAAGCTGAAGCAGAAACCTATCTGGAGAGGTTCACGGGCCAAAACAACAGGCCAACCACAAGAACTGGCCAAAGCTTTTTTAAAAAAGCAGATACCTGTCCCCACCTCTAAGCAAAGCACTCCTGGTCATTCCCTGATCCCTCAGAATTACTAGGCAGTAGCAGGTGTGCTTTGCTGGAAATGTTGCGGGAGGCTAAGATGCACAGGCTTCCGCCACCTGCTACGCTCTCTTCCATTCTAATCCTATAAAGAATTTTTATTTATTCATTCTACGTATTTCACTTTTCCTTTAATGAGCACAAGGTTTCTCCCCCCGTCTAATCTTTGTCACAACAGCCTTGTGAGGCAGGTTAGACTAAGACAGTGACTGGCCCAGGGCAGGATTTCAGTGCTGGCTACCCAGGTCCTAGTCTACATGGGGTGTGGAGGCAGAAAGGATTAGCAAGCGCCAAGGAATCCCAATTAATAATAATAAAAAAGAAGGGATGGTGAGGGAACTTGGTGCACACTAAAGGGATGTCTGGGAGAGCCACATTCAGAACCTCCAGTCCAAAATATTTAATTTATTCCTACTCGTCAAAAAAGCCTACAGTGTCTTAAAATATTTTGAACATGGAACAGACTCTCAGTTATGCTTATGAAAAAAGTCACGTTAACTAGTTCATTCAAAAGCATCATATTCCACATTCTCCTTCTCCAGGGGGTTGAGGTGGTGGTTGCCTGTAGTATGAAATTACAGTTTTGACAACTGAGTAGGTATTTGTACACCTAAGTATCTTAAGGATTCAATGACCCACTTCAATGAAAATTGTTCCCTGCAATGAAACAGCCCAGCAGATCAGTCTTGAAATACTGTGCTGATCCTCATTGGTAAGGAAGGTTTTCACTTTACGTCTAGGAATAAGTGCCTTATATTGTTTTTGAATGCTAACTACAATATGTCATTAAGTCCCGCTTGCCACTCCAGTGGAAAAGTTAACTCAATGAGTATACTCAAATCCACACCCCTGGGGGACCTTCAAATCAAATATATCTGCAAGCCATAAACACCTGTCATATCCTGTTCCAAACGCTCATTAAAACCATAAATGAGAACACCCAGAACTGCTTTCTTTTTGGAGCCTTTGAAAATGACGCTTAACAGTTATCTCAGCAAAAGCTGTGCTGATATTTCCAAAACTGTCTTCCAAGCCCCCAAAGGTGGGCAAGAGAGTCTCAATTTCTGTTCTGGTGCGGGGGGAGCCCTCTTTGGCAGCCGTCTCTCACTCCTTACTTGTTTTAGAACTACAAGCTGCTATTGTGGATTAGGTGTCATCAGACATGCTAGTATCTGAGCTCCAAGTAAAATAATTAAATTCCTCCTTCAGCTGCTGTTGTCTTAAAAACCATACCACTTTTCCAGAGACTTTGCAAAAATGTTTGTTATTATGCAGGAATGGATCTGCGGCTTCAAATCCACCATCCACTGAGAACTTCAGTCTCCCTTTATCTTTTAAGAAACATTTTCATAGTGGAATGATGAAGATGCAGAATCTCTAAAAGCAGCAGCAGCAACAAATAACAAACTTTCGCTTAAATTCTTAAACATTTTAACACAAAAATCTTATCTAGATTTCAGTAAGCAAAGTTGCCGAAGAACAGTCAAAATAAAATCTAAATCCACTTATTTTTAAAAGCGTAAAATGGTGTGCTGAACAGGTCAGGTTTAGCATAAATCTGCACGCACTTGTTCCCTATCCATCAAAGTAGAAACATACTTTGGGAAGCAAATATTTGTTGTGCTTGATTTATGTCACTTGAAATATCTCTTAGATAATTCTAGTTCTTAGGACATTGGGAACATGAGCAGACCCACCTCAGAGACTCTGCAAGATGGCATAGCTTTTGGTAAGCATTCCTAGAAAATTACAGAAGCAAGAAAAATATGTATTGAGTAATCAGCAAGCTCAGTAACTGGAACTGAACATGTTCAGCCCAGAAGCAAGAATGGTAGGTATAATCAGGATTTCCAGAACAGCAGCCATTCTGCATGGCATGGGCAATATTCCTGCAGGCTGCTTGCACTGCTGATGAAAGCACCCTTCCTCAATAGCCAGCATTGTTCTACTATTTCGGTGGGCTTATATAAAACCTATAAGCTCTCCAAGAAAACAATTAGGAGCAAGCATGCAGCATGGAAACTGTAAAGTGGCATATCTGAGGATGCAGGTATACTGAATTTTTTCTTCTCTGAGTTTCAACATCTGAAGCTGACAATATGCAATAGAAATCAAAGAACTGTGTTTGAAAATAGCAAAATCAACTAACCGCTCCCATAACCAGTTGACTTTATTCACAATATTCTGAAAAAATGAAAACTGAGGAGAAAAGTGTTCACGAAATAAGAAAATAAAGAATGGTAAAGGAAAGAACCACAGCCCATCTCCATACACCAATATGCAGGGCAGACAGCCTCCACATTTTTGTTCTCCATCACTGAGGTGGAGTGGAATTGTCCGCTTCTTTGGCAGGCAGACAATATGGATCGTCTGTTTTATAGGAGAAATAATGGAGATCCTGCTTGACAGCCATAAGCAAGCCGGGAACCCCTCGGGAGCCTCCAAGGTGGGATGAAAACTCCACACTTGGGATGGAGTCAGTGGAAAATGGATGTGGAGAAGGGATAGTCCGTAGCAAATGAGCGTCTTGGAGACTCCAAATTCGGGTATAACAATCCTGACCCACTGAGGAAGGAAAAAACAAAAATTCTAGCACCGAACAGCCCATTGCATCCATTTGTTGAAATACTTGTTACATTTACATTTACATCTCCCTGTCTCCTCAGTCATGTGAGGCTGCTTGCTGCAGCTGCAAGAGTTATGCCAGGAGGATGGGACTGATTGTGGATTTATGGAGATGGTGGCCAACAACATCAGAGGCCAAGGATAAAGCTCAGCCATTTGTGGAGAGTAAAACACAAGCCCAGGAAATACATATGTGGAAGAAAGCGCAAATGAATCTCCCAAAGAGGAGAAATTTTCTGAAAATTTGGGTCAGCAGACTAAACACATTTTGTGGAGTCCTGGGCATGTTTCCTGTCAGCTATTAAGATTTCTTCACAATTCAAATGCAGGACAGCATTATTTTCTATTTATAGGTTATATAAGTCTGTCTGAAACACTGGGCAGCTGCTGCCAGCCAGTGTGGACAACACTAAGGCAGATGGACCAATATTTTGACTTGGTACAGTTACTGTGAGTGAAATGCAGTGGCTGAATAACGATGGAAAAACTCTCACTACCCTAGAGATATGTAAAACATTTGTCAAAAACAACTGCAGACAACTTTGTCTCAACAGCCTTTTTTTTTTTAAGGCAAACTCCATTTTGTGCATGACCATGTGCCTTACCTGCTGTAAGAAGCCCTTCCTCCTCATTGACATGCAAAGGCAGAATGCTGTGTTCATTGTGATGACCGTGATACTCTTTTACACATTTTAGTTTTCTCAGATCCCAGAGTTTTATCTGTAAATGGACAGAGTAAGAGAACAAACACATCAGGAATGCTTAGGCAAAGCAGTAAAAACAATATTCATGGAATATTTCGTGAAACAAACTGGATCTCTACCCGGCCTGCCATGTCTGCAGCCAAGAGGTACTGTTCATCCTTCAGAAGATTCACAGATGTGACTGCAGAGTCATGAAACAGCCGAAGGCTTTTCAGCCCTTGCCCTGTATTCATGGGGCGGCGGATATCAATGCTGAAAATCTCCCCTGAACGGCAGCCATTATACAGCACTGGAGCCTATAAAAGTCAAAGAACAAATTCAGTGGATTTCAACACTGCCTTACTACTTGTACCCAAACCCTCCTTCTTGGGTAGCGAAGGGTTGTGTACCTGGGCTGCTCCCCCACCTCCATTTTATCCAAGCAACAACCATCTGAAATAAGCTACATGATACCAACCAAAGAAAACCAGGCAAATACAGTGACTAGGATCTGAACCCAGGTTTTCTCCACCAAAGCTCAGTGCTCTATCCACTACTCTATAGTACAACTTTACTGTATCCTCAAAGCTTGTTTAAGTTGAGTGGTGACAACATTAACCACAGAAATTCAGGGCTATCATTGCCTGGGTCTGCTTGTTGCACAAAAAGTCTCTCCTACCTGGGTGGCAAACTGCTGTGCGAGAGCATCACTGCTGATAGAAAATATCTGACGATGACCAGTCACTGCATTGGTCACATGGACTTGTTGACTTAAACCTAAGATGAAACAAAATGTAAGCACCAGACAAGTAATTAGCTCCATAATGATAGTGGTAAAGTATTGCACCTTACCTGTGCTAAAGTAATTATTAGCCTGAGGATTCAGGCACCAAGCACAGGACCAGGCTGTGGAGATCTTGAAGCTGCACAACATTCCAGGCTGGTCTCCTAAAAAGAAAAAGGAAGAAGCCATTAGGAAAGCATCCTCAACACCACGTTTGTCTCCCCAAAACGGTATAGGGTACCTATCTTTTATTATTCACACCACTGTATCTTCAAAACATTCAAATGCAAAGAACACTTGAAGAGCTTCTGCTGCATTGAACTGCTTAACTGACGACCCAATGCCTGCTTTGCATGCCTGCCAAGGAGCAAAGCCATAATCCACTTAGACCAAAGCAGTCTCATTTACTTTAGTCAAACTGCTTTGAGGAGGAAGAAGAAGAGGAGTTTGGATTTGATATCCCGCCTTTCACTCCCTTTAAGGAGTCTCAAAGCGGCTAACATTCTCTTTTCCCTTATGATGAATAAATTGCACGATGCATCCCTAAATCCCATCTTTTATAAGTATGCCCTCTACCCAAAGCATATGCTTGCCTCTTTCAGTGGCTGAAGATTAGCAACGTGCTTCGGACATAATTTAAAAAACCATGTTCAATAAAGGGAGCAAAACAGTTACCGACAGAAGGCTGACTAGTTACCTAAACTAAACCTACAAAAGCCAGAGGCCTGGACATAAGGCAATGTCAGTGTTATTCTTATAACACTCAGAAAAATCATACTTGGGAACTGTAAAACTGGTATGTCTCATATAGGATCTCCGCATGCCTAAGACTTTACCCAACAGATATACACTACCTGCATTAGAGTTATTGAACAAAGATGCTGGAAGCAGGCTGGCACAGCCGAGAGTTTCTGCAATGCCCATGAGGCACAGCTTGATGGAGGTAGTTAAGGATATTAAAGAGACAATACAGACAGCTCTCACAGGAACAGAATGTGTCACTTTAAATCAGCCCAAGAGGCGGATCTCCCTCTGCCACAGTTGCACTAATAAATATTTCACTAGAAAACAGGAGATTTCAGAGCATTTCAAGATGTACTACATGCACTATCAAGAAAGCATCATAGATAAAAGTGTTAACTTATGGCACAGGTGTCAAACACAAGGCCCGCGGGCCAAATCCGGCCCGCCAGACCTCCTCATGTGGCCCGTGTAGCCTCCCGCGGCCGGCAGCCTTCACCTTTTATTTTCACTTTTTTTTTTGACCCAAGAAAGTTTACATGGTGCGGCTCCCTACTCGCCTCCCCCCGTCGCTCTTAAGGACGTGGCTGCTGCTTCAAATGTCCCCGCGTCTCTCAACTTGCGCCTTCGTCGTCGGGGGGCCGAAGCGAGGCGGGCAGCTGGCTTCTCTCTCCCGCTCACTGCTCAAAAAGAGCAAGCGGAAGGTCAGGTCTCTCCGCGCTGCGGAGGGGGAGTCTTTCTCCTCGGAGAAACTTTTTTATTCCAGCCTTGGATCTTCTCCGGGGATGCTGGATCCCGGCGTGCAAACTCGCCCTGTGGGAGGCGTCCTCTTCTCCTCCGCGCTGGATTTCACCAGCCCGGGGCTTCCCTTCCTCTTCATTTCGCCTCCCTCTCAATCTTTGCACAGCCAGCCTTTCCATGACCTACGAAGCCCGTGATCAAGTTGTTCTTTGGGAATATGGGGTGGCTGGTGGGGGGGGTGAGTGGGAGAGAGAGAGAGGCGCGCGCGCACACTCCAAACACCCTTAAAATAAATGTAAAGTGGGGGCGGCGATGATAATGGCCGTGGTGGGAGGGGGCTGTGTTCCCTGGCACCCCCTCCGCTCCCCGCCCCCACCTCCTCCTCCTCCTCTTGCAATTTCGCGGCAAGCCAAGCGAGGAAGGCGATCTGGCGCCCGGCTCTCTTTCTCAGCTCCACAAGTTGGACTCCGCACCCGCGCAGCGGCGCTGGGCGGTTCTCCCTGCCTTCCGGCACATGTCAGTCCCGCTGGCACATTCCTGGGAGGAGATCGGAGGAGGCTCCTTGCAGCCCTTCCATCACTCGGTCACACAATTGGGCGGCTCACTCTCCGCCCTGCCAGCAGCTTCGCCTTGATCTCTCCCTCCCACCTCGGGGAAGGAAAGGAAGAAGCCGGAGATCCAGTTGCAGGCAGAGTGCTCACGCTCTTTCACTTTTTGCGCTATGCAATGGCACCCCGAGATGGGGGGGGCAGGGGAATGAGAGTGCACAAGGCATGTTGATGCTTTCCTGTCAGAGCTCGCTCTCTCTCTCTCTCTCTCTCTCTCTCTCTCTCTCTCACACACACACACACACACACACACATTTTAGTTACAGCCCCATGCCGTGAATGTTTACTCAGAAGCCAGCCTCACTGTCTTCGACAGGAGTTTCAAGTAAATGCACATAGGATTGCAGCAATCGTCTCATTAGGGCTCATTCTTTGTAACAACTTTGTTTCCTAGTTCTGCTGGATCTCTCAGTGGCCTTTGATACAATCGACCATAACATCCTTCTGGACTGTCTACATTATTACAAAAAACAGTAATAATTGAATGCAGTGAATGTAGGACTATGTGTCCACCCTTTATTATCATAGAGTGGACACATAGTCCTACAGATACAACCGGCCCTTTGAGGGTGACCAAACTGCTGATGCGGCCCCCGATGAATTTGAGTTTGACACCCCTGACTTATGGGGTTCCCCACCCCCATTTAAACCAATGTCTCCAATCTCTGCTCCCTACTTTTAGCATGGATACTAAGAATAAACAGAAGGAAAAAAACAGATAAATGATGGAAGTCATGTTCCTCCTCTTTCTACCACAAAGCACAAAAACATTGCAGTAGCGTTACTTAATTTAAGTTCAAAGCCCCAGAACAGAAAACTGATTTTTCTAGAGTCATACTGAAGAGAACATGATTTTCATGGGTTTTGGGAGGGGTCTAAATGGTGCACATCCTCCATGCGTGCCTGGAGTTGTTCAGCAACCACCCGTTTTAATCACCTTGCCCCAAAACAGAAGATTTGAGACTGGGTGATAGTTGGCCATACTGGCCAGGTCCAAAGATGTTTTTTAAGAAGCAGTTTAAAAACTGCCACTTTCAGCGGGTCTGGGAAGGCTCCCTCACAGAGGAAAGCATTCACCACCCCGTGGAGCCCATCGCCCAGCCCGGCTCGCTTTTATGAGCCAGGATGGGCAAGGATCCAGGAGACATGTGGTTGGTTTCACTTGTCCAAGCAGCCTGTCCACATCCTCATTGGAATTGATCCCATGCAACATCACCAGACAGGACCCTAGCACTCTTCCACCCCAGCCTGGATCCCACCGTGGAGTCTACCTCTTTCTGAATCTGAGCGACTATCTGCAAAGAACTTTTCAAAATCATTGCAGGAGATAATTGGGGTCGTCACAAGGCCCTGATGGTGAAGGTGGTTCCGCTAGATTGTGAACCACTTGAAAAGAGTCTCCTGCTGCTGTTCTCTACAGATGCAATAGAGGCGGTGAAGAAGGTCCTCTTCGCCGTCACTATCACCACTTGGTAGGCTCAACATTGAGCTCTAACCAGTGTTCGGTCTGACTCGGAATGAGTTTTCAGCCACCGGTGCTCTAGCAGTGTCAGCGATTGTTTCATCATCCTCATCTCCAGCAAAAACTACAGGGCCAGCCGGGCTTCATGCAATCAGAGAGGGTGCTTCAGAGCCAGACAGTCGATAGCATTTCATTTTTTTATAAGAAGGATATAACACATGGGAATCCGGATGACTTAGCGAGGCCCAACACACAGAATTCACCTTGAAAATAAACAAAAACAAAAAAACAGAAAATGCCTATTGGAACAAGGATATATGAATGCAGATAGATTAACTGAACAGGCTTAGTGATGAAAGTATAACCCTGCTCCCCCTGCCCCCTGAAAATGAATAGGAAGCTGAACGCAATCTAGTTAATAAATGAGAATCCATAGATTTCATACAGATTGGCACAGCTCTTTAACCAGGCCTTTTAAACAATTTATGGCCTTTTAAAAGTGTGTTTGTGTGGGATGTGTGTAATTATTTCTTTTTTTTAATGTTAGGCATTTTGTGTTTTTATACTGTGCACTACAATCTTTGGAAAAGTGTCTCATCCCTATGGTTATAAGGACTGATATTCCACCCTCCAAAAACTTGTTTAAGCAGAGATGAAACATGTTCCTAATGTCTGGTCTTGGTTTAGCAGTCTTGCAACTGAATTCTGAAAAGAGCTTCCATATTCAAACCACATATGAGTTACAATAATCTAACCTGGAACACAGATAACTGTGGCTAGGCTCTCACACAAGAGCAGACCAGCTTATGAGACCCGAGGCTTATCTAGTTCAACATCCCAGGTCCCACAGCGGTCAAACCAGATGGCTATGGAAAGCCCATAAGCAGAACACAAGTAAATTGGTCCTCTCCAAGTGTTGTTCCCCAGCAACTGATATTCAGAAATCTACTTAAGTGCTCCACATTTCTGCTTGGTCTCAATAGTTAGGGTTAAAGAGAATAAATAAATTCTAAACTTGAAAGAAGGACAGAGCAGTACCTTGCGGTTTGTAAAATACAGGTTGTCGTACATTTCCACAGTAAGAGTATTCTTCCCCAGACCACTGAGGTTGACAATACCACATTTACATCCTCCATGCTCCACATCATTCACAGTGAATATTCTTTCAGAGGCACTGTCTGCCTGCAAAAGCAAGGTGTGAATTGCTGAGGGGTTACTTTTTCCCCAAGGAGGGCTCTTCCACTAATGAAGAAAATTGCAAGCTCATCTCAAAATGTTACAGAAAGTTTATCAGTTGCCAAATGCCCCCCTGCCACCCACCCTGCCCCAAGATCCAGCTAGTAGCTGCCATTCTTCCAAATGAATGGCAGAAGAATTTCTAAAGGTACCCATGGATGCATCTGGAAGAGATCCTTCTTGCTGTAAGATCACATTGCAACCTTAATACCAAGATAAATGACTGTCCTAATGTAAGTAAAAAAACAAAACAAAACCCCTCCAACTTACCATTATCAATTTAAAATTGTTGCTTCCACAAATAGAGGAATCTGGGGTCTCAATTTCCAATTTCCTTCTCTGCATGCAATTCACTTTTAATTCATGGATTGACCTATGTAAGAACGAGGAAAAGAGAACAACCAAGGAAACTGGCATTTAATGTCAACAAGCCAGTATCAGTGCTAATAATCAAGTGTTATTTTAGAGTGATCAGATAAATTAAGAGTGCTGTCCTATGGCCCCTGGAGATGGTGTAGCAGTGCTCATAGGACAGATCAGATCTAACCCTTCTACATAACAAACAGAACTGTGGGTCAGGGAGAACCAGTGTCGGAGCATCCTTCTCCAATGGCACCAGCTTCCTCTGACACCTTGGCCCAACATGATGCAGGGTCAAAAGGGTGAAGACATTTTAGGAAGCTGCTTGGGTCCAAAGCCCTCCTGGTTTCCTGATAACATTCCAAAACTCAGAGATTTACATACACTTCTGAACTTTATCTAAATGTATCCGGCCCCTTGTTTCCAACAGGAGGAAAAACCAAAGTATTTTTAAAAATATTTTACACATGGTAATGGAAGTACTGCACTCAGTACTCCCTTCTATTCTGCCAGTGGAGTCTGACATGGCATTAATAGATGGGTGGTTAAAATGCCTTCATATTTCCCCACCAACTAGCCATAGGATTGGTACCTGAATGTTCCCAAACCTATCATTTCCAGTGCAGAGTCCAATAGTGGAGTTTTTTTTTTGGGGGGGGGGATAAATTGCAGTGTATTGCCTATCAACATCAGTGAAATTCCATAGATGATATCCAGCGTTCACCATACTCAAAAGAGACTTAAGCCTGCTGATTTGAATAGGTGGTTCCTCCCCTATCTACTTGCCAGATGGATCGATCCCCCCCTTCACTGCTCTGGGGGCTTCACCTCCACCTCCCCACCAGTCAATTTCAGGTGGCATACAGTGGTGGGAGGAGAGATGAGGGAAAGCCCCATCATGCAAGTGGAAGCCCTCGCATAGAGCTTTTGCTGATGGGGTTTGTAAGGTGAATCACGCAAATGCATTTACAAGTGAGTTAGTTGGATATCACCCTCAGTGACAGCAGCAATTAGACTGTTTAGCTGAAATAAAATCTAGTCTAATAAAGGCTGCCCTTTGGAAGGACGGGATAAAAATGGAGTAAAAGTAACTTATATACAAGAACTACACATTGTTTTTAAAGTACCATGAACAGAGAAAAATTACCATTTGATCAAAAAAGTACTTTGATAACTATCTCTTCCACCAAATCAAGCAAAAGAGGTTTTAGGTAGGCTGCAAACCAAATAAAGGTGAAAGGTATGTTGTAGATCCACCCTCCACATACTGTAGAATCTGATACAAATAAACCCATAAGCAACAATGTATATTCAGTAATTGGGCACCTTGTAGTCACTCTGGCCTGTTAGAGAAGTTCCCCTTTTCCACAGAGCTTAAGAGAAAGAGCTTTGCAACATAAAAGGAATGTGAAATCCTCTTACCTGCGATAGTTGATAGAGCTAGGCAAACCTAACTGCCTCTTGCGTAAAACGATTGAAGAGTTCAGCCCAGACCTGGATGCTTTCTGTTTAAAAATGGTGAAAGTGCACAATCATGTTCCTTGTGCTTAAAAAAATCATGGGCTGAATCCAACAAAACCATAAGCAGAACTATCACACAATGGAATTTCCCAACCTCCACATGTGTGCTTGAGTACACACAAACGCCGTCCTGCTCTGGAGGAATGGGGGAACACCCAAAGCAGGGTTTTTTTTTGGGGGGGGGGCTTTCAGAAGGACAAAGGGTAGGAAGTTCCATTGCACCACTGGAAGTTGTTGATCCAATGGCTTCATTGAATACAACTCCATGAACTCTTCATGTACAATTGTCACTCTTACATCGAGCAAGCGTGTGGACTTCACATAATCTTGTTCTATGCTTAATCAAATGACTAATGTAAGCTTTCAATTTATGAATTAAAGCTTGAACAATAAGATTTTCATACGTAAGAGAAACGTGTAAACTTAAATCAGAAACCAGAATCCGGCACAGAATTACGTACCCTTAAAGCAGCTGATGGCAATGACCTTATGCGTTAAGCGAACCTAATTTGAGAGAATAATTAAGTGCCACAGCTCACCTTCATGCATTTCTCCTCCTCCTCCAAGAGCTTTAGCCTTTGACTCTCCATCCTTCTGTGCTGAATACTCTCATTGGTGAGAGGGTTGCTGTTGTTATGCCCAGGAAGCAAGCGAAAGTAGCGGTTCCTTTCAGGATCGTAGTAAAATCCTGGTAATTCTTAAAAAGAAATCAAACACTGTTAGCAGAACCCTCTTCCATCCTCCCCATAGATTACACTGCACAACAAGGGACAAACATTTGTAGGACTTCATACAATTACTTTCTGTGGTAGGAAAAGCATCCACCATTGCAGTTTAACACAAGGAAGTAGCTGGTAGTTCTCTTACAAATAAATATAAAAACTCAGTGCAAAGGGCAACTGTAGCTACTTACAGGGTGGATTTGATTTAAATCATGATTTAAATCACTAGCCAGTAAGACTTGATTTAAATAGGATGGGTGCATCCATGAGGAACTAAAAAAGATGCTCAGGATATCTTTAGGGGGAAAACCCGAGTCATTCTTACTAAGTATAGTAGGAGATGAGATACCACAAGAAAGGAAAAAATTACTCTTTTATGCAACTGCAGCAGCCAGGTTACTCCTTGCAAAGAACTGGAAAGGAAATTATATACCCACAAAAGAGGATTGGCTATATAAATTAACAGAATTTATAGAACTGGCAAAATTAACTGCGGCAATAAGATATCAAACACATCAGAAATTAAGGTCACAATGGTTATGGTTCGAAGAGTATATGAGCAAACACTGCTCTACAGGTAACATGCCAGTATGTTTAGACTAAGCTCGTAAAGTTGTCTTGATAATATAATATAATAGTATACTAAAAGAAATAATGTAGTGATACATTATTTGCAATGTAAATAAGAACTTGAATGAAAAAATGACAAGCACTAGTGGAGGGAAGTCACAAAGGTGTATTATCATCCACCTATTTTATGTACTTCTTTCTTACCTTAATTTTTTTCTTTTTTTTTCTTCTTATCCTTTTTTCTTTTTGTTGTTATGTTATTATGGTTGTAAGTGTATGTGTATTTTTTAAAAAATATATATATATATTTTTAAAAAGACTTGATTTAAATAATCTTTTTACAAAAAGACTCGTTCTTCCTGGTATAATCTTAATATTTACAACCAGATGAAGCTCTCATTTTTGGAATAATAAATTTTCAGAGTAGTTTTTACTGTTATAGCAAAAATTACTGATTTGGTTATACTATTAGAAATACATAGATAAGTATGAAATTATTGTGAGATTTAATAATTTAACTATTTATATTTGGACAACTTTTCTGCTGTACTTTTTTGGAAGGAGAAAAATAACCACTTCCTTAATAACAATTTAAACAATTTATTTAACTAAAACAGTAACATTATAGCATATGTATCCATGTTTGTTAACTGATGTGGTTAAACAACGGACTTGCACAATTATTACACAAAGATCCCAAGACTTGTGGAGTTTTCTGCTCACGAGGTTGCACTTTCATTTTTACAGCTTCACACTTAGCTACTTGTGCAGATCTATTCCACTCCAAACAATCTATTCATTGAACCTCTTGGAACTCAGCATTTAAGAGGTATGGGATTGATTCTGTGCATGTAAATTTGGAAAGGAACAATGGGATTAAGTTTTTTTCCTCAACTCTGTATGTTTATAACATTTTTCCTATGAAGAAAAGGCATGTTATATCTGCAGACACAAATTCATACTTCTGAGAACTGCAAAAACAAGCATCTGTGATAATACCTTCTAGTTAGAAAACTGCCCCAAATAATCTCTGGAAGAGCATGACATTGTGAATGGATTAATGAAATTCATTTACCAAAAAATTTAAACATTGCATATAAAGCCTCATACTACATAATTAAAAGCAGATCCTTATTAGAAAACTATCTTTAGCAAGATTTTTCCTCCAAAAGCATTTTATTTTTAAAAATCCAATTTAAATTTTTAAAAATCATTTTTTTTCTATTTTTTAAATCACTGATTTGTATCCACCTTGGCTACTTACAATGAAAGCAGCAAATCAAAGTTACTGCATTCACCAACTGGAATAGAGACAGCATAGTCATTCTTTAAGATTACTTTAACTTTGCACATAACTTTTTTAGCACATTATACTCGCCGTCTCCTAGAGGCTTCAGGGAGGTTAACTCCTTTTACAATATGAACATGTATTATTGCTCTGGACAGATGTATCTGATTTCTATCTGATCAGATATGGCAGTCGTCCCCCACTCATCCCTGTTGACATTGCTAGAATGTGAGAATCTTTAAACCGCGTATTAACCCTATGAATTTAGTAATGGAATTATTTGTCAATCATGCAGGTTGATGCAGCAGGGCAGTTCTTATGTACAGAAATGAAGATGGAAACCTCACTCTCAGTTGCTGAAGTTGACAACATGTCTGGCAGAAGCACCCTAAAGAAACTTGTATTAATAAAGATGGCATGGCAAGGCCTTGAAATATTCATTTAAGTGAATTATGTTTGAAAAAAATGTTTATATATTTATCGTTTGAAAAAAATATTTGACTTCAAGAAAGCCGCTACTTTCCATTTGTCAATTTGACTTGTCAATATTTTAAAACTGATTAAAATATTCCTTAGACACAGGCGGCAGGCACCCTTTGAAAAGTTGAGTGACGATACATGTCAAAGGTCTCAAACTCATGAAAGCAGTGGGAACTTTCTTGGTAAATTCCTTACCAGGTGGTGGCAAGTTCGAGAGTATTTCAGATAATGCAGAGGAGGGAGATTCATCTTCGCCAGTGTCTGGGTGCAGTGGTGGTTCTTGTCTATAAGAAGGAGATACATAAGTAAGAAAGATTCCATAAAATATTTGGTGGGTTAAATATTAAACAAGTACAAATATCGAATTAACTATCAGTGAAAAGGTTAAGAGTGAATAAAAAAGCAGGAAACTAATTTCAAGAAACGTCGTTACCCTGAGCAATATAAAGCCACCTACTCCAGTGTTCTATTGGAGAACTCAATTTTGTTGGGGGACGCTGAGGAAGAGAACGGAATAAGAAAAGGGAACATGTCCCCTGCTTTCTCTCTCCCCACCCCCCGCTATTACATTTCTTTTCCCTTCCGCATTGGAGAAATGCCCCACCTCTCAGTATAATACTCAAATTCCACCTCGTCCAATATCCCCCTGGATCTTTCACTTCCAAGTCCTCCTACAACACTGCTTACAATAACCAAATGTTAAGTCCCATGGTCTACTCTATCCCAATATAGGAATCAATTTTACTGTGTGTATGCAGTTTATAGACAGATTACCTAATCTCTACAGAGTTATCCAGAGCAACGTACATACTTCAGATAATTTACTATTGACTCGGAGTGACGTCCACACAAACATTAGTTAGTTTGCTATCTGTTTTAATAGGGGCAATCAAAAAATTAGCCATTTTCATCTAAAAGGCATATATCACATATGAACTGTGAACAAAAAATTAACATAAAACCCTAAAGACCTTCTTAGATAATGCTTAAGGGCCAAAACGCTTCATTGTTTATATATTTATTTTATTTAAAAAATACTTGTATACTTCAAATTCATAAAAACAATGAAAGCGGTTTACAGCAATTATACATACAAATTGAAATCACATAAAATTTAAAATTATAGAAAATATTTTAAATTGTCTGCATATTTATTATTACTTTTCTTAACTATCTGCATATTTATTTCTGTAAACCACTGTAGAAAGTGCATGAAAAAAATTAATGTTTCAGTTTTTCTGCTTCCTCCAATGGACACCGACACTGATGTTCTGCAGCACTGAGTTGCAAACTGAGTGCGGCAGGGCAACTATTGTGCCAATATTTAAGCGTGGACTTTCACTGTAAATATCCAAGACTCATCCATTCTATTTAAAGCATTAATCCTTAAAAATTTGAAAGTATCATCACCTACCCTAGCCTTGATGAAGAAGTCCAGCGGTGGCGTATCCTCCAAGTCTGATTGGGACCTGGCCTTCGATTGTCTCGCCAGCAGATTCTGCCTCGCCAACAGTTTCGTTTCATTCTGTGCACTGTACAGCACAACTTTCAGCAGTTTTGAAGAGCTCTACACAAATAACACCACAATTCAGCTGCTTTAAATTCTGTGTTCATGGCCACATCATACACCCCGACAGTGGCGTAGCGTGGGGGGTGCAGGGGGGCCGGCTGCACCGGGCGCAACATCTGGGGTTAGGGGGCGCAAATCCACGGGTTAGGGGGCGCAAATTACTTGCCTTGCCCCGGATGCTGACAACCCATGCTACCAGTGGCGTAGCGTGGGGGGTGCAGGGGGGCCGGCCGCACCGGGCGCAACATCTGGGGTTAGGGCAAATCCACAGGTTAGGGGGCGCAAATCCACGAGTTAGGGGGCGCAAATTACTTGCCTTGCCCCGGGTGCTGACAACCCACGCTACGCCACTGCATGCTACGCCACTGCACCCCGAAAGCACATGGCTTCCCCCAAAGAATCCTGGGAATGGTAGCGTGTTAAAGGCTGCTGAGAATTGTAGCTCCCCCAGGATTCTTTGGGGAAATTATTTCAAAAAGTAGTTTGTGATACAGTGGTACCTCTGGTTACGTACTTAATTCGTTCTGGAGGTCCGTTCTTAACCTGAAACTGTTCTTAACCTGAAGCACCACTTTAGCTAATGGGGCCTCGCGCCCCCGCCGCACAATTTCTGTTCTCATCCTGAAGCACTGTACATACCACTGTACATACAACATGTGTTCTTCAACTTAAAAAACAAAAATTAAGGAAAGAAGTCCACCGGGCTAGCAGTAAAACCAGAGCTCCAGTAAAGCAACTCTCTGGATCCTAGCCGCTGCACAATAACATTCATCCAACTTACTCTCTGATTCATTTAAGACAGCACGTGAAACCCGTAACAAGCTTTCTGTTAGGATATAGGTATTGGCTATTCCTACTACTGGTTAGTTTTGTCTTAGTATTATTAGCCTTGTACTGCAATTGTGTTGTTAGGCCGACTTTAATGGAAACTGTTTCTATATCGGCTTTCATGGAAGTTGTTTATACAAGCCAGACTATCTGAAGAAGTGTGCATGCATAAGAAAGCCCATACCAATAACAAACTTAACTGGACTCTAAGGTGCTACTGGAAGTAATTTTTTAATTTTGTTTCGACTACGGCAGACCAACACGGCTACTACCTGTAACTATTATTTTATGGTTGGATTAAGTCAAGGGTCTCTCAACCCAACAATTAAAATGAATTTTATTATGACAGTCACAGACCAGTTCCGGCTCACTTACAAGATCAGAAAAATCATAAAACACAACAGGAATACATTGAATTGCAACTGGGTTTAACAGAGACCATTCAGATTTAGCAGCAGTTAAAAATATACATTAAATCTTGACCACTAAAATATAAGCTAAAATTATCATAACCCAACCAAAACCTAACCCACAGCTAAAGTCAGAGGAGAAAAAACAGCGAATTTGTGCCGAGGGGCCGTAGCGGCCAACCAGGTGCCTGTGGGAAGTCCACAAAGTCGGCAGCACACGGCGCCTCTGCCCTTCCCGCTTCAAGGAGTGAAGCAAAGACCCATAACTTCCCGCTCCCCCCCCCCGGACTCCGTCCTACCAGCCTCAAGCAGCAGCCGTCAGCAGCCTCCTTCCTTCCAGCTCCGTTTCCCTCAAAACTCTGGAAGTGGTCAAGGAGTCGCTCCTACTCCTGCCTCTCCTCCTCCGCTTCTGCTCCGCCTCCTCCTCCCAGCTCCTCCCTCTGCTAGCGACCACATGCGCGCGCACGCATATCCCACCTAATCTTTGATCTTCAAGGTTCCAGACACCTCCAGCAGCGACGTGGCAGGAAAAACTACTCTCTGCCTCGCCCCCCGCCCCCCTCCGCAGCCCGTTCACTCGGAAGCTTTAAGCTACTTCGACTCAGCACTTCCTTCAGCTTCCCCCTTCACAACTGCTCTCTCATTGGTTCCCTTCCTCGTCCCGCCTCTCCGCCCGCCCGAGGCTTTCAATTGGTCGAATCGGGGTGCCGATCATATCCCGTTTTGTTTTCCTCGCCGGGAGAGAGAGAGAGAGATCCAGAGCGGCCGGACTATGTATCTCCAATGTCTCTCCCCGCGTCCCCTCCGCCCAACCTCACTCGCGTGCGGTCCTCCTGCCTCGCTGACGGTCCCCTGACTGTTGGGCGGCGGGGAAGGGGTTACTGTATTGTCCGTTCAGAAGAAGTAGGCGGGGCGCGGAGGATTCTCTGGCCACGCGACGAACCCGTGTGGGCGTGGCTTCGAGCAACTCGTAGAAACGGGTTGAGGAAACGGCGTCCCGCCCTCGGGAGAAGTTTTTGGTTTTGGTTTTACCTCAGAGATGCGCTGTTGCTCGCCCGGGAGGCGCGGGCATCGAGAGCTCAGCTCTTTCTCTTGAAAGCCTAGTGTTAAGATAGAAATAGTACAATTAGGGAGAAGTAAATCCTTTTTTTTTTAAAAAAAAAGTTTTTATTTATACTTTTCAAGTTTATACATTTCATTAGTTTTACAATCAATTCAACATTTCAAAGTTTGACTTCCTTCCCCCCTCTTTCCCCCCCCTTTTAAAATACCTTCCAAATTCATTTCATTTGCTCATTTAATTACTTTCAATATATACCCTTATGAAACTGCAAATAAATCCTTGGACTGCTACGTAAATCCTAGGACAGCTAATGTATATATGAAATAGATCATAGAGCTGACTTCAGGGGGTCTAACTTTTGACTTAATTGAATGCCACCCATAAGTATATATACTGGGTTGAATTCTGTGGAACTTCTATATAGCAATACAGTGAAAATCCTACTGGCTACACAAAATTGGGATGGATTTAATCCTTTAAATTAGTGTTGTTTGGTATGGCTATTGGGTGAGTTCTAGCTTGAGGAATTTTGGACTTTAGTTGCTCCAGTCAGTGATTACAGTGGTACCTCTGGATACGAACGGGATCCGTTCCGGAGCCCCGTTCGCATCCAGAAGCAATCGTAACTAGCGATGGCACACCTTGCTGTTCTTTTGTGTTCTGACCACTCCAAGCTATTTTTTAGGTAGGGGGATATGAGGTGGGGAAACCCCATTGCATTAGTGGAGATCCTTGTATGGGCTTCTGCTAGCACGTTCAGTTACTTTAATTCAGTCTGTTTTGTTTAATCATGATTCTGAAATGTGTGGCGTTACTGTGCTGTGAAGTCTTAATTGTCTCATATAAAGATTTTACATTTTGCCCTAATGAATTATTTGGCAATTCAGGAATTCTTGTTTCTTTTTATTGTTTCTCTATTTCCCAGTGTTGGGCCAAAGTTTGTCAAACTTTTAAATCCATAATTACTAGTACAGTACTGCACATGATTACTAGTACATCTGCTCATTTATTTTAAATAAGTAACATTTTTAACACTGAATGAGGTGTGGGTTTTTTTACAAGCTCAGTGTCAGGACTCATTCCAGCCAGTAGAGAGCAGCATTGCATTAACACAGTGTACTTACTTTTTCTGTTTTAATCAATCGCAACGGAGCACATTCTTTTACAAATAAAACTTTACATTTGTTGTGAAGCAGTGTATGTTAGGACAATTCAAAAATCTTTTTGGAAGCGGTCACATACAGCACCATTTCTGTTGTCATACCCGCCTCTGGGTTGACTAGTAGAAGAAGTGGTGTAAAAATTAACATGCCGCATCGGTGAATTGGTTTTCTCTTTAAATTTACGGCTTGTGCTGTTGTTACCATCCCATTTATAGTTTAATCAGCTGGTATTATTACTATTTATTATATATTTCTAATTTATATCCTGACCTCCCTCTCCAAAGAGTGAAAGAATGGCTAGCAATAATAAAACTATGTAGAAACAGTATAAAACAGCACAATAAACATATTGCAGGCAGCAGTTATACACTGTTTTTTAGCAAAAGCTACAGGGCTGATCTTTTACGTAGTGAAACTGACCACTGAGCAAATGTTCTCCTTGCTAATCAGATGCTGATAGCCAAGAGTCAAGTGCTTGTCCCACCCCAAGTACCAAGCAAAAAGTTTCACTTCTCCATCCAATGTTGCCAGGTAAAAATTCTTACAGCAGTAGCAGCATATTCTCCCCCGCAGCCAACCCAGAGGCAAAAACAGGCAGTCTGGTCTTATTACTAAATCCCTGGTCTCTGAGGCCCAAGATTCAGGCCAGGGCTTCATTTGCATGTTCCTCTGCATCTGGATGCAATTCTTCCATAGCAGATGTCCTCTCTGGAGAGATTCTCCTCCGAAAGTGGAGTCCCGTGCTAGCTCAAAGCAGGAAAATAGCCAGCTAACTGATCTAGCAAAACCCCCACATGCTCATACTGATGAGCTTAATGCTGTTTTATGGGTGACGTTAAATCATATGGAGTGAATTCACCTCTTGGGATGTGTCTTGAACTTCTCACATGCAACTTCCCCGGTCTTGGACATTCTCATGTTTGAATGAACAGTCAATATTCATCTTCCCACCACTAAACTCCCATACTTCCTTTTAAAAGAAACAAAAGCAGCAACAGTATTTTTACTGAGCATTTGAGAGTTGCATCTAGTAAAAGTTACAGTGCATCTCCTTGGTTTCAATATATTGATGTTACATCCTGTTGCAATACTTTATGCACAGTCTTTGCTTCCATTTAAGCAATGGATGTAAGCTCCAGAAATGCTTAACCATGATGTCAAAATAAGCAAATTCTATTTTCCCCCTTCCATTCAGGGTGCAATACGCAGGTCCTTCATTTACTCTTGGCCCTTGAGTGATTACTTAAATGGGCATAGGCTAGCTTGAAGTGCAATCATTTTTTGAGAGGAAAATTTGATCAGGCAGGTGAGTCTTCATCATTAGATGGTTAGCTATTGTAACTATCTCCCACCCCCAGCTTCTCTGGTTATCTACTGCAGAGACATGATATGCCCTTGGTTTGTTTGTTTTTTAATGTATATACAGCCCCATCCGCACTTAAAAGAATTTTTGCACAATGGCACCTGTATATTTATTTTGATAGATGATTGCAGATGGTATAATACACCAAGAGTAATCCTGTGTTTGCAAGGAATCTTTTCCAGCTATAATTACACACAGGGTCATAGCTACTGGGGTGTGTGTGTGATTTTGGGTACCACATGTCAGGACAGAGTTTCAAGCAAAGATGTGCTCTCCCAATCCCACATTCCTAGCATGTTCACACTCCTATCTTAGCAACGTCTAAGCTGGTTTGGTCCTGTCCACGCAATGGAAGATGGCAGGATCCCCAAGGACATTCTGTATGGGGCGCTGGCTTCAGGCACCAGGCCCATTGGTAGACCAACTCTGCGTTACAAAGATTTCTGCATACGTGACATGAAGGCTGGCAACTCTGCCGTATGGGAATCCCTTGCAGACAACTGCAGTGCCTGGAGAGGAGAGAGTCAGGTCATGTATCCATAACAGTGATTATGGATCACTGAAGGAATGACTGCTGGGAGGAGCACAGAGAGAAGACCCACATCTGCAGCGGCACAACTGGACACCTTAATCTTCCCTAGCTGCAAGAAAACATGTCTCTCCCGCATCAGTCTCCACAGTCACAGAAGGCGCTGCAGCCTTACAACAGTTTGACTTCACCCGCAAAGGTGCACTCATCTATAGTCTCCTGAGGCAGATGGATGCCAAAAACAAGGTTCACAAATGAAAGAAAATCAAGTGAACAAATATTGTAGAATGAGCTTGTCATGTAATCTAATTGATCCAGAGCAGATTCCAACATATAGTTAGCAAATTAATATTTCATCCAGCAGAGCTTTACCACTACTGAAGGCAAATGAGCATAATGGTCACAAATCCATACATTCAGGATTGGCACTGTCCATAAGACATCCAGTTGCAGCAGACTTAACTTAAACTTACAATAACTTATAATAAGATTAAACCATAACACTATATACAGTACACCACACTAGAAGGAAAGAGAGACAGAAAGAGAGTGAGTCTTACGATTATAGTCAGCATGACCTTGACAGAAAAAGATAACAGAACCAGTTTAAGCCAGCTGTATTCAGCTTCTCTGAAGGAATAACCCAAATGTCATGAACCTTGCTTGTTTCTTTCACGCAGAGAAGCTTCCAGAACCCTCTTGAATTAATTAGAATAGGAATGATCTCTACACATCAGATCAATACTTTCTGCACTAAGAAATGCAAACTGACAGAGCTTGCAACAGTTTAAAAAGCACAATCAGAAGAATCAGGGATGGCACCCCATGACGAAAGACTACTGTCTGTTTTGAAGGAGATCAACCCAAAGCTATAAGTAGGTGAAGGTTTTACCATTGCTGACTTTTGAATTATGCCAAAGGAGGCATTGTCAGATTGCACTATTACAAACAGAGTGATTAAACCCTTGGAAGTGCAGTAAAGCCAAGGGGAGCAAACAAACAATGATTTTGTGTGTGTGATCAGTTCCTCCAGAGGGAACGGCTGATTCTGTAGCTCAACCAACTACTTGCAAGTGTGTAGAGCTGCCGGATTCAGCAACAGCAAGCACTGACTTTGACTTGGAAGGCAATTTATGTAACATACAACAGGGATGACAGGGAATGGTAATTTCAGATGACAGTCTGGCTTTCTTTGAAGAACTGTTTGGTTTCACTCCAGAGCATTTTTACAGAAAAAATAAATCTGAAGATGGCAACATAAATGATGAAAGTTATTGTGAGTTTGGATGAGTATCAGTAAAAATCTTATGGCTTGC